CCAAGGCCAACATCATCATAGACCAATTGCAGGGAGTCTTCGGATCAATAGTGAAGTAATCAAGACCTCAAAATGGACCGAACTATATCCCCAAAAGTTTGCACGCCAAGTTGGAAAAATCATACTTCATGATTGTCCTTTGCAAGTGCCTGTAATGGTTGGTGAAGATGAACACCCTACGAAGCGTCGACGGCTTGGATCCAAGTTGAGTCCAGTGGCCATTGAAGCACGCTTTGGAAGCAATGCAAGTGACATCAATTGGCAGACAGTCATGCGCCTGGCCGATCAAACGGCACCACGGGTCGGGACTCATGTTGTAGACCAAGGTGAGATTATCCAGCAAATTCAACACCTATGTCCTGAATATGTCATCAAACATGTTGTTTTGTGTCGAGGGACGGATCGGTATGTTGGCCCAAATCGTCCAATGTTGCCTCAAACTGCCCCTTTGAGACGCCAAATATGCATCCGAAGACAAACTCAGGACATTCATGTAGACCCATGGGAGGCTTGGGAAGCCTTGTCAAAAAGAAACCTTAGGAAAAAGGGAGTCCCTGCTCGAGTCAGCCTCACAGTGTTTGCAGCAGCGAGACAAACTGAAGTCCCCGACACCCGATTGCCTCGAATGCTGCCTTCTGCCGATGTCACCAATGCTGGGGCGCAAAGACGCTCTCTTGATGACCTGGAGACTCCTGGTGATGATGACCACCATACCAAGCGTTCCCGCAGAACTGAAAGTGAGACCATGCCCGATCCCAACACAACACAAGCACCACGGCCAACTATCACATCCGAACGTCAAGATGAGGTCACACCAGAATCTCAAGATGAAGAACCCCCACAACATATCATAGACATAGCCAGCCAAAAGCATGGTCCAATGTTTAACTGCCTGAAGGTTGATGAACAGAATTGGCTCTTGAAATTGCATCGGAACCTTGGACATCCAGGAGCTGCCAAGTTATCAGAGTTTTGCAGACAACTCCAATGCCCTGAGCATCTTTTGAAGGCCATTCATGATCTCCGATGTTCCACTTGCCAGGAGACTAGAGGACCAGTGGTGTCACGGCCTAGTGCGATTCATGAAGCATGTGATTTCGGTGATGTTGTTTCAATGGATGGTATTACTTGGAGTAATCAAAATGGAGATCACTTTCATTTTTACCATTTTATTGACCAAAGCACTCTTTTCCATACTGCCGTGGCCACACCCGGAAGATCGACTGATGATGCGTGCAAAGCGTTGCTGACCGGGTGGTTCAACTGGGCTGGCCCTCCAGGCCTTCTTTGCGTTGACTCCGGAACCGAACTGAACTCAGATGAGTTCAGCAGTTTCTTGCAAAGGCACAGTGTGAAGTGCAGGACATGTGCAGCCGAAGCTCACTGGCAAAATGCTCGAACCGAGCGACACGGTGGGATACTCCAACTGATGTTGAAAAAGATGGACCATGAGCAACCTATCAGAACATATGAACAGTTAGCAGTAGCCCTGAGCCATGCAACAAGCACCAAAAATCAATGGAGCAAGTACAAGGGATATCCACCAGAAATGCTTGTTTTTGGAAAAGGGGTTCGGGTACCTGGTTCCATAACATCCGATCCTACAGTTTCGGCACACTCAATTGCACTCTCCAACATGCCTGAAGGAATTCGATTCCGACAAGACCTGGCCACTAGAGAAGCCGCTAGGAAAGCCTTTGCAGAAATTGACAACGATCAGACTCTCAGACGAGCTCTGGTGCATCGCAGCCGGCCTCATCGTGGATTCTACGACCGAGGAGATTGGGTCATGATGTGGAAAAAGAAAGGTGAGGCAGATGGAAGCTGGATAGGCCCCATGCAAGTCATCATTCAGGAAGGACAAAATGTCATTTGGGTAACCAGGCATCATAAGCTCTACAGAGTTCCACCAGAATACATCCGAAGCCTGTCCGCTTTTGAAGAATTCAAACATCAGCCAACAACTACCCAAACTGATGGAGGTCAAATGAGCATACGTCCAGCACACGGTGGTGTTCAATTTCATGACATGATTTCTCAGGGTAGCCACCAAAGTCCAGAAGCTGCACCTGACTCACCTGCGAATCCAATGCCGGGACCCACCAGTGGACACTCCGATGAGGTTCCCATGAGTAATCAGAATAGACATGGTCAAGAATTTTCAAATGCCAGATTGCCAAGTCCCAGAAATGATCAACCTGACCAAGAACCGGAAGTTCCCTCAATTTCCAGCTCAACTCCCAACAATCAACTTGACAGTCCTGAACTTGTTGACACACCTGCACATGAGATTCCAATACCAGACACCTCTGATGATGGTGAGAGTTTGTACACCCATGAGGAACCTTGTTTTCATCTCCAAGAAGATCAAATGTATCGTTTTGAGATCGATATCATGCAAAAAGACATCAACAACTGGAGAGAGGAAACTAGGCCAAAGGAAATGGCATTTTTGGTTTCAGCCGCAAAGAGACAAAGAAGTGAAGTGAAAATTTCCACCCTAGGAGTCCAGGATCGAAAACTCTTTGAAGAAGCAAAGACAAAAGAAGTGGATAGCTGGCTCTCGACCAGCACGGTATGCCGAATTCTACGGCACCAAGTGCCCACTGAGAATATCTTGCGCTGCCGTTGGATTCTCACTTGGAAAGATGCTGACGAGCCCGGAGTGTCCGCCATTGCACAATCATCGCGCCAAAAGGCCAAAGCGCGACTTGTAGTTCTTGGGTTTGAAGACCCGATGGTAGACCAGATTCCGAGGGATTCACCCACCATGTCAAAATTGTCAAGGGTCCTCATCCTCCAACATGCTGCAAGCCGAGGCTGGGACATTCACAGTTTTGATATTAAGACAGCTTTCCTTCGAGGAACCGAACAAAGCAACAGGATTCTTGGTTTGGAACCTCCGGCCGAAATGCGAGCCCAAATGAAGTTGAAACCGGGGGAGATTGTTCGTTTGTTGAAAGGAGCATATGGCAGGGTTGATGCACCGTTTTTGTGGTTCCAAGAGTTGAAACAGAGCCTGGAGCAATTGGGATTTGAACCTTCTCCTTTTGACCCATGCATATTCATTCTCCGAGATCAGCAACAGCAAGCCGAAGGTTTAATTGGCATTCATGTCGATGATGGATTATGTTGTGGATCACCAAAATTCCACCAAAAGCTGTCCCAACTTGAAGCCAAGTACCCATTTGGAAGCAAAAAGAGCCGAGAATTCACATTCACTGGACTTCGAATTTCTCAGCAAAAGGACCAATCTATTTGGGTTAGTCAAGAACAATATGTCAAAGATATCCACCCAATAACGATTCCCAAAGAGCGCAGAATGGTCCCACAGGATGCAGTAAATGAAGGTGAGAGACAGTCCTTGCGTGCATTGGTAGGTTCTCTACAGTATGCGGCTGTGAACACTCGCCCTGACTTGTGCAGTAAACTCGGATGGCTCCAATCTCAGATCAACAAGTGCACGGTTGGAACTCTCATGGAAGCAAATAAAATCCTTCATGAAGCGAAGATGTTTGCCTCAGTTACCGTAAAGATACAACCGATACCACTTGACCACTTGAGATTTGTAGCATTTTCGGATGCCTCGTTTGCCTCAGAAAAGGTTCCTGATTCCCACCAGGGGATGCTTATCATGGCCAGTCACAAAGACATCGGTGACAACAAGAACAGCCCTGTGAATCCAATTGTGTGGCATTCAAAGAAAATTCAAAAGGTGGTTGTCAGTACGCTTTCAGCAGAAGCGATGTCACTGGCTGGAGCTGTGGACATTTTGTCCTGGGTCAGATTGTACTGGGCATGGTTGAGAGATGGAAAATGTAAATGGCAAATGGCCGATGAAACCCTCATGCGTTTGCCTCCAGCGTTTGCGGCGATACCTCCTTCCGAAGAAGAATCCAATCACAACACAACACCCAACCCGGACTTCCTGAAACAAATCAACTTCAAGAATAAAGACATCATAACCACTGACTGTAAATCACTGTTTGACCTTATAAGTAGACATGCACCACCGTCATGCCAAGAGTTCCGAACTCAACTTCAAGCAAAATTGATAAAGGAGCACTTGAACAATGGAATCATGATCAGATGGGTACCGTCACAAGCCCAACTAGCGGATGCACTGACCAAGTGCATGGATGCCAGTGTTTTGAGAGAATGCATGGAAAGAGGCCGCTACAGTCTCCACGATGAAGCACAAATCCTTCGTGCCCGCTCAGATTCCCGAGCAAGATTGCAATGGCTCCGAATGATGTCCAGTGATTCCAAAGGGGATGGAAACAGTATCTCCCATAATGGAAAAGCCAAGTCGTCCATTCAGTGAGAATTTTTACTCTGATTTCCTTTTTGTTTGTTGGTTGCTGCATTCGACATATACAGCAGGGGAAGTGAATCACTCTGACAGAATTGCGAGCTGATGCATCTCGAACAAAATAGAAAACCGGGAATCACAAACCTATGCCTGTTCGAGATGGACACTTGCACATGTTCCGAAGCCAGGGTAGGCTCAGTCGTGCCATAGGTGGGAGGGCATTTACGCTTGTGCCATTGGTGGAAAACGCTGCGGTATCATTCCTACAGGGCTGGGAAACTTCTGTGGTCAGGGACCCCTCAACTTGGTTTACAAGAAGGATATCAATAGGATCAGGGATCCATCCAGTTGTTTTGAGCTTGCTACCAGTCTTTCGAGAGTATATATATATATATGTATATATATATATATATATGTATGTATATATATATATATGTATGTCCTAGATTTCGGGTTGAACATGCAGCCAGTTACAAGGTGATTTTTCACCCCATCCAAGTATACTAGACATCTTCGCCTGGCAGCAACTTACCTGGATTTTAAGGTTGGCTAGAAATCAAATCCCATAATTTTATCCCATAGGTTGTAGTTTTCGATGCGTTTCACCCAACTTTGAACGATGCCAAAAGTGACAACAGCGCTGGCCCACCTAAACGCTGGCCCTGGGCGCTGGCGGCGCAGCTTGCAGGAACCCCTTCCTTCTGGGCCGCTGCTACACGCTGACGCGGCTGGCGCAGCAGCGGGATGGCTTTGAGTCGAAGGGGGAGAGCTGGAACGCAGGCGGGGGAGCCAGGAGTCGTGAATGGGGTGAGTTGGAATAATCAGTTTATATAGGTAAATCAATGAGATATAGGTAAATCAACTGGTTAAACCTATCACTTACCTTTCATCATCAGGATTGCCCAATCAATTATAGGTAAATGATAGCAACTTTTGAAGGGAAACTGATCGTTTTACCTCTTTATCTAGCCAGTTTTTTCCCCCTTATCTGGGGTGTTGGGAGCAACCCTGATCATATGTAATCATTTGTGTATCAATAAGATTGATTATAGAATAATTATCTTAGAATATATAGAATATATAATGAAGTTTAGTTGTAAAGCATATTCTTCGCAGCAATAAACTGGTTTCTTGCAACAGTGACGATTGCAGGTCCCATAAATCCATGGTCCCCGGAGTCAGATACGCTATCTCAGTCGCTTATCACTGGGATTTCCCATAGATCTATTGGAAAAAAATGTGGATTAGATATAGGGATTAAATATCCATAACCTATATAGCTATAGTTATAGAATAAAAAATTGGATTAAATATAATTAGCTTTGCCACTTCCAAGTGGGGGTTATGGCAATGGGTATGATGGTGATGGTTTGAAGTGCTTGATGAGATTTGCAATTTTTCCGACGGTGAAATCATTGTGGTAGTGATAATGTTATGATGATAGTTGCGGTGTTTTGGTTTCCTTAAATCATGGATCTCGAGGTGGTGATGCTGATGATGCTAATGATGCTGATGACGATGACGACGATGTTGACGATGACGATGACGACGACGAGGAGGAGGAGGAAGAGGATGATGATGATGATGATGATGATGAATGTTACTGCAATTATATATATATATAGTTTTTTTTTTTTTAAAAAAAAATCGCTGTAGTACTTTCACTATTGTTTGAATTTATTGTTGGCATCACTTTTATCATTCAGCATCAATGGTTGGGACAGGAGAGATTTGGGTAGTTTCCACTGTGGGAGATTGGTGGAACCTGACGACCGCCGTGTCCAAATAGACGTTCCTTGGAGGGATGCTAATCCCATCCTAGGTCAATCTTGGATGGGTAGTTTAATCCTTTAGTCTTTTGGATCTTTTGGATCTTTTGGTATCAATGGGATTATCTATTAACCAGCTAGAAAACTCTTTATTTTGCAGGGTATCCAAGATTGGCCATGCATCCTACACCCTGCCTTCAGGAACCACCAAGGTGAACGTGGGAAAATGGGGGGCATCTGAGACACTTCTGAGTTCCCCCTGGCAATTTGACATACCCTATATATTGAGGTTTCAATGGAAGAAAGCATCTATCAATGACGGATGACTGCTTTCCATTTCTCCAGTTTGATGACCAGAGGGTAACCTATATATTGGATAACGTTTTTTTTTTGGTGGGCACATTTCCATGCGAATTTTCAAGTTCCCATGATGCCCATGGTCTTCCAGCCTATCCACACTGAGTCTCAGTCAATGCCTTGATGCAGAACATCTGGGCGGAATTTCAGGACGTGGTTCTTGAGAGACAGTCATGAAATTCGATTCAGTTCTGGAATTAAATAGCCATGGTGGAACTGGATGCCCATAAAATGGGATGACCGGGATGACCGTAAACCATATACCAATATATACCATGTAACTTGACCCTAGCACATACCTCAAGTCAGTTAATGTTCATAAGCCACTTTTGACCTGTACCTGTTTTTCAACTGGCCTGACAGTCACTTGTACCCAGTTGTTGCTCTTAAGGGGCAAAACCCTTTGTTGTGGTTGTAGTTCAAACATCCAAGACGGGACTAATATAGACCATAGCGGAACGGTGAGCCACATCCCAAGAATCCCGTCCTGGGCTGGCATGGGATGTCGTTTTAAACCACATAGCATTGATCCATCCATTTGTATATTCAGCCAGTTGGCCAGTTGATAGACATCAGGATAGGCAACAATATATGAATATGTAAGTATGACTATGATGTGGTTTAATCCCATTATCTCTATTAATTATAATCCTTATTGCCCATGGTTAGATCCCACTATCATTATACGATAAACTCTATTCCCATTATATTCCTTTATCATTGTGATAGCTCCCGATTCCCACAATATTCCCATTATATATATATGGTCACCCCCCCCCTACGACCCCCCAATGTGTCATTTGTATTGTTATTTACAGCATAAAATGCGTATTTTTAGTATTCCATTTTTGTCTTCTTCGTATATAGTCATAACAATACAATATCTTAAGGCACTTTGGGGAAGGCCCCATAGAAACACAATTGACCGCCGACCCAAAATCAAAAAAACATCGGGAAAACAAAAAAAAACAAAAAAAAACAAAAAAAAACAATATTTTCCGACTCCTCTGGGGTCACTCCATGAAAAAAACAAAAAAACCTTGAGAAAACAAAAAAAACAAAAAAAAACAAAAAAAAAACAATATTTTCACACTCTTCTGGGGTCACTCCATGAAAAAACCAAAAAAACCTTGAGAAAACAAAAAAAAACAAAAAAACCAAAAAAAACAATATTTTCAGACTCTTCTGGGGTCACTCCATGAAAAAACCAAAAAAAACCTTGAGAAAACCAAAAAAACCAAAAAAACCAAAAAAAACAATATTTTCAGACTCTTCTGGGGTCACTCCATGAAAAAAACAAAAAAACCTTGAGAAAACCAAAAAAAACAAAAAAAACAATATTTAGAAACTATCTCGAGGGCCCCCCCCCCAAAGAATCGCTAAATATTGTTTTTTTTGTTTTTTTTGTTTTTTTTGGTTTTCTCAAGGTTTTTTTGGTTTTTTCATGGAGTGACCCCAGAAGAGTCTGAAAATATTGTTTTTTTTTTTAGTTTTTTTTAGTTTTTTTGGCTTTCTCAAGGTTTTTTTGGTTTTTTCATGGAGTGACCCCAGAAGATTATAAGAATATGAAAACTCATAATTTCTCCAATATTTCCTAAATGCAAACACTGTCTATCACTCATGCATCTGCCAATCCGTAACTGAACTGTTTCAAATCCAAACTACTGCCTTGACCTGTCTGTCATTCATGCATCTGTCCAGCTTCAACTCAGCCATTTCAATTCCAAACTGCTTCCGGGATCATCGCATTTGCTTCTTCGTTTTTTTTTAAATTGTTTCATGGAGTGACCCCAGAAGATTATAAGAATATGAAAACTCATAATTTCTCCAATATTTCTTAAATGCAAACACTGTCTATCACTCATGCATCTGCCAATCCGTAACTGAACTGTTTCAAATCCAAACTACTGCCTTGACCTGTCTGTCATTCATGCATCTGTCCAGCTTCAACTCAGCCATTTCAATTCCAAACTGCTTCCTGGATCATCGCATTTGCTTCTTCGTTTTTTTTTAAATTGTTTCATGGAGTGACCCCAGAAGATTATAAGAATATGAAAACTCATAATTTCTCCAATATTTCTTAAATGCAAACACTGTCTGTCACTCATGCATCTGCCAATCCGTAACTGAACTGTTTCAAATCCAAACTACTGCCTTGACCTGTCTGTCATTCATGCATCTGTCCAGCTTCAACTCAGCCATTTCAATTCCAAACTGCTTCCTGGATCATCGCATTTGCTTCTTCGACATGGCTTTCAAAATTTTTTAAAAAATGTTAGTAGGAAAGTCTCAAGCGCAAAAATTTTCCTATTAGCGATTGGTGCGTAGAGGCAGTTTTCACAGCAGCATAAGACCTCAGCTTGGCAAAAGTGATGCTGCTGCGGCAGGGTCGACTCGTTGGTGACTTCAACGTGGTTCTGTGCAGACACAAGTCAAGCATAGTGAAGCAGATGGCGGGTTGAGGGGGGTCGTTGGGGGGGGGCTGAGCATATATATATATATCCCATTATGTTCCCATTATATACCAATCGCATACCCATCATATTGCCATTACATTCCAATTATATTTCTATTACAGTATATTCCAATTGTACTCTTATTTTTTGGTCAAAACCGCCATTTTGTTACCATGTAAAATATATGCTTATACACACACACACGCATACATACATATATATATATATACATTTCCCATCACATTCCCATGATATTTCCATAGATCCCCCATGATATTCCCCTTGATATCCCCATGGAGAGCTACCAATAAGTTGGGATATATTCCCACTACAATTAAGAATTAGTATAGCTAATATAATTTGATATGATATGATATAATATAGTACTATTCCCCAGATTTCCCAATGTTGTTTTAAATCTCACCATGGCACAGATCAGGACATTTCTCAGGCAGAGAATTCTCAGGCGCTCGGAAGCAGTGGCTTCCAGTACTTTGCCAAGGAAGCAATGAGAGCCTACGCGCGGGTGGTCCCTTGCCGTTAAGGAACGATGGGAAAAATCGAAAAAAACCGGGATTTTAGGCTGAAAGAAACGGGGGAAAACAAAAAGGGACATTTTGGGAAGATGGGAAAAAAACTGCCGGATTTTTACCCGGGAATTCAAGATAACTATGAAAAATCAATATTTTTGATAGATACATCATGATAACATCATCTATAATGAGTCATGTTCCATTGCTATGTTAGATTGCCGGAAGTGTAGCAGAATAAATTTTGGAGAATCTTGTTTTTCTTTATGGCAACCCCGAAAAAGATGCAAAAATTGGTGATAGTTTGTCATGTGAATATGAATTGGTGTATGGGTGAGATAAATTTGATCAAACATTTATATGGCTGAGACCAGACTCTTAATATTTCGATTCGTGATGAAGTTTAAATTTCAGCAAGTATAGGATTTACAATATACAGATAGCCTGATAGTATGTGTATAGGCGACTATAGGTGTATGTGTATAATTATACAGTGTAACCCAGCAACTACAAGTGTACCCCTTTTCGCATTTCGGGGGGTTGTAGACCCTGCTTAATTGGCATGCCACTCTAAGAGCCAATGACTATCACTTGCGGGAAAGCGGCCCCCCTGACGACTCCAGCAGGAACGTTACAGGGTAGGAAAGATCGATCGAATGCTGAATGGATCTACGTAGCGAAGATGGTGATTAACTATTCACCCAAAAAATGATGGGTTAGCCGACTCTTGGTGAATGGGGAAGGTTTGTATTGGGCATGGTTCAGGATGAGCCCTGGAGATAGGAGCAGGTGGTTCGTAACATGTTCTCCCAATGATCCCAATACATTGCAGTTCCAAGGATAGAAACTGCGGTATTTTAATGAACATATCCCGTCATATCCTATATACTGAGGATTGAAACCAACATTTTTGTGCAGATTTCAGCCACACCGGGATTCCACGCAACATCTTTGGTCAGAAAGCCGGGTTAGCCAGCCACTTCTGGTTCTTCTGCAGCCGATGACCCAGTTCTTAGGTCTCAATGGCGCCCAGCCAACTAATCAAGAACGGATTCATGAAGATTGCAGAAGAGGCTCCTTCTCTGCGGTGGTGCTTAGCCTAGCACGCCCAAAAAATTCGCGGGTTTCGCTCAATTTTTGGGATCACCCGAAATGGCAATTGTTTTTAAGGGATAAAGTATGATCAATGGGTGAATTTAGGGGTAGCCGATTCTCAGAGTCTGTGGTTTTGGATCCACACTTCCCGTATGTTTAGAATGGGTGAAATCATCAGAGTGGCTTAAATTGTTGTTTTTTATGCTTGGTGAATTGATCGTAGATCATGTTGAACCATCAAAATATGACCTTTTTGAAAGTGAAGTACGCGAAGATGCGCAGGCTGCGCAGGACGCACCCAAAAGGGCCAATCTTCCTGAAGGAAATTGCTTTCCTGACCACTCTGTGTATAATATGTATATATATATATATATGTATATAATAGACATGTGCAGAGCTATGAAGGACTAATAGTTTAAAATTCACCAAGCGCCCCCCCACTTCAAACTCGTGCCCTGGATTTCGCGCCAGGAATGGAAGCAGATGTTGCCCAGCGAGAAAGTGCTGCTCGGAACCGCCAAATTCCATAGGGATAACTAGTGAAAAATGGTACTTACCCTCTGGTAAACTAACATGACTATGGAAAATCACAATCTTTGATGGGTGAATCACTTATAAATAGGCAATTTTCAATAGCCATGTTAAAATACCGGAGAGTAAATGTTGTCATATACTGTCTATTGGCCATAAAATCCGGGGAAATTATGGGGATATATATATGTTTATATATATATATGTATATATACATATATATATATATATATACATATATATATATGTATATATACATATATATATACATATATATATATGTATATATATACATATATATATATACATATATATACAGAGATGTGTGTATATATATACACATATATATACATATATATATATATATATGTGTATATATATATACATATATATATATATATATATATGTATGTGTATATATGTATATATACATATGTATATATGTATATATATATATATGTATATATGTATATATATATATAAACATATATATGTATATATATATATGTATATATATATGTATGTATATATGTATATATATACATATATATATATATGTATATATGTATATATATATGTATATATATATATGTATATATAATTATATACTATACATGAGATACATACTGGGTGGCTAGAAACCACGTATTGAAAGTTATCTAAGACTGGCAAATTTGTTTCACTGGTTCATTGAAGCAATCTTTTTGGCGCCTATCCATAGTGAACTTGGAAGTTCCATTTCCAGAAATTTCAGATCGCAAAGGGCCACTTTAATGCAACAATCACGTCAGAACGTTCCTTGTTTATAGGCCTCCGATTTACAGTATGAACAGGTTTGAGAAACCTTCACCAGTGTTTCCCGGGGTCTTGCAACAGATATTGAGCCCTTTTTTATGTTCCTTTTCTCACTGGTTGAAATCTCTGAGTCACCCCAATCCTTCGTCCCAGTGCCAATCTGTGGGGTGACTCGGGTGGCCAGTTTGAAGGGAACATTTTTCTCGGACACCTTGATATTTGGATGGCGAAAGCACGGTTTCCTCTGGATCTTCCCTTCAACTGATCCAACTGAACTTCGTCCACTTTATGAGCGATATCACCAAGTTTGCTTTGTGAAAACCCCGTTTCTTGATGTTTCTTGTGAGTATTTAACCTATCACATCCTATCACATCCTATCACCAAAAAAACCTACATGACATTCACCCAGGCTATGGGCTGCAGTGGCCTATCAAGCAGAAGTGCGAGCAGTGCACGCCATGCCGAGCCCGAGGATCCCCAGATGCCCTGGGCGAATTCTTTCACCCCTGGCCTTGGTAGGCAATGACTCCTTTTTTCAGCACAATACCTGCTTTCCAACCACAGAAATATACAGGCAAAACCGCAAACCTGCGACGGAAGACTCTCTTCACCCGAATGAAACAGGATAAAAACAGGATGCGCAAGTTTACTGTTGTTGTTTTTTTCTCGACCCAGAAACATGGTTCCCCGATTCAACTTTCCCTGCTAGCTTTTGTCACCTACCCCTAGCCTCTAGATCCTCCTGTTTGTTTGATTTGAAGCAGCAAACATGGGGGATTGATCCACCAAAAATACATCAGGGTCCAACGGGGATAAGATTCACTTGAAAGTGCAGAAGTGGGCAGGTTCCAAAAAAACACAGCTGATTGATGATTCTAGTCAACTATGGTGGTTACCTACTGTAATAATTTGTATAGAATAAGACAACCAAATTATACAACACACCATGTTGTGATATACTATTCTAAGATATAACAGTTTGACTGTCATGGCTTGGAATGGTGTCATGTATGATGATATGAAGTGACACGCTATGCTGTGAAATGATTTGACCTGATCTGACCTGATCTGATATCATATGATATGAAATGTAGCTTGGATGTGTATGTATATATATATACACAGCGTGATCCTATTTACAGTTTAAGACATTATGCTTTAATCAAATAACTATGGGTTTCTACTGTTGAATATGGTATAATACGATATGATTATATCATGTAATACAATATTATATGCTGTGACACGATGTATGTATATATATACACATGATATTGGTTGGCATGATATGTGACCATGTGTGATTTGTTCTGATATGATGTTGAGTAATTTCATTACAATTGCTGGCAAGTAGCATGTCAAATATTATGCAATATTTTATGAAACGACGTTATGTGATACTATAGTATAATGTAGAACAAAATAACGTAACATAACTTAATCTCATGATATAGTACGTTAACAGGATTCACTGTTATCATATATACAGTTGGATAACATACACCTTTTTTGCATACCCAGGACAATCACATATATATATAATATTCAAATATGAAGATGCCTTTATTTCTGCGATCTGTCATGATTTATTCCAATAAATAATCATGATTTCATCACATTTTATTTCACTGAGCATATATATATATATATACACATGTATACATATCTCAAATTAGCATCATCACTATGATAAATACTGACATATCAATATTGGTATACCAGTTTTATATATATATATCATGTTAGATCATACACATGATAATCTATTTGAGATATCAATATTGACGCACCAGTTATACCAACATTTTTTTTCGGAGTCCAGGAGCTCCGCATCGTCCGCTCCTCGTCCGCGCTGTCCTTTGCCACCACAGTGGAAGCCGGCGCTGGACATCTACGGCCGAGGTCGGCAGCGTCGGATATGCTGTGGCGCTTTTGGTGATTTTCTTTCGGAACATCCGGATGATTCGGGATTGTGTGATCTCAATTTGTGGTTATTTTCGTGGGGAAAATCATGATTAGCTTGGGGTTTTGCCCCAAGTTATGGTGATTTTACTGTTTCTTAAGGGAGGAAAACGATGATGAACCAGTGAAATGGGCATTTTTTGTGCTGGGTGGAAAGATTTCCGGCAGTGTGAGGTTGACCTTTTTTAACTGGAAACCATTGCCCATTGAGTTCGATGGTGGCTATTGATTTTTAGAGGATGGTGATGAACTAGTGACAATGATTGGCCTGGGGTATCCGATTTTATGGTAAGCCATGGGGTTCCATCTTACTGGATTGATTTTCCACAAGAAATTTCCCATCAATTGGCTACCATGCTACCTTCTCCCTAAGACTAAACCGCCCCCTAAAAAAATAAACACCGGGGGTAGTTGTATAAAATTAGGGTGCGAAACTTCCCCCTAATACTAAATTTAAAACCTTAATAAACAAAAACAAACTTTTTCTATTGCAGAAGGATTAAAATTCCTTTTTACAGTCTAAGTAAAATATTGCCAAAAATTAGATTTCGAAGGTTCCCCTAACATTGAAACTAAAAACTTTAATTTTATTAAAACAACTAAACAAATCTATTTCAAAATCGATTATTTATTTTTCTATCTATCAAGATATTGCCAACAATTGGATTTCGAAGGTTTCCCTAATATTAAATCAGCAACCTTAAAAACTAAAATGTTTGATTTTTAAATGACGGAGCCTAATGGAAAACACCCTGGTGTTGGCTATTTATTATTATTAAGTGGTGCAACCCTCAAAATGGGGGAGACTAGACAGAATCAGTCACCCACTAGCAGAGCCAGACCACCCTGAGTCAATCACCCCTCACGTCGAAGTCCGTCACCCTCCACATCACCAGCGAGGGGTGACTGACCTCAGGGCCCTGCCTGGGAGATGTATTACATCAATATCGTGCATCGTGATATCGCGTTTACTTCTGTATGTTGTTTCTTTGGGGTTGGTTTTAGAGTTTTTTATGGTTTCACCAGTGTCTGTTTTACGGTTGGTTTAGGGTTTCTTGGGGGTTGGTTCAGGATTGTTTCAGGTTGTATTAGGGTCTATTTAGGGTTGGTTTAGGGTTTCTGTAGGGTTTCCTCATGGTTTGTTTTAGGGTTTATTTTGGGTTGACGTAGTGTTGGGGTTTATTTAGGCTTGGCTTAGGCTTTTTAAGGGTTGGTTTCAGGTTAATATAGGGTTTCGTCGGTTTTTTTTTGAAGGTTGGTTTGGGGTTTATTTTGGGTTTGTTTAAGATTTCTTTAGGTTTGGTTTAGGGTATATATATTTAGGCTTGGTTTAAGGTATACTCAGGTTTGGTTTCGGTTTTATTTCTGGTTGGTTTAGCGCTAATGTAGGGTTTCGTCAAGGTTTTCTTTAGGGTCTTTTTAGGGTTTACTTAGTGTGTTGGTGTGTTTTCTTTTATGCTTGGCTTAGGGTTTATTCAGGCTTGGTTAAGTTTAATCAGGGTTTCGTCAGGGATTGTGTGAGGGTTGGTTTATGGTTTATTTAGGCTTGGTTTAGGTTTTTTTAAGGCTTGGTTGACGGATGTTTAGGGTATATTCAGGCTTGGTTTAGGTCTCATTTACGGCGGCTTTAGGATTAATGTAGGGTTTCGTCAAGGTTTCGGTTAGGGTCTAATTATCATTATATAAATATCTGGGGTTTACTTAGTGTTGGCTTGGAGTTTATTTCGGTTTGGTTTAGGGTTTATTCAGGTTTGGTTTAAGGTTAAATGAGGGTTTCATCAGGGTTTGTGTGAGGGTTGGTTTAGGGTTTCTGTATTGTTTGCTTGAGGTTTAATTATTTAGTTTTGCTTTGGGGTTTCTTCATGGCTGTGGCAAGGTTTCTTTAAGTTCTGTTTAGGGTTGAATTATGCTTTCGTCAGGCTTTGTTTTAGCCCTCGCATATGGTCATGTTTAAATCAGCACTGCAGACTCTCTCTGCAAGAAGTGGTTTGGTCATGCCATCTGCAGGAAGCACCAGACGTGGTGTTCTAGGATCTAGGGTAAAGAACAGTCAAGCTAAAGATGCAGAGCACAATCATCACAGCAAACGCACAACGGTTGATCTGCAGCATCAAGTGCTCAAGTACCGTTCTGTCTTTTGCGGCTGCGTATCTTGTGACCAAGGCCTGAGACCCAGCAAGGAAAAATAGGATGAAATCAAAGAGAAGCAGTAGATATGCAGGCGTAGTCTGAAGACAGCTCCCTGTTATATTGCATGCCTGCTTTGGGTAATTATTGCAAGTGAAACGTCACACCGAGGTCAGCCAAAGTTGGTCGTGGTGCGCTAAGTTGCGGAGTTGCCGTGTGCTGACAAAAGACTGTTGTGTATGGACAATTTGCACGTGGAGCATCAGTACGGTGAGACAGCTTCCGTGCTGGTTTATTCAGGTGATGAACCCTGAAAGCCCAGAAGGAGAAGACGAGCTGTTCGGCTTTGAGCCCTTGATCTTGGAGGCGGGTTGGTAAATGAACTTCACCACGCATCCGATGCTGCAGTCAAAGTCGTGAAAGCACGGGCCCTGTGAGCTAAACTTGGCCGCTCAGGATTCCGAATCGGAAAGTGCCAGCGCCGAGGTTAAGACGGAACTTGAAGTTGAAACCGGACCACCGCAGGGCCATGCAGGCCAATTCGTCCGCCGACTAGCATTGCGGTACTACACATATGTAGGATGGCGGAACAGGTTGCCCAATGAGGCAACCAGGATGATCGCGGCTTCCCTTCTCGAATGATTGAAGAAAGGGCCGACAACAAACAGGGGGCTGAAAGGATCACAGCGGGCGATGATAGCGCCAGCTGCGTTTGAAGACTTTGCGTGACCAACCGTGAACCGCCGTATTGCTGGTGACGGTCCTTCCGACTTGCACGACAAAAGCGTTGATGTCGTTTTGGCTTTGAAAGAAACCTGCCTTTGTTGTCTTTGCGAGTCACAACACATGTACGATCTGGCCGACGTGCGGTGGTATTGCACAGCATTTGAACTTCCGTGATCCCGCAAGTAGTCATTTTCAAAATCAAAGGTTGGTGTAGCACTGCTTCGGAAGCTGTACCCGCCGCGCCGCGATTCAGGCAGCTCAGTGCAGTGAAGCAGTTTCGACTCTGGTTGTTCATGATGTGACAAATGCATTTCAATTTGCTGCCCCCGTCAGGTTCACCGAAAGATGCCCCCCCGCAACCAAGAGCAGTTGCCATCGGGAATTCAATGTATTCTATGTGTGCTGCATGAAAGGCACTTGAAGTAAAAGTGCGCTCGACCGAGGTCTTTATCCTTGAGCGTTTTGCCGGCCGCGGTTAGTTTTAAGGTTTGTTTGGGGTTTACTTAGGGTTGGTTTAGGGTTTACTCGAGCTTGGTTTAGGGTTTCTTGGGGGTTGGTTCAGGATTGTTTCAGGGTGTATTAGGGTCTATTTAGGGTTGTTTTAGGGTGGGTTAAGGGTTCCTTTAGGGTTTCCTCATGGTTTGCTTCAGGGTGCATTGAGGGTGGGGTCTTATTTAGGCTTGGCCTAGGGTTTTTGAAGGGTTGGTTTAGGATTGAGCTAGGGTTTCGTCAGGGTTTCTGTGAGGGTTGGCTTAGGGTTTCTGTAGGGTTTGTTTTAAGGTTTATTTAGTCTTGTTTTGGGGCTTATGGATAGTTGGTTTAAGGTTCCTCTAGATGTGGTTCAGGGTCGAATTGTGCTGTCGTCAGGGTTTGTTTTAGGGTTGATTTAAGATTTATTTAGGGTTTGTTGAAGTTTTGTTACGGTATATTTAAGTTTCGTTTAGGGTATATTTGGACTTGGTTTAGGGTTTCTTTGCGGTTGGTTTAGGGTTAATGTAGGGTTTCGTCAGGTTTTGTTTCAAAGATGGTTTAGGGTTTATGGTTGGTTTAGGGTTGATATAGGCTTTTGTCAGGGTTTGTTTCAGGGTCTGTTTGCGGTTTACTTAGTGTTGGTTTGGGGGTTCTTTAAGGTTGCTTTGGGGTTTCTTGAGGGACTGTTTGTTGTTGACTTTCCGTTTTCCCATGGGTTCCTTCCGGCTTGCAGGGGTGACTGACTCTTTGTTGTTGACTTTCCGTTTTCCCCGAGGTTCCTGGATCCGCCTGCCAGGGGTGACCGACTCTTTGTTGTTGACTTTCTGTTTCTTGATCATGGTCTCCCTGCCTCCTGTGCTGGTGTGCAGTGGTGACAGGCTTTGTCGTGTGGGGTAGTCGACTCCGACATTTGGGGCGACTGACTCGGGTGACTGACTCTGACTCCGCCCCTAAAATGGGACCTTCATCGTTAAATAGTTTTCTAAAGGGGATCAAGTAAAAATCAAATTGGCCAACTTGAATTTTCCCAAAATCGGAAAACGACACTAGTTTTCAATATTTGGGTGCGTTTATTCATAGAGAGAAGGAATTATTTTTCATGAATTTATTCTTGTAAACAAAAATGGGGTGAACGGTAGTTGCTGGGTACACGATGGGCCCCCAAGATAGCTAAATTGAGATATAAGTGGCTCAACTACGGTTTGTGGTAAATAAAAGTATCGTTAACGGGTTTATAAACCAACTTATAACTGGGGGGGGGCACCATCCTGTAGTTCATTTTTTTTGCAAAAAATAGGCACTTTGAGATTGGCCAGGAGTTGATGGTTTTCAAAACCAAGAAACCGCCAACAGCGAAAACCTGGTGTTTAGTAGGCTGTTGCTTAGTATTCCGAATTGATGGGTAGGAAATCCAGAAAAACAAGATTAAACCAGCTAGTATAACCATACGAACCCCCAAAAAATCGCAAGTCTTTTGACCCATACAAAGCCCAACTGGGAATTTTGTAAATTAACCGTTCGTTGGTTGGTTGGAACTTGTTGGCATCAAACCCTGGAGCCCTGGGTCCCCTCAGTGCCCTTTTTTCAGCCCATATTCATATCATGTCATTTATTGAGGTGGCCGTTTTTTTTGGTAATACGACATCCGTCTTTTTTTTGGGAAACTATAGGGAATCAGTGTTTTGATTTCGGAAGGTTTAAATGATCAACAAAGACCAGATGGACATGATCTTCCCAGAATTTGGGTCCGTTGCTAGGCATAATATCCCCAAAAAGTTTGGTTCTGTTGTGGCTGTCTATGATCAGCTGTTCCTTTCCCATTTTCCAATGGTATCAGCCCCTGCCCTGGGATGATCTTCCACAGTTACGAGATTGGCACTGCATTTGAAGTGGATAAAAACATCGCAAAACCCTTTTTTTCAATCGGCAAATCCCATGAAATGGAGGTTTCCTAAGAATAGGGGTACCCCGAAGTCATCCAAGTCAGTAGACCATTTAAGTATTGAAACCCATGGTGACTTGGGGAACCCCCATTTTAAGAAACTCCCAAATCGCATCTTTGCCTCACCCCATCCTGTGGCAGAGGCTCGGATGCGGCCTTTGCACATGAGAAGGTGAAACAACTGCTGTTGCACGCGTGGCAAAGGGTGAACTCAAGCATCTGGGCGATTCACCCTTGGCTGTTGGTTTCATTGGGGAGGAGGTAATTTTCCATAATGCCAACACCGGATTAATAAACCCCCCCCCCTAGAAGGTAGGAGGTACCTGAAAATACACCCGTAAATAAACGGCCCTGAGCCATAAAATTCTGAACCATAAAACTTTGGATATGGCTTACGTCAATTAGATCTTAATAGAATTCCATTGGATTTGTTAAAATTTCATGGATCAGAAAGGTGGTTGATTAATCAGGGGCAAACCATGGTTATTATTAATGGGGGACATGGGCTCATGGGGGGTACCCTTTGGGAGCTATCCAAACTGATGTTTTTTTATAAAGATTTTAATTAGAAATCGATCATTTGGGGAATAGTTGTTTTTTGAAATTTTCAATGATCAACTTAAACTGGTTTTTGAAATTTTCAATGATCAACTTAAACCTGAAGTATAACAATGATGATTAAAAAAAAGGTAAAAAACAATTGGAAATAAATAGAATTGGAAATAAAAAATGTTGGATAAAAAATTGGATTTCAGCACTGGTGGTTGATTAATCGGGGGTAGGCCCACCGGTTTATTAATCTCGGGGGACCACCTGTTTTTAAATTACATTTTTTTTTGGGCAATGGTGGTTGATTAATCGGGAGGGGATTATTAATCCTCACTTGACATTAGTAATGACATGTCATGACCATTTTGGTAGCAGATGAAGTGACGATTTGGGTAACCCATGGTAACCCCCAAGTTTTCATGGCCCCAAGTTTTCATCAGGTTTTATTCATTGAGGACATTACAGTTTTTCATCAGGTTTAGCCATCTAAAACCAGCCAAGATAGGGATTTAAGATAGTATTTTTTTTCGATACTGATCTGCAAAAAAACTAGCCATGGTGGACATTTCGACTCTTCCTAAAAACAATAATCAGTAAATGTGGAATGGCGAGGATGCTTTAATATGTTTTAATCATGTTTCAATCATGTTAACCGCCATTGAAGGGGATGTTGCATCCGCATAAGCTTTGCAACTGCTTGCTGGTTGCCAGCCTACTGGCCCAGGTCTGGATTGGGGGATTTTTTCAGATTATCTGTTGGTCATTCAGTAACTAATTAGTAATTTAACTATTGGGGGAATATTTGGATTAGAGGAAAAGCACGGTCAACATTTCAGAGCGAAAAATGGATAAAAGTGGCCCTGTTGATGGGTTTACATACATGGATACGACCTGGTTTAGTGAAGATCATGGAAAACCCACAAGAGGATGGGAGAAGGATATGCATCATGGCTTATCTCATGGTAGTTCGATGGCATCTTTTTGAGTTATAACTGGATTATCCCACAACGGGGTTACAACCCCACAAACACTAAGTCTGATAGTTACTGGATTTACGATGTAGATATATATATATAATATTTTTTTGTAGTAAGGCAAAAGCTCTTCTACTGTCAATCAATTATATAGCAACCAAAGTCCTACTCAGTCTTACATCATAACATAACAGTATATAATAACTGTAGGAATTGATGCCAATATAGAGTTATTATTATTATATTTCATGTAGGAATTATTTATTATTTACCGCAGTCATATAACCACTTCCTACATGAAAAACACGTGAAACTCCCATGGTTTGCATCACCAAGGTATGGACTGGGTTTTCTGCATCCGTGCCGTGGCAGCCGTTTTTCTTTGCCACCGACCGTGGATGGTTAGGGTATGGATGGTAAGGCACATTGTCCAACTGAAGATGTTTTCTTTTGATTTACTGGGATTAGACCGGGATCTAGCAGCAATAAAACCATCAATAGCGCTTAGAGGTTACCCAGCGGTAATGACCAGCAGTTTGCGAACTGGAACATCACCATTAGAATAATAGGTAAAGGGTCGAACTACATGGACCATAGCCTCAGAGCGCAGTTCAACACGTTTGAAGTGGTGGACTAAGTGGCTGGGCTGAAAATTGAGCACCCATAAATCCACAGATTCATCAACATTTCCCATATTACTGGCCTAGGCCTTCAAAAGATCAAGAATTTCTAGTCGACCCCCTAGTGTTCTATTTTGTCTGGACGCTAATTCAAGAAGTAAACGTCTTGGTCGATACCTCCAAAAACCGCCAGGGAGCGACTTGTCATTGCATAATTTCGTTCCCAAATGCTAGTTTATCTTGGAGTGAGTGATTTGCATACAGGGGCCAAGTGGCTTCAAGTCAGGTGATGAAAGGTGAACATGTATGTGTGGGGAAAACAGGAAAAAAGCAGGTGACGCAGGGCGGCGAAGCAGACTAGTCAAAGCCCGCCAGGATAATTTAAGAGAGCCGAATCCCGAGTGACTTCCCATGCAACTCAGTTTACCCCAATACACTGTGCAATTTTTCCCTGCCTGTAAATTGGGTGTCGCCGCGTATATGTCACTTAGTTCCCACGCACATGACTGCATGGTTTGGGAGGAAACACTTTGACATAAAAGAATTTCTTCAGCCTGCCCTGCATAGTAACTGCGCTAGCATGCGGATTGCTGGCGCAATTCGGGGGAGTCTTGGTCAGGATTCTGCGTTGAATGCGCAGGAATCTAGACCTTTGCCCGATGCGTAGAGGTGAATCCTGCCAAGGGCGCAGCGTGGATGGTTTTGCATGGTTTTGCAGGTTTTTGTCTCTGCGCCGATTTTTTTTCTGTTCATTGGACCCTGAGAGCAACCTACGAGAAGAAGCTCTCTATTGTACAATGTGGGGAATAATGGCTTTTGGGAATTGTTGGGATAGTTTTCCTCAAAGATCCACAATAACCTGGATATTATGGATAATTTTCATTACAAACTGGATGTTATGAATGGGGATACTGATGGGAAAATACTGAGATGATAAGTGGGGTTACAAGCCAATGATGCATGGGGTGCCCCCAGTCGGGGACCTACCGATTAACAAAAGCATGGGATTTAACCAACAATGCTTTAACCAACAGAAACTTGCGATTTAACCTATCAACATTGGACTTAACCAACCAAAAAAAGTAAATCAAAGAATGGGATGCGTCAGTTGACCAAGAAAGAAGGACTCGCATCACCAAGAATTGCCAAACACAATCGCACAGCATCAGCAAAGAAGAGAAAAAGTCACCTGGAACCCTCAGTTACATCGCGCACGCGCAGTTCGAGACAGATTCCACGGTAAAGCGACGACGCCTAAACCCGTCGCGCACGCGAGCCATCTTTTCTCCGCAACAAAACCTCCGCTTACCCGGAAAAACACAACGTTTGGCGCAAATCCCAACATTCAAATCGTATTTTGGATGTCATTGGCCCAATGCGATCTAAGCAACAGTGGGTTGTAAAACACAACCAGCATTGCAACACAGCACTGCAGAACAAGTACCCTTCGAAAAGACTTGACGCAGTCATTCCGCGGCGATCTGCACAGAGTGACTTGCCAAACACAATAGCACAGCATCAGCAAAGAAGAGAAAAAGTCACCGCGCAGTTCGAGACAGATTCCACGGTAAAGCGATGACGCCTAAGACCGTCGTATAGAATCATGGGATCGTCCATCGCTCTAAACCGGTTTATCTAGTTTGAATTTGGGGGTTAGGGCCCCTAATTTTTGTCAGAAAATTTGATTTTTTAGAGAAACCATAGCTAGCAGGTTCAAATTGTAGGACACGCAGCTTCCAGAAAGAACAAGCTATATGATCTTAAAGGGTTGTAGGGTAGAAACTTACACAACCAAAAAATCAAGAGGACACACCCCTGGATCTTGTAGATAGGCTGTTTCCCTTTCTTTTAATATACCGTCAGGGGGATAGGCAGGATGTTAGGCCTCGCACCCGTGTCCCGGAGTCAAATCCTTACTAAAGGTCTCATTCTCTGGTGCTCTAATGTAATCCACCACGCTGGTCCCCCTAAACCCACCCCATGTCCCAGCCCCGTGTCCCCAAGTCAAACCCTAAAGGTCTCATTCTCTGGTGCTCTAAGTGATCCATTTTTTTGGTGCTCTAAGTGATCCCATGGTGCTCTAAGTGATCCGGTGCTCAAAGTGATCCACTTTCAGATGCTGTAAGTGATCCCTTAACCCAGTTTGACGTGGGTCTGCTTTTGGGAAACCGTTTCCATCACATATAAATCCAAGGGTGTCATCTCAATTCCTAAAAGTGCTCCGAAGCTGACGTGTTTTGCACATTTTGACTTCGAAATGTGCTTCGCGCCACAACGGCGTGCAATTTTTCATCTCTCATCTGGCCAGATGGCTCCGCACCCGCCGCTTTAGCGAGTCAAAGGGCTGGATGAGGGCGCTTTGCTCGTTTGCGGACTATCTCGTTACAAGTGTCCATCTCAGGGGCTCGCCTGAAAATGTTTTATTCCCAGAATCTATCTCAGATCAAAAATCGCGGAAACGCGACGCGCGACGGATGGAAAATCCGAAGAAGTCGTGTCCTCACGGGCTGGCTCAGCTTTGCGGACTAGCTCAACTCTGCGGACTTTCAAAACGCTCTCAACCATTTTTCTTTTGAAAAAAAATTGAAAAACACATGAACCCGTGAGATGGGTACATACCATTGAGACGGGCACATAAGCTGTTGTTGTAGTATTTACATTGTTCGGCGTCAGATTCCCTTCTGCAGGGTATGTATCCATCTCCGGGGTCGGCCAAAAAACTAAAAATAAAAAAAGAGATGTGACCCGAACTTTTGAAAATCACTTGCAGTTGAGAAAGGCACATCGATATGTGGGAATCCTGCTGGGACAGTTCATGCTTCCACTAGGACTTCCAAAGTCAAAACTCGCGCACTGCGCGATGCGCGACGTGCAACGAACGACAAGCGATGAATGGCCATGTCTCAAAGAACAGTTGAGATGGGCACATATCATTGAGAAGGTAAGGTACGGGGATTTGCAAACATCCCTTTGAGCGAGGCTACTTTTCGACCCTCTGGGGCCAGTGGAAAAACACAGTGAATCGTGACTTTTCTACCTTTTCGCGCACCTGCATCTTCTTTCTTCTGACTCTTTCTCTTCTCTGATCTTCTCTCTTCTTCTCTTCTCTTCTCTTCTCTTCTCTCCTCTCCTCTCCTCTTCTCTGACTCTTCCCACCTCTGCTTTTCCATCTGTCCATATTGTCGAGTTTGACTTCTAAACTTCCTTTGACAAACTTCTCTTCCCTTCTCTACTTTTCTCGACTCTACTCTACTCAACATCTACCCCTACTCAACTTCTACTCTACCGCTACCTCTACCTATACCCCTAATCCACTTTTACTCAGCTCTACTCTACTGTCCTCTACCCTACTCTGCTCCGCTCTGCGTTACTCTGCTCTACTCTACTCATCTCGCGTCTTCTCTACTCTACGCAGCTTTACTCTGCTCTAATTCTACTTCTACTCTACTTTGCTCTACTCTACTATACTAATCTCTCCTCTTCTCTACCTCTACCCTTCGCTACTCTACACAGCGTTACTCTACTCTACTTCTACTCTACTCTACTTGTACTCTACCCTACAAAGCTTTACTCTACTCTACTCCTACTTCTGCCTCTACTCTACCTCTACTCTTCGCTACTCTACAGAGCGTTACTCTACTCTACGTCTACTCTACTCTACAAAGCTTTACTCTACTCTACTCCCACTTCTGCCTCTGCTCTACCTCTACTCCACCTCTGCGCAGGTGCCAGCTGGACAATGATCTTATAGCTAGTGAGAATGTGACTTCATGATCTCTTAACGCACGTGTCAACTACTCGACCTCTGCGCAGGTGCCAGCTGGACACAATGATCTTTGGGCTAGTGAGAATGTGACTTCATGATCTCTTAAGGCACATGCCAGCTGGACACAATGATCTTTGGGCTAGTGAGAATGTGACTTCATGATCTCTTAAGGCACATGCCAACTGGACACAATGATCTTTTTTTGCTAGTGGAAAAAACATCTTTAACTCGGAGTTTCTCTACGAAACTTCCTTCGATTATATTTATATAGCCACTATTAGTCACTATTATCTCTTGATGGTTAGTACTGTAACTCATTATGTAAGTGGTGAAAAATCATCCTGGTAGAGGCGGTAACTTCCAGCATCAGCGAAGCAAGGATTCGGGGCCCGTTTTTTTTTTTGGAGCCAAAGAAATGGTTGGAGAAACAGAAACGACGGATTCATTGAAATGGGTTCTTTCGAAAACAAAATACCATGTCATACCCATAAATCCATTGATCAAGCATCATTATCCCTACTGAAATGTTTTCAGACAAACTTAAGTGATGGATTGAAGCGAGAAAAGGGGCAATCAATGTCTCTGCAGTTCAAGACCCGGGGAGAATGTGATGGATGGAAACAACGTGTTCATGATGGCAGGATAATCCAAGAAATGTGTGGAACAGGAACAAACTACAATGTAAGATGGAGAGACATGGGGTTATCTCGCCAAACTGTGTATCCAGCATAGGTGTGTATTCCATAAATGATTCGCTGGACACTCGCTAATGAAAAATTGTCAATAAGGTTTAGTAAGTACCAAATGGATCGAAATTGCTGCAGTAGTGACCAATATGGAAAGAATTCGCAAGCACTGAAATTATAGTGAAGACAATGGTATGGAACTGGTTATTGAGTTGAATAAACAACCAGTTGGCCCTGCAGACTACAGATCGGCTCATGTTTAGTAGCAATTAGCCATCAAGTTATAGGGATACAACAATTTGACTGATACCCATTTGAGCAGTGTTCAAAACCCCGGTGGGTTGATGGTTAAATAGGGTTTTGCTCCCAATTCATGCGGGATTCCCATAGAATCCATTAACGGAAGGCCTATGAACCAACCAGTTATTGATACAGGGACGACCAAACCCGGGTCTACCATTGCGAGTTGACTTCAGGTACCTTCGGGCGCTCAGGCATAGATCCTGTGTCTAGAGCGAAGATCAGAGGAGGAGATGAACATCTCCAGTGTAGCATCAACTGAGGCAAGTCAACATGAACGTTATTGCTCCACCCCCTACCTACCCACACCATGTGTATACGCAAGTAAAAATAAGTAAATAAGTAAATGAATATATATATATATATACATACATACTTATATATATATAAGTATGTATATTAGAGTAAAATATGCATATTATAGTAAAACATGTATGTATACATATATAAATATATAAATGTGTGTATATGTATATATGTATATATGTAGCATATTATCTATAGCATCTGTATGTATATATATATATAGTATATTTATATAGCATATGTACATAGTATATCCATATAGTATATATATATATATTATTTAGTATATATAGAGTATTTAAATATATAGTATCTATATAGTATATAAATAGTAAATATAAAGTATATATACATAGTATGTCTATATAGTATAAATATATACTATATATCTAGTATATATATATACAGAATCTACATATATATAATTAGTGTATCTATATGGTATATCTATAGTATCTAAATGGTATATCTATATAGAATATATAGTGTATATATAGTTTTTATTTAGTATATATATATAGTAAATACTCAGTATATATATATATATATATTTATACTATATACATATTTAGTATACAGATATTTTGAAAGGCACACTGTCAGGTCCCTATTTTTCCACGTTTTTAGGAATACATTGATTCTGCTACATCATGCTTGATCACTTATGTTTATATACCTTTAATTAGATAATGTTACTTTATGTCATGACAGGATCCTTGAACGCATTGGAAACCACTTTAAAGGTATTGCTAGGATTCCCAAATATTGTTAGGCTTCCCCAGAGGTTGCCAGAGATGTCCAGAGAGCCATCAAGATCCCCAGGGAAAAGGAAGGAAGGAGGAAAACAAATATAGTGTGTGTATATATATATATTGCTTCCCTCAAGGTAGAGGGGGTCCAAGGAAAAAAGAAAAACACATGTTTTTTTTTTTTTTACTTTTTTTTGTTTTTCACCCCCCCACTCTCCTAGCCCTCCTATATATAGCCCTTCCCTAACGGCCGGCTAGGAAAGCCAACGTGAACACTCGGACTATGAAAGTCTATTGACGGAACGTGGAATGAAGGAACGGACTACTGCATATACAAAAACGGGGTACGAAAGGAAGAAACGGAGTATGAAAGAAAAGAATAGCGTACATTTTTTTCAGTTAGGGAAAAGGACGGCATATCGACATAAATTTTGCAAAATTTATATATTAAGCCAGTGGCAAGTAGCACAACGGCATGACGTAGCCTGAGAAACTGAGTGACGTAGCATGAGCAGCTGCCCAAAAAAAATTGTAAGAACATTGATTTCATGTGCAAGGAAACAACACAATGGGAAATAGCAACGCACATTATGCTTTATGTGGAGATGGCGTGTTGTTCCGTATGTTTGAGCAAATGATAGGCTAAATCTTTATTGTTAGATCTGGTGCGTGGAAGAAATCATGTAATGTTTGTGCTTAGTGAGGAAATAGTTTCAGGTACGATAGTATATAATAATCTTGCTACAACTATTCAATATGTCTATACACCATATAAATAGCAGTCTTCAAGTAGATATTGATGTCTCAAGAGCTCCTTGTGATATAGGCAACCTGGATGTTGCATATTCCACAGCAATATGCTTTAGCGGCACACCCAAGGTGCATAAGTGTTTAGAATGTCACTGTAGCCATGTTAAGTGTATGTATATATATATATATATTGATGGGCTTGCATATTCCTTGGTAGTACTACTGTATGTATCGATGATATGGATGGTACATAAGTAGCGCATGCCAATACATACACACATTTCCCACATGTACTTTGCATACGTAATGGAATTCTTCTAGGACCGAATGCAATGAAGACTCTGTGGTTGCAACTGACTTTGATCATAAGAGTTGGAACATGGCAAGGGCAACTCCAACTTACCCTTTCTCCAAACATATTTTTCTTGCATATTTCACAGTAATTTGCTATGCCACTGCACATCTAATGCAGGCACCCTGTTAGCATAATTGTTTGGCCGTGCTTTTATGACAGGATGAGTAACACCAAAAAAAGTTATATAAGATTAGATTGTTTATAAAACTTTGACAGAAAACAGTTCTGACACAACACATTGGACTAGGAAGTAGCGGCTCCCAGAATGCATTCATATGGAAAAGGGGCCCTTCTCCATCCTTTTGATCAATACTGACTCCTGTTCTTAGTTCTTTGACATATATACTGTATGAAACTTTCGTTGTTGTTTGTGCTTTAGCGGGTGGATGGTTTCAACCAGTATGCACGCGCATTGTCACAAATGTGCAGTAGATATACGGTAGAAATGGCAGCTTCAAACATGCACTGATAGCTAGAGGGTTTCTTGTGATAAAAACAATTCATTTTTTTGCAGATACCATAGCCATTTGCTGTGTCAACACATCCAAGCTGCATATGCACTTAGAATGCAACTTATATATATATTTCTTATATAGTACATACAGTTATGGAATGGGTGGAATATAGGTCACCTATGCCCTTACAGACACAAGTTTTGTACATTTTTCCAAAAGTTGGCAAATTCCAAGGGCACTTCCATTTCCGCGGTGCTTCAGAAAAGGCGTTTTTTCCTGCATATGCCATGGTAATTTGCTGTGTCACTGCAAATATAACGGCAGGATTTTAGTACCATAAATGTACTCATGACTGTGGGTAAAACTTAAACTATGTCAGTATAAGTTTATCATGGTAACCAAAAGGGCACAAAACCAAGTAAAGAAACACTTAAGCAACCTTCCCAAACAAGTGTATCTATAGATGGCTGCCTTGTCAGTGCATTGATGCAGCAAGTTACCATGAAGTATGCAAAAAATATTGCAACTACTTGAGCAGGGACAGTAGATTGGAATTTGCACTTTCATTTGCCAAAAGGGTTCCACTGGAACTGTTGTGTCAACCAAAAGGCGACCTGGCAGTCCAATAGCAAAAACCACCAATGCAAATACCAAGTGCTATGTATATATATATATATGTATGTATATATGTATGTATATATGTATATATACAGTCTTTGCCTAGGGTAGTACCTATAATATATACATGAAGTACCAGCTGACACAATGAATCTCTATGTTTAAAGACGTTATTGGGCAAATAATTTTCCCATTCATATACCAAGACCACCTATCAAAAACCAATAGAACTACAAAAAGCAAGCAGCCAAGAATAGAGCTAAGGATTAACATACCAAAAACAACACATCTCTCAAGAACTTTGATCTTCCATATGATCAAAGATGAAAAACATAAAATATTCAAACACCGTTCAAAACCACGTATTTTTTTGGACCTGGTGAAGAAACACACACTGTGGGGTAATTGCCAGTAAAAAGTGTGAATGATGTCATAGTCTTCGCCTGATTTCCTGAGTTGCCTGGCAGTAGAATTTCAGCGGACGCAGATTCGCGATCGAAGAAACAACGCACAGCTCATAAACAAGAACAGAAAGTCAACAGTTGAAACTATAGCAGGTACGTAGATCAGGCGTCCCTGATCTATATCCTTACCACATGTCACCCAGCTTCGTTGGCAGAGAAAGTGACATGGGTATCTCTGCCCCCTGCTTTTTAGAATAGTACAAGAGCAATGACAAGAACTAAAACCGTTTGTTATAACGGTGTACACACACATTGGCCCCGAAATGGGGCAAAACCGCAAGCTGCCTAGTTTTTACCTAAGAAAACTGACCTAAAGAGCCTGCCTAGGAGAATGAATACCTGGCCTAAAAGAACCTGATGACGATGACGAGTGATGTGAGAAGCAAAAAGTTAAACCGTGTTCTATAAGTCGTAAATCCTAACAGCAAAGAAAATGCGTATGCAAATGCTGTACGTTGGAGTTCAAAAACGATGCACAAGACTGTACGATAAAGCCTTACAGCCAAGACCTCATTTGTAATTCCATCTCATCGTCAAGAACAAATAATCGCACAGGTACATTGGCAAGTGGAAATTCTGAGTTCCGGAACTGCAGAAAGTGCTTGAGTTGTTGCTGAGCTCTTGACCGAAAAGGTTCCGACAAGGTTTGGCTCAATCTGCATAACAAAATTCCCTGCTGTATCAAAACATGATTGATTCATCAAAACTAAACCATTTGCTATATAGTAACCTAAGGAGCCTGCCTAAGAGAGTGAATACATGGCCTAAACAGAACCTGATGACGATGATGAGTGAGGTGAGAAATAAAACGTTGAACCATGTTCTATACTTAGTAAAACTGACCTAAGGAGCCTGCCTAAGAGAATGAATACATGGCCTCAAAAGAACCTGATGACGATGACGAGTGATGTGAGAAACAAAACGTTGAACCATGTGCAATACCTGGTAAAACAAACCTAAGGAGCCTGCCTAAGAGAATGAATACATGGCCTAAAAAGAACCTGATGACGATGACGAGTGAGGTGAAAATGCTACTGAGACTCCGACCAGACCAAAAAGCACTTGTATTGCACCCGTGGTGCTGGGAACTTCGACTTATGTCTGCTTTGTCCGAACTGGACGAAAACTTCTGCCTTATGGCTGCTTCGCCTTATGGCTGCTTCGATTGGATTTTACAGTGTAAAATCTTGACTCCGTCATATGACGCTTGAAATGCACTCGAAGTGCATACGGCTTCGGAGATTCATACTCCACTCGGAATACGGGAAAATGCCCGCTCATGACTTTTTGATTGGTCGAAACCAACCGACGGTGCGACCAAGTTAGGTCAAACACCCAGGACACACTGTGGGGTAATGGCCAGTAAAAAGTGTGAATGATGTCATAGTCTTCGCCTGATTTCCTGAGTTGCCTGGCAGTAGAATTTCAGCGGACGCAGATTCGCGATCGAAGAAACAACGCACAGCTCATAAACAAGAACAGAAAGTCAACAGTTGAAACTAGAGCAGGTACGTAGATCAGGCGTCCCTGATCTATATCCTTACCACATGTCACCCAGCTTCGTTGGCAGAGAAAGTGACATGGGTACCTCTGCCCCCTGCTTTTTAGAATAGTACAAGAGCAATGACAAGAACTAAAACCGTTTGTTATAACGGTGTACACACACACACTCTCTCTCTATATATATGTGTGTATCTTTACATGTAGTATATATATATATATATTTATGTAGTATATACATATGCAGTATATATTTATGTAGTATATATATATATGTCTATATCACAGACATGCAGACATACAGACGTACATCCGTACGTACATCTTCATATCATATCGACATCAAATATACCTGCCACGCCCTGGCACGGTTTTTGGCCAAAACATAGATCTAAGCAACAACAAGTTGGGCATTATATACATGGTTGTACTGAATTCTCTAAGGAATCCAGTTCATACCCAAATTTTGTGAATGACCAACCCTTCGTTTCCACAAATCGAGGTAATTACATATTAATGTTAACCCCAGATCGATAGACAGCGATAATTCTGATAGTTTCACAGTAAATGTTGTACCCCCCATTAGTATACTGGGGATTGATTAGTCTTGGGTTAACATTAGCCGTGGCCACCCCTACACATATCTATCAACCAGATCACCATCGATTTGATACCCATTAGATCATATTACATCAACATGATTTTCACCTACTCCAGGAGTAACATATATGAAATAATACATTGGGTCCATGATTCATCTATATTCATCTGTAAATACCAAATAACAATAAAGATTTGTATCAAAACATGTTTTTTCACCGCACTCCAGGAGGTATCATGGACCTCACGCTTGGGATGTTGCGACAACGGGGCCTCCTGGACTGTCCCGAATTCCTTCAGCGACTTCATATCTTCGTGGCGCACAACGATCCGCACTTCGCCAAGGGATGCGCCTGGGCTGCCTGGGCTGCCTGAGCCTGGGATCTTGCCTTCCTGGGATCTGTCTATCTGTGTCTGCATATACTATATGTATATACATATTTGTCTATCTATCTGTATCTATATCGAGTCTATCCATCTATTTATCCATCTACATGTTTGTCTATCTATCTACCAATCTGTCTGTCTATCGATCACCAGCTGAAAAGCAGGATGTATAACGTTGATAGGTTGGTCGGTTGGCCATGCTTGGTGGTGGTTCAGCAAGGGAAACTGGGTGAACTAATCCTTGCGTAGTTTGAATGTGGAGCCACTCCAAGAATCATATCACCACCTGACAAACCAGTTATATGCGAGATATTTACCCTTGATAGGATCTTAACCATAGTGCTTCTCGCTCAGTATATGCCATATATTGAGCGAGAAACGCACTTAAGAAGTGGTGGGAAGAATCTGAGGGTCAAAGTAGACATTCACAATGAAGAGACTATCAGAATGCATATCAGTTGTGGTCTTTTGCCATTTTTGTCTCCGGTGTTTAGACATGTTTTAAACATGTTTTTAGGTTTGACCTAGATCCATTTAAGTGAACACCCTTGGCAAATACCTCCCAGAAGTAAATAGAATATATGGATTTGCCTGAAAATTGGTTATCTCCCAAGTCCAACGGATAGTGCCGGCCACACGTTTGGGAAGTTCTCCTAAGGCGACAAGTAGAAATCATTCGGTTCAATTTTGGGTCCGTTCAACTACAAAGGACTCCCCTTAGGGGCGTAAATTATTGCTTATAACTAACCCAACTGGGACTGATGGTCGATCTGGATCTAAATATATATATATACACACTTATAGTGCTTAGATGATTCTATAAACCAAATTGCCTATCGAAAGGGCCAACGACTTACATAAATCCAAAAAACATGTTGGTTCAATACCATTTTGTTTTCAATACCTACTGATAAAATTACTGTCAAAATGTCATCATCTAATCGCCACTTGTTATTTTTCCTGTTTGAAGTCATGGGCTGCTCAGTGCCAGGCTATGAAAAAGTCTTGGGAAAGCTCTCTGATCGCATCATTGTGGGTGTGCGCGGGGCTGACTTGCAGGCGGGACCATATGAAACCTGGTGAGATCCACCCTGAAGTCCACCGTTGTATTTCCTATGGTAACTATGCCTCCATCAATGAGGTTGAAAATGGAGGTGAAAGAGAAACATATGTTCTTAAGCACCATTTTGTGTGGGTCATTTTACGATTCGCCATGTTTTCACTGCTTCAGATCCCCGTTTTTCGGTTGGTCAAAACTACCATGGAGGCCATCATTGAGGCATGGGAGCTGCATCCCTCTTTTTTCTGTGAGGTGCGCTTTATTGAGGAATGTTTTTTACCTGGAACCCACGTGGTCGTGGCTGATGTGACCCGGTGCAGAGGTGATGGGGCAAGCTTTAACGGGTTGATAAACCTGGCCAAATTATAACAGCCTAACTAGCCAACCAAGGCCCCCAAATGATAAGTTCACGGGAATGTCAAATTGATTAGCAGTGGGGGATGGACATCCAGAAATATCCAGAAGGAAAGCATAACGAAGATTCCGAGTAGGAGCACTGTGCCTATCAACAAGGGAAACCTTGAGATGCCGGGTAAACTGATTTGGAGCCGCTGGGGTCCGTTTGAGTTCAAGGTTCTGTGTAGCTTCTGTACAACTGACAGAGGCAACAAAAGCAATGGGCAATGACAACTTTGATCAATTTGGGAACTATGCCCCACCTGTTGCTTGCGTACTTTGTTTTCATTATGAAATTAACAATATTTGGTTGCCCATTTTTTTGGGGACATGATTCATTCACAATAGTGAAGGAGAGGTCAGATCATCCTGAAAGTTTGGGAATCAATTTTAGCAGGAACATCCATACTCCTATTATTTTGGTCATGGTTCAGAATGTATAACACGATAGACAAACCACCAGTATTGATGGGATACATTCGGATACTATTTTGCAAGATAATACCAATTTCAACACCTTCCATTACCCACTGTACAGTTGCTTTGAACGGTGGTATCTCCACAACCCCCCCCCTTGTTGATTGGCTGAGTCCTGTTGAAGCCTCTCCTTGTTGACACACCCGTCAATTACATGTATTTTGACTGGCGATATGTATATATATATATATACACACCGTATATTATATATACCGTATATTATATATACCAGTAGTACCCGCACGAGGCGGGGCGGAAGTTGCCTTAAAGATATATATATATAAGACCTTTCTCATCTATAGAACTTGCATGCGCCATGCGCCAGCCAAGCCCGTGCGTGCGTGCACTCTGCGAAACTGGTGTCTTGTTTCACATATCACATTTGAAGCTCCACTTCACACTTCACACTTGACAGTCTTCACACTCCACACTACACACTTCACACTGCACTCTTCACACTGCACTCTTCGCACTTCACGCTCCACACGATTCACACTTCACACTGCACTCTTCCCACTCCACACTTCACACTTCACACTGCGCACTTCACAGTCCACACTTCACACTGCACTCTTCGCACTCCAAACGTCACACTCCACAGTCCACACTTCACACTTCACACTCGACACTTCACACTGCACTCTTCTTGCCCCACACTTCACACTGCACCCTTCATCTCATCTGAGCTCTTCTCACCTTATCCCAGCTCAGCTCTTCTCATCTCATCTCTTCTCACATGCCATCTAAGCTTTCATGAATCACTTCCCACTACTACTACAAAGGAACTTGCATGCGCAGTGCGCCAGCCAGGCCTGTGCGTGCGTGCTTTGTGCGAAGCTGTTGCAATGTTGTTGTCCAAAAACATGACCAGCGTCGTTGTTGGAAAATTACTAGCGCCAAAGTTTAGAAAATCTGCTGACAAATCACTATCGCAGCCTGGATGCAGCCATTCCAATACGAATTACGCTGTTCAGCTGCAAAAGACAATAGTATTACGCATGCAGCCGCGGCACCGAGCAACCTTGACGCAGCCACTACAATGCGATCTGCAGAGACTGAGTTGCAAAACACAAGAGAACTACGCGCAACGGAGTCGCAAATTGCAGCTTCAAAACCAGATCTCGACGCCAAAGCAGGAAAAAGATGATTTTGAAGCATTTTTTAAAAGGATTTTTAGAAGGAAAATTACTAGCGCCAAAGTTGAGAAAATTTGCTGCCATATCACTATCGCAGCCTGGATTTTCTATTCCAATACGATTTACGCTGTTCAACTGCAAAAGACAATAGTATTACGCATGCAGCCGCGGCACCGAGCAACCTTGACGCAGCCACTACAATGCGATCTGCAGAGACTGAGTTGCAAAACACAAGAGAACTACGCGCAACGGAGTCGCAAATTGCAGCTTCAAAACCGGATCTCGACGCCAAAGCAGAAAAAAGATGATTTTGAAGCATTTTTTAAAAGGATTTTTAGAAGGAAAACTACTAGCGCCAAAGTTGAGAAAATTTGCTGCCAAATCACTATCGCAGCCTGGATGCAGCCATTCCAATACGATTTACGCTGTTCAACTGCAAAAGACAATAGTATTACGCATGCAGCCGCGGCACCGAACAACCTTGACGCAGCCACTACAATGCGATCTGCAGAGACTGAGTTGCAAAACACAATAGAACTACGCGCAACGGAGTCGCAAATTGCAGCTTCAAAACCGGATCTCGACGCCAAAGCAGAACAAAGACGATTTTGAAGCATTTTTTACAATGATGTTTAAAAGGAAAATTACTAGTGCCAAAATTGACAAAATCTGCTGACAGATCACTGTGGCAGCCTGGATGCACCCACTCCAATACGATTTACGATCTTCAGCTGCAAAAGACAATAATATTACGCATGCAGCTGCGGCACCGAGCAACCTTGACGCAGCCATTACAATGCGTTTCGCAGCATCCCGTAGCAAACCTGCACCTATCTACACACGTGGCAACATCAAATCACGACAATGAGGCAGCCATTCCAATGCAATCTGCAACCAGAGATTCAAGAACCGCATAGAACTAACTACGCACACAGACACAACCACTCGTTGCAAAACACATAGGAGGAACAATTCGCGCACAAAACGACCCCAGCCGCAACCGCCGCACAGACGAGGTAGCTTTCATCGCCGGCTGCAGCCACTTTACACGGAAAAACACAAGGTTTCGTGCTCCGGCTTCCTCCCCAACACACAGCCCATGCAACATCATGCAGCAATTCCAATGCAATCTGCAACCAGAGATTCAAGAACCGCATAGAACTAACTACGCACACAGACACAACCACTCGTTGCAAAACACATACTAGTAGGAGGAACAATTCGCGCACAAAACGACCCCAGCCGCAACCGCCGCACAGACGAGGTAGCTTTCATCGCCGGCTGCAGCCACTTTACACGGAAAAACACAAGGTTTCGTGCTCCGGCTTCCTCCCCAACACACAGCCCATGCAACATCATGCAGCCATTACAATGCGTTTCGCAGCATCCCGTAGCAAACCTGCACCTATCTACGCACGTGGGAACATCAAATGACAACAATGAAGCAGCCATTCCAATGCAATCTGCAACCAGAGATTCAAGAACCGCATAGAACTACGCACACAGACACAACCACTTGTTGCAAAACACATAGGAGGAACAATTCGCGCACAAAACGACCCCAGCCGCAACCGCCGCACTGACGAGGTAGCTTTCATCGCCGGCTGCAGCCACTTTACACTTTACACAGAAAAACACAAGGTTTCGTGCTCCGGCTCCCTCCCCAACTCACCACTTGCCTCCGTCACCACTTCCCTTCCTCACCACTTCCCATCGTCACCACTTCCCTTCCTCACCACTTCCCGTCATCACCACTTCCCTTCCTCACCACTTCCCATCGTCACCACTTCCCTTCCTCACCACTTCCCATCGTCACCACTTCCCTTCCTCATCCCTTCCCATCGTCACAATTCCATCGCTTCCACTTCCCTTCCTCACACTTCCCATCGCCACCACTTCCCTTCCTCACCACTTCCCATCGTCACCACTTCCCTTCCTCACCACTCCCCTTCATCACCACTTCCCTTCGTCACCACTTCCCTTCCTCACCACTTCCCTTCGTCACCACTTCCCTTCGTCACCACTTCCGTTCGTCACCACTTCCCTTCGTCACCACTTCCCCTCGTCACCACTTCCCTTCCTCACCACTTCCCTTCGTCACCACTTCCCTTCGTCACCACTTCCCTTCCTCACCACTTCCCTTCGTCACCACTTCCCTTCGTCACCACTTCCCTTCGTCACCACCCCGTCATTGTCAGCACCCTTCATCAAGGTCAATTCCACCGCGTCTTTATCTTTTGTTATGTATTGTTATGTTATGTATTGTTATACGATCTACCGCCCTTCATCATTTCAAGTCTCAGAATTCTATTTGTCCGTAACACGGAAGTATTGCTTCCCAACTTCCTTTGATGATATATATATATATATTTATATATACATATATGATATATATGTATATACATATCATATATATATCATATATATATATATATCACATATATATATATAATTTATATATATATATATATATCATATATATATATATGACATATATATATATCATATATATATGATATATATATATATATCATATATATATATGTCATATTTACACACACATATATATATCATATATATATATATATATCACACACATATATATATATCTATATCATATATACAATATATATCATATATGTATATATCACACACACATATATATATATATATATCATATATATATTTATGTATATATATATATATGCCCCCATTTAATCTTTTCTACCGGTTGGCTCGAGCTTGTACGCTTCCTGATAAAATTCCGATTTGGTGGCGGTTGACAGCTGCATTTTGTCTCCTGATTGGAATAAGCACTCAGGACAATATCCAGACCTTGGAAGAGGCCCCTCCGGTGACCGAACCGAAACCCAGCCACAAAGAGAAAAATCGCCCGGTGCCCAGCATGGGGAGCTTTCCCAGCAACCAACATTTGGGTTTGTCTGAAAATGGAAAACCCCCTAAATCCACTGGATCATGATACATCATGATTTTCCGATGAGATTGGCATTTGAATTGCACTTTGTAATCTCCCCCCATTTCGGGGGACCTCAAAAAACCTGGATCTTTATCGGTCATTATCGCTTGGAATACGGATGAACGACATTCCGCCAATCTCATTCCCCTAATATTAAACACACCATAAACAGTCCCAAATATGTGTAAATCATCTACTGAACCATGATTTCTTGGGGTGTATGTGTATAATTATATTTACATGTAGGGGAATCTTAGAAAGTGGAATCATCCCAATAATTGGTTTATATTTCTGATGCATTTGCCGTGATCTATGCAATTTCCCAACCCTCGTCGACGTGGATTCATATCGACAAAGCTGTCAACAACACCCTTTGGTAAACTAACATAACAATGGAAAATCACAATTTTTGCTAGGTAAATAAACTATAAATGGCAATTTTCAATAGCTATGTTAGTCATTACCAGGGAGTAGGTTTGGGACTTACCCTGAAATGGCCGAACTTCTCAGGTTATTTCAAAATGACATTCAGGCAACAAGATGTTGGATTTTCGCACGGTAGTCTAGCTTGGAAGTAGATATGGCTGGGGAAAGTCAAGAATTTTGATGGAAGCTCATCTAGAAATGGGTCTTTGAACCTTCAGGATTTTGGAACCACTAGGTTGAGTTAATGGATAATCTGCAAGAAATCATGATTTCTAGCATCAACTCTCGATGTTTCCAGGGCATTTTCGCTTAAACCATCTCTGGAAGAGCTGTAGTCCCATGGTTGTTCGGATGACATACGCATTCTCGCTGGTGAAGTAGCACATTTTTTTTGAATATAGCTGTTCCTTGTAGTTTTTGTTGCTTCAACTCCCAGCAAGGCTGGTGCTCTTGTCACCCCCAGTCCAAAGGGTCACACCGCACCCAGGTTCCAATCCATGGGGTACCCCGAGTCATCCAATCGTCATGGATTAGACCATGACTTAGTATAGGTTAACAACCCATGGTGACGACTGCGGACCCGCATATCGACTGAATCCAAGGTACGGAATGGATTTTTCCCTACACAACCATCAACCCCCCACACACACACACACACATATATATATATATATAGATACTTACACCCGCAGAACCTAGTGTTCGCCCATGATGACCAAGTATATCACAATTTTCCCACGGTTTTACCACACGTTTCATCCGCGGTTCTATCCGCCTTGCAGGGATGGACGGTACACTAGGTGTGGCCCCACGGGTACGACACGAAATTTGCTTCATGGCTCGTTTCACAATAATTTGCGGCAGCAACAGCAACAGCAACCCCTCGCAGACTTCGTGGGGGTCCGTGGAAAAGAAGGGCCGTTTCGTGCGATAAAACACAGACTCCGGGCAAAAGTCCAGATCTGTGCGTGTACGTAAAATTTATATTATATTTTCATAATATCTATCTATCTATCTATCTATTAATCTAATCTAATCTAAATCTAAATCTAAATCTAATCTAATCTAATCTAATCTAATCTATCTATCTGTCATGGTTTGATTTCAAATCCCTTGATTCTTGCAGATCATGTTTTCCCATTTTTCCAGGCAAAGTGCAGCCATTAAACTGGTCATGAAGCAAGGCCCTTTGGTGGACCTTCATGCCGCAGATCTACGGGACCTGGTGAAAAGGGCGGCCGATGCCATGCAGAAACATGAGGCACATCTGTGACGCGGCACCGAAGCCGAAGGCGGATCTATCGACCCCATGGAACACTTTTAAAGGGATAGGAGGTAATGGAAATAGTCGACGTTTCTGAAAGTCGACATTATTTTTTGTCGCTGATGATCTTTTCCCTGATGATGTCCAGGTTGCGAGTTTTTGAATCGAGGGTTGCTTGTGTTTTTGTGTAGCAATGAGGAATTGATGCATGGCAGGTGGGCCTGGAAGAGCAGATTTCAACGAACAACTTCCGAGAACAAACTTTCAACGAAAAATGGCGTGGTAAAAGTCAGCCCTCTGGTTATCTAATCATGCTTTGGAAAATTCAATATTTATAGATGGTTTAATGGTGATTTTCCATAGCTACTCGTCGGTTAAATCACCAGACGGTAGAACATGTGGTGTTTGATTCCCCAAAAATGACGATCTAAGCAAGAAGACTGGGATTTCATCAGCAATATTCAGCAATAATCTACATCTAGCCAGCACGCATGTGGATGATTTGGATTTCGTCAGCAAACCACGACATGAAACTGAAACAGATAAGAAAAATGTAGCTGATGGCTGCTGGTTGTGCTTAGCAAGTCCTGTGCATTTTTATGATCTAAGAATCGCCATTTTTTTTTCGAATTGGTGCGTCAAAAACCAGACTACAATCATGTGAAGTTTTAGCATGCTTTAGCCACTTTTCATCCCATTTCGATGTGTAATTCCACGGTTAATTGATCTCACATGTTTACTTGGATTGCAATTCATCCATCCTCAACATTTGTTACCTGGGGCTCATGGCATTTTCAGGGACCCCGACATGGTCGTGTTCCATCTTACTTGAATATATAATGATATCAACTGACTTTCACGGTCTTGTGATCGGTTGAAACCACCAAGTGAAAATGCCAATCGAACTCCTGAAATTATCAGCATCAAATGCCCTCAGGTTATGCTTCTAGGTTTAGTTTCACCCCAAAACATCCATTAACTATGGACATGAAATGACATTAATCTACCAACCACAAACCATACTTAAACTAGTTACACATCAACTTAGCTAACGTAAACAGGGGCACCACCTTGCAGTAATCGATGGTACGAAACCATGGGTGAGAACTGACCATTACAATTGCAAGACCTCTCACTACTTGTTTTTCAAGGTTTTATATAGGTTATTTTATCACCATATGTGCCACGGTCAAAAGCTGGATTGTATATATCCACCAACAGGGAATTATATACCCATTACCCATTACAACAGGAGGTTTGGCGCAGGAAAAACCATTTAGTAGGATTTTACTTTTCTCTTCTTCTGGGAGGTCTATTATATGTATGACATGTTTGTCCCCATATTTGCGGTCTGTTTATCCCATGTTCTCTGTTCGTCTCTAAGACGAGTAAGACGAGTAGCTTAGGTGGAGTATCTCCCCGACCTATAACAAGCTCTTCCTCACGAACGCTCAGTCCTTCAATCTCCGCACTCTGGCATGGACACCTGCAGAAGTTGAGGGATTTATTACTTTTCCACCACAACATATGTTTAGCCTAGGCAGCCTAGGGTAAACTGAAATAGATGTGGAAAACCCATGGTTCCCTAAAGAAATGATCTACATGTGCTATAACTATGTTAGTTTACAGGAGGGTAATCAACATAGAGTTAGTCAACCAAGAATTGGGGCTTCCCAAGAGAACATCTAATGCGAATGTACAATCAGGGTTGCTCCAAGAATTACATCGTTGCCGGAAATTGACTCAATTCCCGCCAAGGCATCTAGGGTCTGAAAAATTGAAAGCTGTGGAAGGTAGTGAGATCATGAGGAGAAAACCTGGTGTTGAACCAGCAAGACTGACGGTCGAAACACAAAGGAGGACTTTCACCAGACCAAAATAGGGGTTTCCCTAAAATGGCCACCATGGTTGTTTCAATTTTCAAATGGTCTAATTAAGGACTTGAATGACTTGGATGATGTGGGGTAACTTCATTTTAGGATACCTCTTAAAATGATGTTTCGAAAAACTGGGCTGTGGGATTTCCTATTGGGTTTTGAGGCTTCAGAATAGTCGTGCCGGCGTTTTGCTGGCCCTGATTGATGAGTTAATGACTCCTAAAACGTATGATGAATATCAATACCTGTATCATATAAAATAGTACAATATGCTATAATACAATATAATATATTATGATATATAATATAATATGATATATTATAATATATTATGCTATATAATATAATATGATATGATGCAATATAATATGATATAATATAATATGATATAATATTTTAAGATATAGTATGCTATATTGTTATATAATATATAATATAGTATTATTGGATATAATATAATAGAATATACCATGATTTAATATATTATGATATATAATATAATATGATAGAATAATATGATATGATATAACATAATATAATATGATATAATATAATATAATATCATATATAATATAAAATGATATGATAACATATAATATGATATGATATAACATAATATGATATAATATAACATAATATGACATGATATAATATAATATGATATAATATAATATAATATGATATAGTATAATATAACATTGGGGGTAAATTACAACGACCTCACTGCAACCTCACTGGAATGATGGTTCGTAGGGGAAACAATAGGGACATCATCCTCAAATGGCCTTATTTCAGGTTAGTGAAATATGATAATTTACCCACAATATGTATAAATATACATATGTACTGTATATCTATAGACTCTCTCTCTCTCTCTCTAAAGTGTATGGTGATATATATATATAAAATATACACATAAACAGAATAATATGTATATATGCATATATACATATACAGAATAATATGTATATTTACTTGTATATTAGTTGTATGTATATATACCATACGTACATTCTTTTTTTCACGATGTACCAGCCAGTTCTTGGATGCACATCCACGGTGATGATGTCCGCCATTCCAATTCCCAGGTTTGGGTTTGACCTTTGGAGCTTTGTTCGGCTTCATCGTCTCTTGGCACGGCACAGTAGGCGAGCAAACCTACGACTTCACCGAAGGTTTTTTTTTTGGGTGGGGAACCAGACGTTTCATGGCCTTCAAAATGCCTGAAAGATCAGTTTTGTTTCTGATCCAGGCATATCCAGCCACAATTTTGGCAAGATGGCCGCCAATTGCCATGGAATTGAAGTACACATCCGTGGTGTGGGAGGTTAGCCACAAGATTCAACATTCAAGAAATTTGGCATGACATCAAGAATAAGGCCTTCATGATATCTAAAGTAGTTGGGATGAGATAATCCTCATCAACACGTGCTTTGTACGGCTCACACCGTTTTGCGTTTTTGAACATAGGGTATACCCACTTAAAAAATGCAATTTGATGGGAAAAATCATGAAACATGGCCATGAAACGTGAGATTTTGGGGGTTTGACCCCAGGGCCACCAGGCCTTTCCAGGCCCAGATCACCGGAGCCCAGGCCCTCCACGAACCTGAGCTTTACAGCCAGTATGGCCAGGTCAAGGACATCTTTACCGAAAAAACTGGGGGATTTGATCCTTGAACTGGCCATTTAGATCCATTTAACCTCAATAAAGTTTAATAAACACATAGAATTTCAGGGATCAAAGATACGGGATTATGACTTATGAAATCCTTGCAAAGATTGAGGCCCAACTTGACTGTAGCTTTGGGACAGACCCTTTGACCAGCAGGCACTTTGATTGAAATTATTCTACCTGCACCTTCAAACGATCAAAATAAATTGTCTGTTTAGGCTGTTGACTATTTATTTATGGATCGCTTAAAAAAAGTGGCCTTTGACCCTGAAAAGCTACTTTCTGAGATTTTCAGTGGTTTGTAGTCAGAAGACCCATTATCATATTATAAGAAGCCACAGGCCCATAAACCTTCCCAAACCTTACATATTTGGGTGGATTCATCCATCCATCAGTCATCCATCCCGGCGTGGCTGGAAGTGCCGCTTCTTTCCTCGGCTGTGGCTCGGTGCCAGGGAGCGGTGGCATGGGGTGCAGGTGGCCAATGATGGTCAAATTAAAAATATATCCAAAAAACACCAGCTGGACACTAAGCTATACATGTATTCACACAATGCTATGTATGCTGTGTATTTAAAAAACACATATGCTATGTATTAACATGTTCCTAGCCCTACAAGGCATATGATATATATATATATATATCTATATATGCACGTAGGGCAGGCAGTGACTTTACATGCACCCGTGATGGCTTGCCACTGGGGTCTTTGACCAAACTTGGAGAGGCAGGCTTTGTGCTTGCAATGGCAGTGCCACACACCATGCAGTTATTTGTGGCATTTCTCAAATGAACTCATGACTGCTCTTCTTGCAGACTGAGGGAGGCTCGAAGCAGCACATCAGAAAATGTATGCTATCAGGCTGCTAGCATATTATAAAATATGTACGGCAATCCTCCGATACCTGTCATATAAAATGCATATGCCATAATTACATATATGTTTTGTTCTCGCAATCGTTGTGTAGAATGCTGACTGGTGCAGCAATGTCTTTGGACTTGGTTCCACGTGGTGATGATGACCGAGAGTGTGATGATACTCGTGGTTCGGGCACAGATCTGGCCAGGGCATGGGAGGCCATTTCTTCGCTTCGACGTCGGGCTCAACTACACCAACTCGTTGCTAGGTTTTGTTCACAACGTTTGCGTGCATAGAGGAGCTCTTGTCTTGTTGTATGTTGCATGTGTAGACACATCGATATCTCATATTATGTTATGTCCATGTGCATGTGGGGCATCCAGATAGATGTGCTAGATAGATTGAAATCTTTACACAGATTTAGATAGATACGCAGATAGATATACATGCATGTATATATGAATAGATGCATGGATACAGATAGAACTAGGAATGTCGCAAAATAGGAGTGCCCCAAGTTTTCCTTTCTTCATCAAAAAAGAATGGTTTGGGGCACTCATGGGCACCCCTATCATGCCTATCATGAGATATTCCCAATTTTAGATAGGTCGTCTAACATGTAGATGAATGGATAAATATATGCATGTATTAGATACATGATAGATCGATAGACATATATATATATCAACTGGTGTTTCCTGATGCATTAAAGATTCAAACAATGGATGGGGTACCCTTAGGTTTACTTCAATGAGTCAAATGCCATCACCCGGGCCACGCTGATCGAGAATGAGAAGTTGGTCACCATAGCCCTATCCCATGTGGGGACCAGGGTCAGTGTTCGCACACTGGAAGTACATGTGCGAGCCCTCTATGACTTGATGTCAGTCAATGTTCCAGGACACTCTATCGATACATTTAAATCGATTTTTTTGACACAAATATGTGAATGTGTTGGATTTTTGGTCCAAGTTTTGGGTGCATATCATTTTTTTTTAATACCCTTTTTTGGGCTCTGAGGAAATATTGTTTACATCCAAGCATGGGCCTTGAGACGATTGATCAGCACTTACAACTACCTGATTCGTCGACCCCATGTTCCACGTGAACGAGCACTGAGAAGGATCATGATCTCCCAAGGGATTAATATTGAGCTTGACCCAACACCACCACAATCCATTTGCGACCAGCCTGATTCAGACCCAGAGGCACCATCTGATGAGGACGAAGACATGGACAATGCAACAATGGAGGACGAAGGAGGGGAGGAAGAGATTTGCACGGACGATGAAGAACTTGAAGGTTTCTAAGCGACAACAAATAGACTGAAAAATCTTGAAGTTGAATATGTTACCATTTGAGGTTCTGGACATTTTTTGGCATAAGTCTGCTTCAGGTGCCCCATTGGATGCTGATGGAGCGATCAACGAGCCTCCAAAGGTGTATGAACTTGTTTATATATCACAAATTTCCTTGAAATCCCCCCACCATGTCACAACTCGTGTCCCGGCTTTCTGCCAGGCTTCATTGCCATCGAACTCTACGAAGATGCCAGCACCGGCCTGTGCCAAGGAGTGGTGATGCACTATGTTGGTTACAATTTTTTCAAGTAGATATGATGCGCAGGATTCTATGAAGGATTCCGTGGATGTGGGTGTTATCAAGACTCCTTCTCCCAAAGGCAGGGGATTGGTATCCATTTCTTATTTCATAAACTGCACTCATGAGTGTTGTTGCTTTATCTCATGGAGGTGTGTCTCCACCTACAGTCACCCCAGAGAAGCTTGCCCAGTTCGAGGCAAGGACAACTTATCCTGCATGAATGGTGATATTTACAATTTATACATAGTCTCAATCGATTATTTTTTTGGGGCATGTCCTACTATATGGCTCTGCCAGCAGGCGACGAAGCAACGTCTTGCAAAGCTTGAGGCTCTTCAGGACTTGTTGAAACACCAGGAGAGATTGAAAAAGCTAGTGGAGCTAAAGAAATTGCAGGATCAAGTCCGTGAGATGGAAATCAGGAAAGAGATACATTGCATGAAACTCATGGAAAACATTCTCGACGAGCAGAAAATTCCTCCTCGTCCAATGCCAGAAAGTTCCCAGGTTGAGTTTACTGAACAATTTTCTTTGCTAAAAAGTTGATGATGCTCATTGATTAATATATATATAGATATCAGATATTATAATATAATCGTATTCTAGCACAGCCCAGGCATGGACAATATGGAGACCCAACCTCTTGTCGATGATGGACAAGGTTCGTCACGACTATTGCATGTGTGTGTGCGCGTGTGAGGCAGGTATTAAAAATAGCTACCACCCTGCTTCCTATCCCAGCCAGGTGACAGTCACCAACCCGACGCGTTGAGCACTGACCCTGGCAAAGAACCTATCCCTGCTTCTGGGGACCCAGTGGGTGAGAAACCTGATGTCCCAATGCTTCGCACCCATGAGCCAAGCCCTACTGCACCATCCAGGAGGTTACAGGAATACTTGATAAAGGCAAAGGCCTCAAGGATTGAAGCTGAAACCACAAACAGAATAGCTGACACAAAGGATTCCAACCATGGAAAAAGCAGTAGGGAAGCGCACGCCAAGAATGCACATGGCACAAGCAGCAAGGCAACGGTCAAGGTTTGCAAGAAGCACCTAGGCACAACTGAAGATGCAACCCCAACCGAAGCAGCATCACTCCGAGACATGCCTTCAAAGCCAGAAGATTGGGGAAAGCACGAGCCTGTCTCAGCAGATCAGCAACAGCCACCCAAACAAAGAGGTAGGAAGCCGAAGCAAAAGAATGACTGCAAAGACAAGCCTCAGCAAAAGAAAGCACCCAAGCGCAAGTCCAAAGCAAGCAAAGCAGTATCACCTGAAGCTTCCAAGGACATTGCAGCAGAAGCCTTGCCCACAGGGAAAGCAGCAAAGAAAGCAAAGATTGACAAGAAGACCACTCTCTACTACGAGCCCTTGGAGCCAGAAGGTGACATCAACACAGACAAGGGTGCTGCCTTTGATGCCTATGCAGCTGCTTCTGCATCTGCTGATGCTTCCCGACTTGGTGAGCAAAGTGCCAGCAATGGGACAGGAGGTAGGAGACGTAAGGGATCCACAGCAGCAGCAGCAGCAGCAGCAGCAAAGAGCAAGGCAAAGGACAAAGGTGAGGAGCACAAGCCCAGTAAATCCAGTCGCAAAGCTACTCCCAAACCTAAGGGTCGCAGCAGCAAAACCACCCGAATGGCAGGAGACAACAGCCCTGATGGTGAGAGCTCAAAAAAGAAGCCACAACGCACAAGCAAGAAGGATTGCAAGGATGCCAGCACAAAGCAGAAAAGTCCCGAGTACAAAGCCAAGTTGAGCCGTAAGAGCTGTGCCTACAAGAAGGCTTTCAACGAAGCGAAAAAGGCAGGAGTAGAGGAGAACGCAGCCAGAGAAATTGCCAAGAAGGTAGCTAGCATGCTTGGCAACATTTTGATATATAGTACCCATAGTTCCCTTTTTTTTTATAGTTGCACTCTGGGTGTAGGTGATGTTGTAGAATCAGCTTGTTTGGTTCTGGGTTGCTCCAACTTAGGCATATGCGGACTGCGTGTGAATGTCTATGTTGGTGGTTGCGCACTCTGCTGACTCTAGACAGCTAGACTGACGGAGCTTCGACCACATCGATGAGTGAACAAATTCTTTATGGCTGTGCAGCTTGAAAACCTCCAATCATTTGAGTGAGGTTGACAAAAGATGAAAAGCTTAACATCATTCATTCAAATGATATTGCAAGCCAAATTGTTGTTTGCGACCTTGCGGCTGCAGAGATGCCTGGACCTCAACTTTTGTAGGGTGGCCAGCATTGTGTTTTTAGACACTGCTGCATTAAGTATCAACCTTTGCACGCATTAATGATGCGCTTACGCCAACGATCGTACCTGGGAAATCCGGTACGTATGGCACATATCTTACATGCTAGACCTAGAGTTGGTCAAGTGCATTCTGGGAGAAAACGCAACCATTTTCTTGCAGTGTCTAGCTGCTGGAACAAATCGAAGCATCATACTTTACTTTTTACATTTCGTTTTCCCTGTTCTCCCACCTCGCCTTTGGGAGGTTCTTCATGGAGAAATGGATAGCCCGGCATGCCTCATCCGGTGGGCACTGGCTCGCTTGAGCTCTCTTTTCCAGGAATCTTGTGTGAATGGAGCAACTGTATGGGTGGCTTCTTTCATTATATGATGTGTCTTACGAAGCCATTTCTTTCAAGGTGTAAGGCTGTACAGTTCGACATGCCATCCAAACATAGGGATAGCATTGTGGTATCTCTTGCGCAAATGCGCTGCCCAAAAGTCTGGAACCTAAGTGGATTGAAAAATCAATTCAAAGAGCGATGTATCATATACGATATATGTTGGCTTGACAAACCTAGGCCTTTATCGGATGTGTCTGGAACTAAGTTTTATTGGTGTTCGGTGGTCTTGGACAGATTGCCAAAAGTAAATAGTAAAGCGCACTGGTCAGGTCCTGCTGGTAATGTGGTCTACCGATGTCACCAGCAGATTTCAGCTGGTGGAGCTCTTCGCAGGGCGTGGCCAAGTGGGTGCAGTATGGAGGCATGTGTCATCATATGCTTAGTATATGCATGGTTTAGTGCTAAATTATCCAAAGCACTCCTATGTAACTGGCTTCTCGACAGGGAGAATGGCCGCTCTGCTGGCCAATACGACTGGGACTATTCCCGAAAGGGCATGGACTTTTTGGGAAATGGTGGCTTTGCGTTCCATACTCAGCATGTTTATACAAAATCGAAAACGGGTTCAATGATCTAACTTAAACTAAGGTCTGCCATCTACATGGCCTTATGTGCGGTGCCTTTGAGCCTGTGGCTGATGGGTCCTGACTGTGGCCCTTGGACAGTGATATCGAGAGGTACCTCATGGAGAAATGTTTGTAACTTCTGGGGCAACCTGAACTTAGAGTGGATCAATGGATCCAACTGCATGATATCCCGGTCCATTGGATTGCACTTAATTGTTTTTTAGTGTGTTGTACTGATCCCGTTTTGGAGCCCTTTTCCCTTGCCCATGTCAGCTGGCCTTCTTTCTGGTGAGGCTGACGTTGCTGCTATACATAGGCACGGCCTTGCGCTGCACGTGGCTGTTGGAGCAGCCGGCTGGGAGCCAACCAGTGTTTGCCAGACACCATCGTTTTGAACATTTCTGCAACACTGTTGCCTTTGCAACCCAGCAATATTAGAGCAATTGATATGCATATTTTCAAAAAAAAATAAGACCACATTAGTTTTCTGAATATTTCCAGATTACATGCATAATCTCATATAGCCAAGGTCTGGAGGCAACGTTTCTGGATGCAACACTTTGGCGCTCCCTCGGCGAAGCCAACTGCTTGCTGGGGAAATGATCCCGATATTCTCCACTCCTTGGTGTGTCCCTTAGGTATATGATAGAGATGAGAGTTTGGGGTTACAATAGTCTATAATATTGAAATGTCATTTGATTCCTAGGACAAAGGTGTTCTCAAGAAGACCTTCCGAGAAGAGCACACCAGTGTGAAAACAACAAGCTACCTGCTTGCAATATATCAATATTCCAGCCAAAATCCAAAGCCCCCTTAGACCCACTTAAACATACCTCAATCCAGCTAAGGAAAGTATAATGACAAGAAGACTGGGAAATCGAGATTTCAAGGAACGCCTGAACTTAAGAGCAGCCAGTGCAATGCTAAGTTTTTTGCACTAGCTAGCCCATCCTGTCTGTGCCACCGGGCTATGCGAAAGCATGGTGATTCGCACTGCTGAGGTGTTATCCCCGAGGACTTGGCGAACATCTCCTTCGAGTACATGATGAGTCCAAGGCTAAGCCAGGCTTGGACATGAGGCAAAAGGCTCTCATTGACCCCATGCTCACAGATCTCCAAATTTTTCGTTCCCTAGAGTTGGATGACCCTTGGGTGGATGCCAAGATTCCAAGTCTATATCTATACTTGATGAAAAACCCACGGCTGTCAATCCCTGATGAATGGCAAGCTCAAATGGAGCTACTTCGATCCGAGCTGGAAAACTATGTCCCTAGGATGCATGTAGATTGTTGGAATGGTTCGTGCATATGTGAAATCCAAGAAGCTTTTGAAATCAGAGTGGGGGCCAGGATTCAAAACATACACATTCCCTTGCGGTGTCCTGATGTCTTCGGCCTCCATAGTCTCTGCTCTTTCCACCTCAGGTGATGACCGAGGAGTCTTTGAACTCAGCAATTCAAAATTCGACCAATTAGAGACCTGTCGCCACACCTTTCTATAATTCGATGGTTTTGGTGAACAAATCATCAAAATCAGCAAAAAAGCCCGCTCAGTTTTTGCATCAAAACGGATTCAAAAACCAATCAAACGGATTCAAAAATCATCAAACGGCCTCAAATCCAGAAAAGTGTCTGTTTAGGTTTTCCTAGAAAACAGCAAAATTATGATGAAAACTCCATATTGATGGGGTATGTGGGAAAATGTGCATGCTGCAGCGGTCTAACCGCTCCAGAAATGGACCGATCCTAGATATGTTTTGCGTGGTTCCAAAACAAAGTGTGCTGCATAGCTTTAATGTACCATGGTGAGCTCATGGACGGTTTTTGGCAATAGGTTTCAAGTTATTTGGATTATTTGCAGCTGTTTGGAGGGCTTGAGAAATCGACCTGGCATACATGTCAGGAAGGAAAGATTTTGGCCAGTGTACATCTTTCCATCAGGGGGTTGCCCAATTAAACATGGCCAGCCAAGCTGCTGATTCCCTTGACCTGGACGCAGCAATTGCAGTAGCTAGATTGCGTATATGGAGTGACTAATGGATTTAGTTCAAAAAGAAACATATCATGCATGGTTTATCCAACACCCAAATTTCTTGCCCTGCTCCAGCTTTGCGATCCGACTGAGGCAGCCAATGCCAAGATATTGGAGCTCCAATCTCAGGTTGGTGGCCTATCAGGGGAAGATCATCGCCCACAACCCGCAGGCACAATTTCACTGCATGCGTGTATACAATATGCGCACAACATGGATTTTGATGATTGTACATATATCTGCATGACATGCTGCGCACCACATAATGCAAAAATAATGCAAAACTACGATTATATAAATTAATAATGTTATAGTATTCTGAACTTTTGCTTGGAGGTGCTGGCTATGTCGAAGCTCGCTCGGCTGGTGGTTTTACTCCAGGATTTGAGCCTGGACCTCCCCTGGACAAGACTCAGCTGTCAAGATTGGGCTCTGTTGCCCCCTCAGAAGTGCCTGTCACCCCATCCCCTAAAGCCTCTGTGCACACACCTCCACAACGTTCAGTGTCCATGGCTGCTCATGCTGATACCACCTCCCAAAGTCCAATCATGATTGGTTCTTCTGGGAGGAAGTTGACCTATGCAGAACAGCAAGCATATTTTCCTGATGCCCAGTATCGTGATGAAACATTACGGACCCCACTCCTTTCTTCGCCAGAAGACACCGATGAGAGCATCTTAAAAAAGAAGACTATGCGCCTTGAGGACACTTTGGTCGATGAAACACAGGAGGTTCCCCAGCACCCTTCTCGAGAGAGTGAGCAAGGTGAACCGCATGGCACAGCACGGTCTAGCAATACTGGGGATAGCGAGGTTGACAAAAGCCAAGCAGGTGAAACCCCTCCCTCTTCCAAGCCCAGTCCCGAGGGGGACATGTACTCAGATGGCACGTATTGGAAGAGTCCCTGCAGCACTATTATATTCTTGTATGTTGTGTGCACGAGTGAGTGGTACATATTGTACTTGCATGTGTATGTGTTCGATCTTAAGGATGCGGAACTACACCAAGCCCAACAAACGTGGTGTGTGCAAAGCAAGTGAGAGTGCAGTTGCAATGTTCAAGACTGAAGATGGAAGAATCTTGGAATCATGCACATGTTTGTGAGTGTTCTTTGCTCTTCTTCACATGTTGCACATATAATATAGGTATGCGCTTATCTCATGAGTAGCTGTAGGAAAGCGACTTCGTGATCTGCTTCTTCAACATGGGAGCTTCGAGCAAGTAGAAGTTGCCCTAGTGAAATATAGAAAGGAAGAAGAAGAGAATACACTTGAAGGAGGTTTCTATTCAGCGGTCGATTTGGCAAATGATGGATGGAATACGTGTCTAGGTTTCATATATGTGTTTCGTTGTGGCCATGATCATCAAATAGTTTTGTTCCACTGCCCATCCTTGCCTCACTGCTCAGGCAGATGATCGAGCATAGTCGCCAGTGGGCCCTTCAGAGGGGCTTGGTGGAAAAAAATGAAGTCCACGGAGAGGAAGAATGGCGCATCCCCAAGAAGCGACGATTCAAGTTTAAGGAACAACATGGTACGGAGGTGACCCAACGTGCTGGAGCTACGTTTCAGGACTTTTCACATATCGATTTCAACCAAAAGAAGTTAGATTCACATATGGTAGCTTCATTTGCATGAGTGACAACATGCAGGATTCCACTGGTGCCATGTTCGAGCAGCAGATTGATCGCCAAGCTTTGGTGACACTTGTTTATTTATATATGTTGAATCAGACTTGAATTAGAATTTCACGATGTATTTTTAAAGTTACGGAGCCCTTCATATTTCATATATATATATATATATTGTAACTAAGGGAAGGTGATGCTGTCAGAAACCCGGCTCAGCAGCTCAGCGCTGCCTCTCATCAAGCAGCTGCGGCATCGAAGCAGAAGGCTCTGCCGGTCCTGCAGGCCAACCAAGATCCCTTTGGTTCTTTGGTGTGGTATAGACTGATTGCATATGTATAGTTTGTGGGCATTCCCCACCAATCAGTTCCCACTGTCAGCCATGTAAGGTCTGTTGGGGGCATTCATAGCTGCAGTTGGAGCAAACATTTCAAAGGCTGAAGAGCAAAAGGACCATTGAAAGTGTTACTGTTACTTGCATCTAGTTTGCAGCATGGATTACTTGTGTGGGTCTCGCTAGGACCGTCTTAGCGATCTCCAAACAGAACGGGCAACCAAGTGCCTTGAACCCATATGACAGTCACATTTGTTTTAAATCCAAAGCCTATGCCATGTGTTGGGTTTACGCCTAAGGATGGCCAAGGAGATGGGGGATGCAATTGTGGAGTATGAGGATCTGTACAAAAAGCTTTTGAAGTATCAAATCGACTTTACCAGTTCCGTCCCTGACAGGCTTGGCCCACTGACTTTTGGCAAAATACCGAGCATGCATTCGTGGTATTGATTTATTCTTTCATGAAGATGTTCTAACATGATCCCTGTAGGAACATTTAAACTGATGATTTGTGTAGGAATGCAAAAGACCTTCTGAGCAAGACCTATGTCCAATGCACACAGCGTGACATGTGTGTCAACAACCTGATCGGCCGGGCAAGGACTGGAATTGTGCTCTCCTAGCCCCATCCCATTCTTCCTCCAACACGTTGCATTGCTGCAGGACCATCAAACCTGCAGCGAAGGCCAAGGCCAGCGCCAAGGCCAACTCTGAGAAAAAGCCACTGCCCCTGAACCGTAGGGCTAAGTCAAAGAAGAATCTAAAGAATGTTGCAAAGGATGATGATGATGATGATGATGCAGAAGAAGATGAAAAGAATGAAGGTGAAGATGACACACCGACTCGCTCTTCTAGCAGCAAGCCAAAAGGCAAAACTGGCAAAGCCAAAGCCGTGGCAGTGCCAAAGACCAAAGTGGTCAAGAAAAAGAAGGCATCCAAGTAGATGTCGATTTGCTTGCCATTGGGGATTGGGGTGTGTAATTTATATCGATTTCAACATGTACTGTGTTGTTGATTCCACAGAATTTTGGCCCCCTTCTGGCTTGCCAAGTTTTTATCTAATCATCGGCCGCCACATTGCACCTCGGCAGCATGGAGCTGCTGGTAGCTTTTGAACCTGGCGGCAACTCAAAGCACGGCTTCGGGAAATCGGGAAAGGAGAAAAAAAGGTCTCAAATTTCTTCTTTCGATTCACTGCTAGTTGAATGCACATGCATTTAAATGGTTGGAAATCCTGCTCTTTAGCCAGGCCGACTGGCAACCAGATCAACGCAGAAGTTATGTTGGGCCCTCTGTTGGATGTACTGGCCATCATATGTTTAGTTCAGCAGCTGGTTTTCTCAGGTCTTCGTCATGACCCTGATTCTGATGATGAGATGGCACAGGAGGACTTGTGTAATGATTTGTTCGGCGACTACTTGAGTGGTGCAACTTTGCCTTAAATTCAAATACCCCAATCAATTTCATATCTAAAATATTGGTTGGCCATCCCCATGGATTGTTCTCTTCATTTGGAAAGTTGCAATCCTTTTGAATCCAAGGCAGAAACCGCGAAACGAACTTGCAAGATTGCTCGCATGATTTGCAAGGTACGCCCAAACAGCATCTTAGCTTCTTTCAAAGGTTGGGATACATTGTGATTTGAATATATTTTCATATGGGGCCTCAAGAATAATATGAAAACAAATTGATCCGAGGACATACTGAAGATACGCTCCTGAAAATTGCCAAAGCTGGCCAATCCAAAACCAATGCCTGTCGGAACCTCCATGTCCTCATCAACCAGGGCAAAGTCTTGCTTCCTGTGCCAATTGATGCAGTGCTGCTACGTGTTGCTCTACGCAGGCCTTATTTTAGGAAGCAAGAACTATATTGGCCAGTGTTGAGAATGGAGGACTGGATCAAAGTCTTGATGGCTAGGGCACCAGAAACTCTTTTGGCTGGCTGTGCATTTGAAAACAAAAGTGCATGGATGAGTATTTTGGATGGGTTTTGGGCAGACTATGAGTCATGCAACCCAACGCATCCAATATACAGTTCGACCCTGCGACGTTCTCATTCCATCCCGTACTTTCTTCATGGGGATGAAGGCAAAACTCTGAGACAACGCAGTTTCATGATTGAATCTTTCCAACCGGTCATTAGCAGAAAGGGTTGCTTGGTATCCAATGAATCGGGGCACCCTGGATGAATTGATATGGGGATGTCTCAGGATGCGGTGCCCTTTTTCATTCTTTAACACGTTATTTTGGGGGCCAAAAGGGGCACCTCATTTGGAGACATACCCATAATAAGTGTATTCAAATAAATCTTAATAGGTATTGAACATTGTCAAAAAGGGAATTTACCAATTTGGGAGCATGTACTCATCCCAGGCATTCCATGACGACCCGATTTCTCCTATCCTGCATATCTTCTTTGTACTATGATGGGGAGCACACATTGGATGACCTCCACCAAGTCATAGCTGATGATGCGACCAAACTTTATGAGTCAGGGATCTTGGTAGCTCTACAGCATTGGCGCATAGCATTGCTACACTACTGCCATCATTGCTACACTACTGCCATCATTAAGCTTCAACTTAGGTGGGGAAGGAGAGACTGCACTTCGTATGCGTGGGAACCAAAGGAGATTGGGTATATCTTCGAAAAGAACCTTCCTGATGATCTTTAAACACTTTGGAGCTGAAATATTTTTTGGAAATATCCCCAATTTATTGATTGGCCCTTTGCCCTGCCATCTCAATTGCGGTTTTAACTGCAATGAGAAGTGCCACCTTTGCGATGCGACTGATTGGCACTGCTTTGGGGAGGACGCAGCATGGAGGGCGACAGTGGGCGTGAATCGATCTACAAGCCCCTTTTGGAATATGCACATACCATTGCTGTCAATTCCAGGAATGACCTCCACAACCATATTGCCTGACAGCTGCCATACTTTCCACTTAGGATGGGGGGTGGACTTGGGGTCTTCGGGTTTGGTGTTGATGTGCAAACGAGATGTGTTTCCAGGGAGAACCTTGGATGATCGTCTCCGAAATGCGTACAGCATGTTTATGTCATGGTGTGCTCAAAACAAGAAGACCTCTGGCATAGATTGGTGGTCCACAAAAAAATTGGATATGGCATCGAAACTTGATCACACATTTGGAATTTTTCTCGACTACATATATGGTAGCCCCAAAACAAAAAATCGAAAGCACTGTAGCGTTAAATTTTGTTTTGCCCATCTAAAGAAGTAAGTAGGGGTCCATCCCTGTAGTATGTTTCACCATATTGCCACTTAGGACCAATGACTGGCCAACATCACTGGGGAGCTCAAAGGCTTTTGATACGTCCCTTGTGTTAGCGTGGCAAGAGTCACTTCTTATTGAGATGGATTCTTGGTATGGGGTTCTCATGGCAAATCTTGTTGGGATCATAATCAAAAGATGTGCATATATGATCATACTTGGGACGCGGTTGGTGTTATGAATGGGCACCATATAATACCATACATGGTGCATCTATCCCATAAGTTAACTGGGATATATATATAATATATTACTTGAAACTGCATTTTTTCTTGTCATTACATCCCCCATATACCTAAGGACTGCCAACATGAAGATCTACTCCAAGCTTTGAAGGTGACTGTTCTGTCAGCCAACACTTACTTTCGCACAATGCGCAAACATGGGGTATTCATCCCAGATCCCGACCGCCAAGTGGTTGTGAGGGCTGGCTATGACATGGTGGCCTCTCGCAGCTGTGTATGAAGATTGTTTGGTGTTACACCCACCAAAGTTTTAGGCATGTACAAGGTTAGCATATCGCTGATTTGTGCGCCCTAGAGACCAGTTGAACAAGGAAGGCTTCAGCTATTTGGCCACTAAGTGCTACAATGCTGGGCTGAAACTTTTCAGGCTCAGGCCGAAAATCCACTTTCAACAGCATCTGACAATGAACATGAGCGCTGGGTCCAAAGGCCTTTCTGTTTTAAGTTTCTAGGCTTGCAATTTTTGAAAATCATTTTTGAGTGCCCTGCAATGAGTCAATCTAGCGCTTTTGCTGTATATATGGTTTACCGCGGTATACTTGTTAAGATTTGGTTTGCTTCCCTGAACTGAGATTATAGCTGCTGGTCCGACGAGGACTTTGTGGGACGGGTGGCGAGATTAAGTCGATCTTGCCACCCAGCCACAGCATCATTCCGAACTTACCAAAAGGCTTTAGCGTTGTATGGTGCTGTGTTGAAACCAAAGGCTTAGAAGCCTGGAGCCTAGGGGGAAGGACCGGGAGCTGAAAAGAAGCTGAGGCATCGGCTGGTTGGGCTGACAATGATGACGTTGAAGAACCATCACCATCATCATCATCATCACATCAGCCATTCTTGTCAGGTGATTCTATGGATGAGACTGGGGAAGCCCAACAAATCCATAAGTTTTATATGGGGGTACTAAGGGTAACTATCTCAAGATCACACAATTATATATATTATATCTATATATGTGATGGATACTCTTTTTTGGGGTTATCACAAACATCATCTCTCAGTTTCTTATCGAAACGCTCAAGTCGATCAATTGTTATCTAAACGCCCAAAAAAACCAGTACAAACCCAAACGCACAAAATAAAACAGGATTTTGAATCTCCAGGTAGTGAAGAACAGCTACATCCAAGGAGAACTGAGTTGTATTTCACCAATGGTCCGTGGTTGGTGGATGAGGCTAAGGTGATGCCAAAATAATACATCTCAATGGTCACTCAAGGTTCGCACCTCCACTATGGCGGTACATAGGCCTTACATAAACCCTTTTCCCCAACTCATCCACTGCGCTGAAGGGAACCTGTCTTTTTTTCGAGTCATGTTTTGCTTCAAAGTGATATGGGGCCTGGCAAGGGGACATCATTTCTCGGTAAATCCATCCATCAATGGGGCAGTTTTTCGCCAACTCATCCAGCGTTGGTGGTTAACCACCGACCAGTGATAGGACCCCAGCCATGATCAACCCAGGGTCGTAACTTGAGCAACAAAAGTCTCTGGAGATTGACAAACTTCACAAATGACATGTCAACTTGGAATGGTGTTTTCCTTGGGGAACGGTTGTGAAGGGTAGCTTAGTGGTGTAGTTGGTCTTTGCCTTTTTGATGGGGGTATTGAAAAAATGCACAGCTATTTTTGTTGGAATTTGTATCTAAGATTGCCCACGCTGCGATATTATTCTTTGTTGGTCCATATTCTTCTATATCTATCTATATCTATCTATATCTATCTATATCTATCTATATCTATCTATATCTATCTATATCTATCTATATCTTATATCACTTATATCTCTATTTTTTGTGAGCGATCTCGGCGATACCCGTGCTAATTCTCCCACCTTTCTTGATGCCTAAGATTAGCCGGGAAAAGTTCGGCTCGCCATCCGTTTTTTTTTCGGCAGTCGGGGAGCATTTTGTTCACCGATGAAGAGGTTCAAACGGTTCAACCCTCGTTCTAACCCCAATTTTGGTGAAACTATGAGTATATAGTTGAAGTATGTTGAAGTAATATCAAGTGGATCCATTGGAAGTTACAATTGCAAACCCAGTTTCTGAAGATGTTATCAGATGTTGTATAATAAATATAAGTAAGATGTTGTGTTTGTATGATTTTCACCCATGGAATCAGCACCTATGGATCACTACGAGTGATATGAACCAGCCAATTGGATCCAGTTCATCTCAAAGGCTCCCCCTGCTGAGTAAGCAAAATCATGATTGCGATTCATCCTGCTTATAGGAGGTCATAGATGCCCATAGGAAGTAACTAAAGTCCCATCAGAGGTAGCCAGACCAGTGCAAGCTTCCTTCATATTAGTTTATACCTGGTTTACGAGACTGGTTTCGAATAGTTTTGATCTTTCATCAATATTATAGATATATCATTTTATGAGTGGTTTACCAATGTTCACCAGTTATTTCATTTGTCATCATTACTTGGATGCGCATCCTAAGACTTCGAAAGTGGTTGATAATCCATATAAGACTCTTAAAAGCATCTAAAACGTGTATATATATAATATACATGTATGTAAGTGGGGATATTCCATTCTTGGAGTTCTTTTAGCCTTTTAGCCATTTACGATGCCGGCCACCAGGACGACCTGGAACGCTCGGTCCGCTACTTCCACCGCGATCGCGTGCTGATCCGCTTTGGTCGCGTGGGAGCGAAGAAGAACTTCACGCCAGGCGCGACGCAAATGTGCGACCAGCAAAATGGTGTGAGAATGGCCTTGGGAAAAGCAGGGAAAAACCAGCAAAATGGCTCCTTTTTTGCGCATTTTTGAGGCAGAGTGTGGAAAAGTGCTGATGAAGCAACGGTTTTTTTTGTAGCCTCTTTTCAGACGGTGGTGCTGCTCCCCAGTTGTGTTTGTTGGATCATGATTCACCCGAACTGGGGCACCACCTCGTAGCCTGTCCAAGGCCTTGTGGAACTTGTGGGTGCTGGGTTTGCCAAAAAACATGGGCTACCCATTTCAAAGCATGCTCATCATTTTTACCCAGCTTAGGCCAACAAAGGCCAGCAAAGGCCAACCAAGTTATCATAATTTGGGGGTATCTCTTTGTTTTTTTTTGCGGAGACACCCATCTGTTTCCCCAAACTGGGCCATAGCGATCCAGCGTCAGATGCGTCAGGGGTCTTCAATAAGAACAAAGGAGGCATCTCGGCGAGTCTTGGTTCGGAAGAGAAGCACCAGGCACGATCTACCACGCCAAAGTGGTTTCGAGGTATGGCAGGATATGGAAGGGTGGCAGGCAGCATTGGAGGGTGAACATCACAAGGGGAACGGTGAAGTACGTGTTTTCTTTGCATTTTTTGGCATCAAAACAATCTAATTGTTTCTGAGTGTGTCAGATTCATACCCAAGTGTATCTTGGTGAATGGTCGGTTGATGACGGTGTATCTTGGTGAATTGATTATGATTCTTTATTTTTGTTGATGGGGACCATTATTTCATACTCAGCAAAAGAAGAACATATTTGGCTGCAGGATATGTTGCAGCGATTGGGTCTTTTGGAGAAAGCCAATCATTAAATTGCAAGCTCTTTGTTCCCCACCTGTTAGGTGAAGGTCGTTAGATTTTATGTCAGCTGTCTCCTCCCGCCTCCTGCTCCTCCTCCTCCTCTGCCGGAACTCAACTGCAAGCTTTTGATCGCAGTGGTCCCCGCCGGACCTCAGCTGCAAGCTCTTGATCGCAGTGGTCCCCGCCGGACCTCCACCGCAAGCTCCAGATCGAAGTGGTCCCCGCCGGACCTCAAAGCGCGCTCCGGATCAGAGTGTTCCCCGCTGGACCTCAACCACAAAGAATCTCCGAAGATATACCAGATAGAATGCCAGAAAGAATGTCAGAAGATATGCCAGATACATAATATGCCAGAAAGAATGTCAGATAGGATGTCAGAGTATATGCCAGAAAGAATGCCAGAATGAATGTCAGAGTAGATGCCAGATAGAATGCCAGAATGAATGTCAGAATAGATGCCAGATAGAATGCCAGAATGAATGTCAGATAAAATGCCAGAGAAAATGTCAGAACAGATGCCAGAAAGGATGCCAAATAGGATGTCAGAATAGATGCCAGATAGAATGCCAGAAAAGAATGCCAGGATAGAATGTGAGAAAGAATGCCAGAATAGAATGTCAGAAAATATATGCTATATATACTTCCAGATGAGATGTCAGAAACTATGACAAAATGATGTCACGGTGGGGATCGCTCGAAGTAAAGGAATTTTAAACCCCCACTACTGCATGGTGGCCAATTTTCAGTCTAAAAGGAGCTTCCCTGGCACGCTTTAAAAACATCATATCGCGGAATGGCAAGGAGCAGGTGGCAACCTGTCAACACGATGGCCCAGATGGTGATCACAATGATGTTTGGGCATTGTTCGTGATCTGGCCACTTTTACTACTCATATATCCCATCCAATTTCATGGTTGCTTGTGTATCGGTGATTTTTAAACCACTTTTTCAACCTAATTGGGTTTCAACTTGTTTCAACCATCATTTTCGCCCTCCCTTTTTTAAGGAACATGAACATATCCCAGTGTTTTATTGAACATTGCGTCCTCGGGCGATAGGAAGAGGCGAAAGAGGCATTAGAGAAGTTGGTGAAAGAATTTAAAGGAAGCTGGGCATTGAAAGCAGTGAGGGGCATTGAAGTCTCAAATTTTGGGGGGTTCGTTCCGGGATTCCGTAGCGATATATGGGGGACATGAGTCAACAATGACAAATTGGGCAAACCTACTGTACATGGATCATAGTTCAATAGTTAGGTACCTAGGACCTATTGTCTATATGTGACCTTTGATTACTCAGCTGCATTTTTTGTTTGCTCTCAGTATCTAAGAATTGCATGGTTTGGCCATGGTAAAGCAATTGGTGAATCGGCAAAAATGTTGGCTGTATGTATATCCGGCAATGAAAGATGGCAATATATGGAGGTTTCCTAAAATGGGGGTACCCCTAAACATCCGTTTTTTTAAAATAACGTTTTCCATTATTATTATAAACCATCCATTTTTGGGTATCCCAAATTCTGGGAAACCCCCGTATGGCAATGAATAATCACTTCCTTTGATTCATCAGTCGGAGCTGGTGATTTTCCGCGCTGTGTGTTTCGCCCTGAAAACAGCCGTCCAGATTTTCCCATGCGGATCCATGCGATTCGTGCGTGAATTTCATGCTTTCCAAAAGATGGAGATTTAAGATGAGTTACGTAAGAATGGATGGGGATTACAGTAAACCCATCAAGAAGTTCAGATCCAACATGATTTAACTCTGGCCCAGCCCCTTCTTGGCAGATTGATATCCCAATAGACCCGTTGGGGTGCGGGGGTTGACTGAAGGATCTTCGGAGGACAGCGTCTTTTTGAAATCCTTATTCTGATTTGTTGCACCAAATTATCTCAGACATTTGTAGTACTAGGAAAATTGATTATTAACCATTAGCCACAATTAGTAAATGGTCAATATTGCACTATATAATGGATGGGTCAATGCCATGTTTCTAGGATGATATCAGCTTGAACAGAAACAGTGCCAGACATGGGATAAAAAACCGTGGGTTTATCCTAGCTACTTGTTTTTTGGTTTCATGGGGACTATCCAGTCATATATCTCTACCAAAAGAGCAACATTTAGTGAATCATGCACCGTGAACGGCGGTTGCTCGGACGAGGATACATTCGGTTACCTGGCGACGGGGACATCAAGAAGGACAAAGAAGGCACCATGGGAACAGTCGACGTCTATTGTTCATTCGCTGCTTTTACTATGTTTTACCACATTAGGTGGCTGTTGCCATGATTCTCAATCACCATGATTGCAAGCCAAAAGTAATCGTTTAAGCCGTTTCTTCGGACTCCCTGAGTAGCGTAGCATGAGATATAAATTCGTGGTTACTTGTCAAGCCATTTTTATCATAATTCTTGATATGTTGTTTATACATGGTTATACAGAAAAGGCAATTTTACGATTTTTTCCTGTTGGCTATCAGTTATCACTATAGTATAAAGCCATTTTGTCCTTTTTTTGATGGGCTCTTTCGTATATCTGCAGCCATTCTCTCCCATTTACATCTATTTACTAGATGTTCCCCTGCTTTGTTCACTTGCTCTCCGCAGGAAAGACCAAACGGCAAAGCGACGGTACACCTGCGCATCTTGACCGATCTGGGTTGTGCCACCGGATGTGAACCAACGATAGGTCTGCCCCTCACCCCGCATAAACCATGGTTTAACAAAGGATTGACACTGATTTTGAAGCATTATTTTAGTATTTTAGTATTGTTAAATCGGGGGATGGGATTACTCTACCTCCAAACTCCTAGGGTTTATCATCATGTCCCCACTTGAAGTAGTTGGCGATAAGCCCCAGTTTCAAACAAGCCCAAGTGATCCTCGGAATTGGAAAAACCCACTACACTGTGACCGACAATTTCAATCTGCTTGGGGGGTCAGCATTTACCTCGATTTCACTTTCTGTGGGAATCATTGTAATACTGGTTGGTGGTTTGGAACATTTTTTTTCCATATATTGGGAATAATCATCCCAACTGACTAATATTTTTCAGAGGGGTTCAAACCACCAACCAGTATTGTAATATATATATATATACCATCTGGGAAGCACTGAACTCGGCATTTTTTTGGGGTTTACTCTATGGCTGTGCCCTTCCGTACTCCAAGATAGGCGCGGATTTTTTTCGCTGCTGACAGGACATCTATCAGTTTCTTTACCATTTCAAGCACATGGGAATCTAGAATATTGGTGAATATTGGTTAGTAATGGGATTGGAATGGGATTATAATGGGATAATGGTGATATGACAACCAATAGTAGGATACTTGTTGATAATTGGGATCTAACATCATATACCCTCCATCCCAGCCATTCTTTCGACATGGGTCTGGCATCTTTTTGGTGAAATGATCCCAGACTTCACCAACCGCCAAATACCGTCATTCTGGGATGATTCCCCCAAATCCAATTCCCAGCACTTGCAGTAACTTCTGCGGTTGGTTCTTATAATTCAGCCAGATGGATCAAACATCAATGCGACTCTACCCTCCTTCGTGATGTTTTTCCAATTTTTGCTGGTCAAAAGCCAGCTCTTTTATAAAGTCAATCTTGTTTGGTTCGCCTCCCATTCGTTTTCGCTTTGAGATCCCAGCTTTGCCACTGAAATTCACCTCTTGCCTTGATTCAAAGCCCATGTTTTCTGGTTGCACCTCGCCCCTTTTTGCCGTCCAGATTTTTTGCTGGTCACAATCCCCTATTGTTTCGATCGAAATCCAATGCGTTTTCCAGTTCGGTCAAGTTCAGTCCCATTGTTCTCAGAGGTACTCAGAAGTTTTTTTTTTATGCGGTGCCACAATCCTTTTTTCCGGGTCACACAACCCTTTACCTTGTTTTTATCCTCTGGTTTTAGGTGTTTGTTATTGTTCGTGATTCCGTCAGTGTTTTGGTGCAGAGTTTTCACCATGGTTTGTAGGTCAATCAGCTGGACGGGTAGAAACTAATCCTTTAGTCTTGGATGGTATCTTCATGGGATTATATATCTACGTTCACCAGCCAAGAATTTGCATTTTTTTTGCCGGGTATCTGGCTGATTGGCCATGATAATGGCTAATAATGGTCAATATAGCGGCTAATAATGATGACTAATGATGACCAATGGTGATGAATGATGATTATCCTCTGGTTTTGACCAACATGGTTTTTACCGCAGACAGGTATAACATGGCCAAATGCGGCGTGGTCTTCTTGTGGAACCGCCAACTTGGCGACTTGGCTGTGACTTGGAGGTGCCAGCCAGAACTGGTTATCGTTTTTTTTTAAACAAAAGATAACAAAAGGCCTAATTATTCTAAATGTAATTGGGATAGTCATATATGGTATAAATTGGTAATAATTGGTATAATATGTGTATGTATATATATGATTATATATATATTAATATATATATATACACGTATATATACTATATATATATTATATACATATTATGTATATATGGTATATAGAGTCTATGTTTTATTTAGCTCCACTTTCTTTTTTTCTGGTGGGTTCGCTAACAGGTGCGAAATCACACATTTTCAGCGTTTTCTCCGGGTATGGCCTGGCTGGCACATTTCCAGACAGGATAAAGTAATGTAAATTGTTTATAGTTTGTGAACTCCCCATAGTTGGTTAAAAAACAGCTTTTCGAGCAAATTCCGAATTGGTGTTGAAGTAAGAGTTTAATCATGGGAGTTGATAAGACCTTCATTTTTCAACGCACGATCCAACATGTCATGAACAAAATCCCACATTTCATGACCAAAGTCGACCTTAAAGTCCAAAAAAAGATCCCAACAATAATCATGGAAAACTCAGAAAACTCCTCCAAGACTTCATGAGAAAACTCCAAAACTCCATGATGTTTTCTTTGGCCCACTTTTTCGAATAAATCTTCCTGAAACCGTTCCGACAGTTTCCGCGCTTCCGAGGTCTCCGAGAGGTGGGGCAGGGGGAGCCATGGCTTCAGGATATGGTTTAATACGGTGAACAGTTATTAATGATATTAATGGTTATATAGAATAATGTAAGTGGTTAGATACTTGTTATTAAAAAATAATAGTTATTAAATGTTATTAACATTACTTATAATATAGTTAATGAAATGTTATTATCAATAGATAATATAATAGTTATACTTACTATTATATAATGGGTAGATAATATAACAGTGGTTATGATTATTATAATATTAATGGTTACGATATTTTCATGGTTAATGGATAATATATGATGGCTATAAAACTGTGATATAGTGGTTCATAGTGATTAGATAATAATGGTTATGTAGTGGTTATATATATATATATAACGGTTAATATATAGGTTAATAGTGGTTAATCATGAAGACTGATGGTTAATAATGGGAAATATATAGTGGTTAATATCTATATTATCTTGGCAAATTATAACGACCTCACTGCAACCTCACTGGATTCATAGGTTTTTATATGGGGAAATCATCCCAAAATTGCCTTGTTTTAGGTTAGTGAATTATTATAATTTGCCCAGATATTCTATCTAATGGATTGTAATGGTTGATGGTTAATATTCAGATAGGGATATAATGTGGTAAACCATATGCAATAAACCATCCCTAATATCACCATGTTTAGGGGTGGTACTATCATCCCCAATTGTTGGGTTTATTGGATTGGTTTTTGCCACATTGATTGGGATCTAAAAGCAACCATAGCTACAAAGTGGGGCGACTGAGATAGTGAAATCGCTGAGTTGATGAACATAACTCCAATTTTACCATGGTTTATGATACTTATAAGTATACTTAATGGGGGTTCATAGACCTACATTGTAGGATATAATGGGATTACACGGAAAATAGTTGGGATTCATGAGTTTCATATAGGACTATAACGGGATATGTGAATTGTATGACCATAAAATCAACCTTAATGAGAATATTTATGGGAATATTCAAAGCTATATTTCCCTCTGGTAATCCAACATGGCTAGCTGGGAAATCCAGAACTAAATGAAGGCCACTGTATCGCCATCATAGTTTTATAGCAACCCCACGAGACAATTACTGTATCATTGAATTCTTATCTGAATTTGTCTCTGGTTGTGATACAAATGGGACATCAGTACCAGTCTTGTTTGGAGCATGTCAGTCCGGATAGGAAAAATTGTATTTTAAGGTATATTAAGCTCAACATAGATACAAAAAGTGGGACATCGGAAATATGAAGTAAATAATATGATCGAACTAACGTCCTGGAAACACTTTTCGGCATCTTTTTTGGTGGCTATAAGAATGACGAGAATATTATATATGATTTTTACATACCAAGTGGACTATCAAAGGGCATATGAGCAACAAACACTCAACTAAGACGGTTTATGACTAGGTTAACTAGTTATCCTCTGGGATAGAATGGGAATATGATGTTGACTGGAAAACTCCAACGGATACTAATGCAGTTTTGCATGGGAATCTGGTTGGATTCTCGCAGTTTTCCTGACTTCCAGCGAGAAAACTCCATCCACCATCTTGTTGCTTACCACATATGCTCCATGGTGCTGGTATATTTACCTACATGACTGGGTCATTTTGGGGTAAACGTTGGTCAATCTTCCAGACAGCACATCAGTTGGTTTTTGTTTAAATCAGAATTTGCTGGCGCTAAAGGATGTTTTTTTTTTTGTTGGTCAAATCTACTTCTTTTTGTTTAATCATATGTGGGTGTGTCTGAAGATCCTGGCATCCTAAATTCCAATGAATCATCATAATTTTCCCCAGTTTAGATTTAGATGACCACATGGAATAAATCCCCAATTTTCAGTCACCAATTTCTTCTTGCTTGACCATTTTTATTTGCTGCATCCAAGCCTCTCCCTTCAGCTTCGTTAAGAACCTCCACCACCTGCCAATGGTTTCACTTAGTGAGGGAGGTTCTTTGTTTGTCTTTTGCCTTGGTTTTTGCCTTTTGGCTTGGTTCAGCGGCTTCTCCAATGATTCGTTTTCTTTGGTTTCCATGGCGTTCTCTCGTTTTCGGCTCCTGCCATTGCTTGGAGGGCTTTTGGTTTTGGTGTTTGTTTGCTGTCTATAGTTTGTGTTTCTTTTCCGTGGCTTAATTTTAAGTTTCTGTGGCCTTAACTGTAATGGCGGCATTTAAGCCTTTTTAAAACATTGTTGGAGAAATTGTTGAGTCTCCTAACGCTATAACTTCGTTATATACTGGGTTGGCCGCCTGCCCAGTAACAGTTCGAAGTTCGAAAATTGTTTTGTATTAAAAGGCCTAATTATTCAATTCAAAAAAACACCTGACGTGAAACCCCAAAATGGTTTGCATAAATGGCTGCTGTGGTATTGTTTTTTGTCTTTGACCAATCTTGTGCCACCACCCCTCCACTCCACATCAACTCACATCCTCCACATACATCCACCTCCAGCCCTCCTCTCTTGGCAGCAGCTACGAGCACAATTTTGAAGGAAGAAAGAACCTTTTGCACCCGGTGAGCACAAATTTTGCACCAGCTTGAGCACAGTTTTGCCCAAAAAAAGCAATATTTTTTAAGCCAACCTTAAGTCATTTTCCTTCTCGACTGCGCTGCTGCGGCAGCATGAGCAAATTTTGTACCAGCTTTGACCAAAAAAACACCAGATGAGCACAAATTTTGCACCAGCTAGGAGAATCATTTTGACAAAAAAAACCTTGCACCAGCTATGAGCACCATTTTGAGAAAGAAACACCAGATGAGCACAAATTTTGCATCAGCTAGGAGCACCATTTTGAGAAAAAACCACCAGGTGAGCACAAATTTTGCACCAGCTAGGAGCACCAGTTTGAAGAAAAAAACACAAAACAAAAGCACCATTTTCAAAGTAAAACAGCACCAGGCTAGCACGAAATTTGCATCAGAAGAATCCTTTAAAAACAATCTTGGTTTGGAACAGTTTTTTTGGAGCACAGCCCTAGCTACAATTTTAGTTCTCTAGGTCTGGGCAAGGCCCCCGCCCCCCTGCCCAGCCCCCGGTAGGCACCAAAGCAAGCCCAGTATCTTACAGTATCTTGTAGTGTATCTTCTTAAAGTTGTGCCACAGCACCACCTTTAAACCTCCTTCTTTGTTCCTTTGTTTATGTGATTTTATGTGCATAAGGCAGTTCAAAGATGTAGAGTGGAAACTTGTCAGTACCTTCAGTCTTGGGCATGTTCATTTGAAGCCAAAACAAGTTCGGTGCAACCCTGACGTTGCTCCGCGCCGGAATTGCGGAAGGGTTGCGTATTTTTGAAATGCTATGTCGGTGGACTTTCAATATGTAGATGTACATGTGATCCATGATCATGATCATGATCATGATGATGATGATGATGATGATGATGATGATGATGATGATGATGATGATGATGATGATGATGATGATGATCACCATGATTATCATGATCATCATGATCATCATGATCATCATGATCATCATGATCATCATGATCATCATGATCATCATGATCATCATGACCATCATGATCATCATGATCATCACGATCATCACGATCATCACGATCATCACGATCATCATGATCATCATGATCATCATCATCATCATCATCATCATCATCATCATCATCATCATCATCATCATCATCATCATCATCATCATCATCATCATCATCCCTTATGAAGATAAGTTGATGTCATTACCCCATTTAACGTATTTGTCGGAGGGGGTGGTGGATATTTGGCCCCTTATGAAGATGAGTTGATGTTATTCCTTATTCATCATATTTGTCAGAGGGGTGGTGGATTTTTGATCCCTTATGAGGAAAGTTGATGTGATTGCAGCATTCAACGTATTTGCCAGAGGGGCTGGTGGATTCTTGATCCTTTATGAAGATGAGTTGATGCGATTGCCCCATTCAAGGCATTTGTCAGACGGAGGTGGTGGATTTGTGAATCCCTTATGAAGATGAGTTGCTGTGGTTACCCCATTCAACGTATTTGTCAGAGGGGGTGGTGGATTTTTGATCCCTTATGAATATAAGACATAAATATAAAAGTTAATGGTAGTACCCCATTCCACATGAGTTGACACTGGTGATGATGATGATCATGATGATGAGATCATGATCATGATGATGATGATGATGATGATGAGGATGATGATACTGATGACGAGATCATGGTGGTGATGATGATGACCTTGGTGATGATGGTGATGATGATTGTAAGTGTGGAGCAACGTCCGGGTTGGACGGAACAAATTTTGCCATATTTTGGTGCCATTTTGGTGCCCTCTGCTGGTGCCCACTGTTAACACAGGGATATCAAATCCCAAATTATATACATTTTGACAAGCTGCATGTTGTGCATTGTATACACTCTGAGTAACGTATTCAACCTACAGCGTTACATGTGAAAATAGGTATTGTCATTGTCATAAACTTAAACATCCTTAAACCAACACCCTAAACCAACCCGAAATAAACCCTAAACCAACCTTACATAGACCCTAAACCAGCCCTAAATGCACTCTAAGTACACCCTAAATACACCCTAAACCAAGACTATGACAACATCGAATGAAACTATTTGCACCCAACACGGTCGTGCCTCAACCTACATTCTGCATGTTCACAAGGTGAACACTATAAACAAATCGATGAAAACCATCAAAAAAATAGTACAACAAAAAGAACAACAACATCAACATATTGATGAAACCATCAAGAAATCGATGAAAACCATCGAAAAAAATCAACAAAACCTCTGCAAACAATCAAGAAACCGCTGAACACCATAGAAAAACAATGAACACATCCGAAATCAACGAAAACCATCGATAAACACTTAATTAACACCAATGAAAAATGACGGAGAGCAGTTTCTAGACCAAAAAAGAACAAGAAAGAAAAACCGATCCCCTTAGTAAGTGGTACTGACATCATTGGGTATTGTTAATCACATTGAATTAACTAATTATATGGTTTGTCTGAAATAGAATGCCGAAGAATTTGATGGCTTATAATCATATTTTGAATAAACACAACACATGGCAGCCACTGGCATCAAATCTATCACGGCCAGGTACCTGAAGACAAGGCCCTCCAGGCTGGCTTTAGATGTTGGCGATGCCGTGCCGGGAAGAAAGCCGTGCCGGGAAAGAAATGCTGCTGTGTGAGGCCGAACTATGAGGAGGCGCGGTTGCTTCACCGATGTGATGGGGTGAAACTGCTGCGGTAAACCATATCAATGACTTGCGAATGAAACATCCGAGTATTGATGACTTTCCCCAGTGTGCCAGAAAAAAACAGAAACATTGATAATTGTGAAGTGAATTCCCAAATTGTTCATTTTTTTTCCATGTTTTTTCCAGGTGAATTACATGTGAATTCCCAATGTTCCATCCACAAAACGGGTATTTTTCCCTGGTTTTTTCTCAAGCGGCGCAAAAACCACGACCCAGACCTACGACATCTTCCGCGCTGAACACCAAGGTCAAGGCGCCCGGCATGGGATATTTTTTGGGGGAAATGGATGAAATGGGCATCATTCATCACCATTGGTCATCATTAGTCGAGTCATCATAGCCATTATATAGCCATTATATTATGACCAATGATGGTCAATATAATGGCTAATAATGGTCATTATAATGGCTAATAATGATGACTATTAGTAATCATGGTTATATTAGCCATTATATTGACCATTATTCGCCATTATCATGGCCAACCAGCCAGATAGCCTGCAAAAAAGTTGCAAATTCTTAGCTGGTGAACGTAGATTATATAATCCCATGAAGATACCATCCAAGACTAAAGGATTAGTTTCTACCCATCCAAGATTGACCAAGTTAAATAGATGATAAACTTATGATGGTCTAACAGGGCTAATTATAGAAGATAAACTGTTATAGATGATAAACCTATGATGGTTTACCATTGTTTTTACCCCTTTTAAATGGTGATGTTCCAGTTTGCTACGTTCAATCATAGGGTAACCATTCGTTGAAATGGAAGATTTTGCTGAAGGTCCAAGGTCCAAGTTTTTGTGATTGTTGTTCAATTCCTCTGAGAATTAAAACAGAACCAACCAGTTCTTACAAGAAGCATGGCCCCGGCGTTGAATTCAGGCGAAGATGAAATTGAGAAGAAGTTCCAAGCAATGGTTAAGGCAGGGCCGTGCTCCAGCGCGGGTATAGTTTATATCCCCACAGCATTAAAGACACCCACGTTTGATCTACTGGGCAGGGCTTGGTGTTTATGATGGTTAGGAGTGGGGAATGACTCCCCCAAAAATCCCTCAGGCTTGGTGTTTGAACCATTTTCGGTGGGATATCCCTGGATGCACATCCGTGGCAAAAGTTCAAAAGTCTGTGGCTACCCAAGAGAATGCAATACATCAGAGTGATTAGCAGCCTGCAGTTTCAGGTTTTTCAGTTTGATCTTGTATGTAAGCATTTGGGTTTGTCAAAAAAAGGCGAGATAGCTAAGAATGGAAATTCAAATAATGGGGAACGGAAACGACGACTTTCACCGCTGGATTTTAGGGTTATCCTCACATGTTCAGACGATCATCATCTTTCCCACACATGATTATTTTATGGGTTAATTACCCATGAGATACACCATTGTTTGGACAGAAAAGGGGACAGCTCATATCCCGGTCGACGCGGATATTTTAAATGGCTAATGAATTTTCATGAACTTCTGCACATACATATAAGCCGTTCATATAGTAACATATGTATATACATACTTATGGGGGTTTCTTAAAAACCTGAAGATGCGGGATTCCCAAAACCATGGGTTCAATACTAAAATATGCTCAAACTTGGATGATTTGGGGTATCCCTATTTAAGGACACCTCCATATATGTAGATTCATACACAGTATATATGCTGTATATATATATATATTGTATAGATATGTATGTGTATGGCTGGGATGTATGGCATTTCTTTGTGCTACGTAAGTTGGGTGTCCGTGAAGAATTCGCAAAAAACCGCTTCCCAGGATCCTGAACTGAGGGAGCAGAGGGAGCACTATCAGATGTTGGCCTCACTGCAGTTTGACTCTGGGCTCTTACCCTCCGGTGTCCACGTGAGCTCACGTGGCTGGAAAATCCCCGAAGTAAATGGAGGTTTAGTTCGCGGACATCATCGATCAATGGAGAATTTTCCAGCACGCCATGTTTGATTACCGGAGGGTATTAGTCTTTTGATGAAGTCTTGTTCAACGGAAACTGGCAGACCACCGATATCAGGCGGAATGGTATGTTTGTTTGATTAAGTGGTGTATTTCACTAACTAGTAGAGGAACTTGAGTTTAACTAACTAAATGGGTGGTATAAATTTGGAAGTAATATCTGATGGGTGAAACCTGCTGTTGAATGATTTGTGTGTACTTGGTGTTGTTTTGCTCTTCTGCTTTGGGAATGTATCATATCACCCTATTTTCTTTAAGGGGCGGGGATGTCATCCTCTGCCAATCTTACCTGGCACTTGAAATCTTCCACTGAATAGAAAACCCCCCACCGTGGCAATGTTCCATTCTGTTCCGTTTTTTTTTGTTTTCAGAGTTGGTTGAAGAGAAGATTTTACAGAAAAAAAACCAACAGAAACATCTGCAGGATTTTGAAAATGATCTCGCTGGGCGATGTCGTAGTACTCGTAGGACCCGTAGGATTTCAGGTGAGCGAAGGACCCGTGGAAAATTTTTCCAGATACGTTTTTCCCAGAATACGAATAAGGACCTGCAGATAAAAACTTGTCCATTCATGGTCCATTGCCACATGTCGGGAGCATTGTACCGACCTCAGAGCGACCTCACCATAGAATTTTTTGCCCAACTATTCATGTCCCATCATAGCCACATTCAAGATCATGATATCATATCCCCATAAAATGGGTTGATACATCTATTTGTTGGTTATAGTTATATAAAATTAGCACTCTTTCAATGGGATTTTGTTATTTTTCCTATCAAGTTTGGGGGTTGCTATTCTAAGTCTCATAGATATATACTTAGTCTTATCAGGTCTTATCGCAGTTACCAACCAACAAGTAGCCCCAGTTCCTGACACTCCAACAAAATTAAACAAAATTAAACAAACACTTGTCCGTTTCCCCCAACTCATGTGGAGCAACTTGAGGAAAAACTCCAGTGGCAGAAGCCCAAGAAACTTCGCGGTCGTCCCAGCCTTCCCAGCCGTCCCAGCGCTAGCCGTCCCATTTCAGCGCCCAAGCGCCGCAGTGAGGGAGAAGCCGAGGGACGCGAACGAAAGCGACAGAAAAAATTGTGGGTGGATGTCTATAAAGTATATATATATACATCATGGTATCTAAATGTGATTTATTGGGTTTTAATGAAAAGATGGGATATAGAACCCACAATATGATATTTGGATGTGTCCGAAAATAGGGTATACCCATCAAAATGGTCATTTTTTATTAGGGACCATGATTCTTCACCAGCAGATTTATCCGATCTTTTGCCGTAATTTTTCAGACACAAATCATGAAATCCTATCTGCGGACGATCATTTCATGATACCCTCTGGTAAACATACAAAAAGCTATTGAAAATTGCCATTTAGGGTCGTGGATTTACCCATGAAAAATGGTGATTTTCCATAGTTATGTGAGTTTACCAGAGGGTATTTAATGGGATCACATGGATGCAAATGGTGGGCTTTTAGGCGGTCAAGGTAGCAATAATGATCATATGGGACTCCTCCAAGTGATTTATTTGGATATAATGGATAACCTGGAAAAAGAACGGGGTTACCCTCTGGTGAACTAACATAACTATGGACAATCACCACTTTAATAGGTAAAATCAACTATAAATTGCCAATTTTCAATAGCTATGTTAAATTACCAGAGGGCATGATATACAACTTGCTTGAGTTGTCCTATTTCTAGGTCAACCGAAAAATTGGATAGTGTACTTTAAGGAGTTTCAATCTTTTGCCAGTCAATGCAGATATTCGCTATCTAGCAAAACATTCAACTTCTGGCAAGGTGTTTAAGATCAGCTACTACCCCCATCTTTTTTGATGCCACATTCCTCATTTCAGGATGGTTGAACCCTCTAAATTCCACATGGCACCCCATCTTTTTGGCACTAACAGGAGAATATCGAAATCCAGATGAAATTTATCAAAAGAATCTTGGATATAAACCATGGCTATTTCACCATCCACAGGTCCACAACCATGGAGATTTCACATGAATTCACCATCAAAAACGTTTTTTTTTGGGGACTCCACGCCCGTAGGCCTGGATTTGGGTGCTGCCCGGCACACCCTGCGGGGCGGCCCAGCGCCAGGCATCGCAAGTGTTGGGGCAGGCGCCGCGGCGGATCGGGTAGAAAATGGTGTTTTTCATGGGTAAAAATGGCGTAACATGGGGAAAAAATCGGGTAGAAGATATAGATCTGATGAAGAATTGGAAAATCGTGATGCAACTTGAGAAAGTTGCTGATTTGGACATGCAATTCTATTAAGGGGCTGAAAGCCCACTCATCTCTATTGCACTTGGACTTCTGGTTGGGTGGACTCAACTGGGAATCAACCAGTTAGAGCCAATCCAAGAAATTATCACAACCCGCCCCAAATAGATACTGCCCATGTGTACATATATATATATAATTATACACATAGTATATATATATATATATATATGTATGTATGCACACAAATTTCCTAGGACAGGCATGATTTTACCGCATAGTTTCCAGGCTTTCAACTGATCCAGGCTTTATTTGAGGCTTCCTCCTTCGTGGCTCATCGAAGTTAGTAGGTCTAAGTTATGTGGATCAACCTTACTCATCCCCATCGCAAATTTTATAACCTGCTTGTAGCATGGGTGAACCGGGTGAACCAACAAGTATATATATATATATATATCCAATACCCAAATCTTGTTGGTGATATCCAATGATCTGCACTTTTTGCGGGCAGATGGTTTGAATCATTGATCTCAACTATGTGGAATTCTGCAGAGTACTTGGTGGATGAAATCTATGGGTGTTTTTTGGGGTTTGAAGCAACCTGCTCTTTCTTAATTGTATCATAGTATGAGTGACCATTTGAGGCCCAAGAAGCCACAGAGTTTGGCAGTCATATTTGGCAAGAGACCGGCCGATATTGCGCTTTTAATTGGTTTGACAACCCCATGAAACTGATCCACTTTGTTCATCGTCCCTTTTGTTGTTAGCTTGCACCCCCGATTGACACTAGCATGGCATGAAGCTCCAAAGAATCGGGTGACAAGAGGATCTTCCGGTGGGCGTTTGTCTTTGAAGGTCTCTAGATTTATGTCTGTTGTCTTCTCTTCTCCTTCTCCTCAGCCGTCTCAGATATCAGCTCAATGCCCACTTCCTCACTCTGGATCGCTCTGGACCTCAATATGACAGATAGAGATTGTCCGAATACATGCCAGAGTTTGTGTCAGAATATGCGTCTCATAAATGTCAACACATACCTCAAAGCTGCTCCTGGTGTTCATCTCCTTGGGAAGCTGGTTCTTAACATGTTCCTTGAGATTCCATTGTTGATCTGGAACTACGTATATGTATATATATATATATATGAAATGATATATCTATATAAAACATGGTTACACCATAGTTAAGACATGGATAACACTTCCACGTTTTGATCAACGGTGTTCCACGCCTCCCGGCGCAGGAGGTGGTTCGCTTGGAAGGGCCTGAGGGACTTCTGGATGCGTCCAAGGCCTTAGGTCCCATGGAAGCAGGCGCCGGGGGTGGGATCATGATGAGAATATGATATGATATGGAGGTTTCCTGAAATAGGGCTACCCCCAGTTCTCATCCATTTATAGATGGATTTTCCATGATTTTCCATGAAAGAAGCCATCCAGCATTTTTGGGGTACCTTCATTTACGGAAACCCCCATATCAGCATGACAACTTTATGATGACTTTAGTTGTCTGAAAGGTACCTAATATATCCTAATATGGGTTCATGATGGTTGATGATGGTTGATGATGGTTGATGATGGTTGATGATGATGACGACGACGACGACGATTGTGATGATGACAACGATGTTGACGACGACGACGACCACCATGACGATGATCGTTGCTTTTCACACATTACTGTATTACAACACATAGACATACTCGTTACTTCAAACAAAAAATATCAAATTTATCAAATATCTAACATCAGACCACACTGTGGATTCATGTTTTTGGAAAAACAGCTGAGAATTCCTTGGTGTTTATACTAGTACCTGAAATTAATGAAGCGAATAGAATCTAGAAAGCACAAGAAAGCACACATTTTACAAGTACTCATCAACAATAAGGGGTCACAAACCACTTTGAATTTTTCTATGCCAGATTTCTCAGCAGTTACTGTTGGTGTTGAATTCTTTGGATCAAGATGTGCTCTGGTAGCCTTTTTTTGCGAGAAGGCATCCCATTCATGGTGCTGGGTTGACCCATACCCAATAATGAGACTAAGGCAATAGTTAAAGGATCCGTCGTAATTTTACCATCAATATCCAGAAATATCAATTCTGGGTGGTATAAATACTTGTTTATTTACATGTAATCATCAAACTAAGGGTGGTTTGTTATTGCTTTACTATGCTTTACTCACACCATGACCAGGTCAAGTGCTCTTGGCCCACGCCGACTCACTGGACCTCCTGGGAGAAGCTTCGAATGATGCGCACCCAGCGAGTCGTAGTGGGCCTGGTGTGGTGCAAGGCATTATGGACTTCGGCTACCACCAGTACTTGAGTCACTCGGAGATTTGGGTCACTATTTTATCTATTTTCTGTGAGAAAAAATATTGATATGAAAATAATCATCTAATCAGTTTTGATGCGGTAAGTCCAGTAGTGAAACATATTGTTTGAGCATTTTTCCATTGGTAATAATTAGGAAAATGGGATATGGATGGATACGGTGTATGCATTTGGGTTTACCACATTATGACTGTTGCATCAATTGGGTCCTGCACAATTGAACAGTATCAAAACCCATTTTTAACCTGCTCAAAGAACATTTGTCCCAAATGATGATGATGATGATGATGGTGATGATGATGGTGATGATGATGATGATGATGATGATCATAGACCAATTGGGTTCAGCGTGAATCCAATCATTCTATAATTATACACATATTTTTTTTCAGCCAAAACCTCCATACCAAATATCTGTATAGGTAATATTGACCTCATTGGAACCATAATTGGGGTATCCCCAACCCAACATTTCAGGCTGGTGAGTTGCTATGATGAACATTTATCCAGAAATGTCCTAGGTGTTTCTTTTTTTTTTTCGGGACATTTTGCAGGAGCCCCCCATGGAAAAACCATGGAAAAACACGACGATTTTCAGCTGGTCGAGGTGAAGTGTGCAATTTCTGTCATCGCTTCCATGTGACTTGGATTGTCGGCTGTTTCTTTGTTGGGTGAACTGTCCAGCCAAATCATACGTCTAGGTGACTTAACTAACAATTATGGTGATTAATTTAATAGTGATTAGTAAAGAGTAGGGTTTTTCACCATGAACAGGGGGGGATGAACCGACAAGAGATGCATATCTATGGGGAATCACGCATGACAGATATGGGGAAATCGACTGGTGTGGTAGTTTCATACAACCTCATCTTTTGCTATTGTTTGATGATTATATAAATTATATATGTTCTCTCCAGCTAAGCTAACATTTCTTTCAGGGTATCCCAGATTGGATCTAGCTTCCATCAGGGTTGCATGATGACTTGGAAGACACCGACTGGTGACAAACATTGGCCAGTGATGCTGGAGGATGTGGAAGGTTACGGGTTGATCTTCCCCAACTTTGAGTTGTTCGCAGGGTAAGGTTGACTATCAATCTCTCTTGGAATCAACAGGCCTCGATCTACGGACCTTGCTTTCTCTTTGGTGGCTTTTTGTTGGGGAAACCAGTTGAGCATCCCAACGATTGGATCAATGGGCTCTAATTCGAATAATGCCCGCAGACAGCCTATCAACACCCAACGCCCCATGAACATCGGGTCGGTCCCCTTATGTGTATCTGGTACTGGTAGAACATCTTGCATAGCAATCATTTGGCCATGGACATCCATGTCCTTTATATGAGAGGATTGCGAAGGTCATGACTCGTCTCTATTTACCATTTCATGGTCATCCTAAATTTAGTTCAGAAAACACATGACGCTCAAGACTGGTGTGCCAATGGACCCACATCCCACAACATTGTTCATGTTTGGTGATTTTGGTGCAAAAACATCCAATCTTTTGGGTGAAGCCTCCCAGTCTCTGATGCAGCGATTCACAGCATGAAAAATAGCCCATGGCGCACTAGCTCAATCTGGGTAAATTATAACGACCTCACTGTTCTCCCGAACCCTGGAATGATGGTGGGTAGGGGAAACAATAGGGAAATCATCCTCTGAAGTTGGGATTCACAGAGTGACACCTCGGTTTTGAGGGTATAGTTCGTACATATAAACCATAAACCATTAAAACAATATGGTATGAACTATACCACCATTTTTTTCCATGTTTCCCAACTATCGCGTGATAGTTCCAAGCCCTTTTCCACTAGAGCCAAAGCATATCCCCGACGGAACTTCGGTGCTAGAAACTAGAAAGCATCGGAAGTTTCCTCGACGCCCCAGGTGATCATCAAGTGCCCCAAAGCTTTAGCCGAAGCCACAAAGGTGCCCAGGAAGCAGAAAGTATCAGTGAGATTTGCCTATCTTGGCCCCACAGAAAAAAACTGATTTCTAATAGTAACTTACATATGTTCATCATTTCTAGTACTCTGAATCCCATGGTAAATCCCATCTTTTATTTCCATTTTCTGGTTCGTCTTCATCCTGTCACCTCAGCGACTCGATCAATCTGCTGAGTGGGATCAGTTTTCCCAGGATCTGGGAGAACTCTTTTTAGACTCTAGGCTTCTGAAATTCACGAAAGCCTAGAAAAATAGAGCTTCTAAACACCATGGTTTCTGGCAGAGATTCAATCCCTTTAATCAAAATCGATGTGTTCCGAGTGGATGAGATTGGTGGAAGATGGCAGACCTCTAGAGATTGCTGGGGCTTTTTGATGGGGATATTCACCGTTCACCAATAGCCATTTTTTTTTGCAGCGTCTGTTTTATAGACTGGCAATGGCTCCATATGGCTCCCATCTTCGAAGTTATTCTAGATATTCGAATATATTCGAAAATCACCACTGGTGGCACTTAACTTGGAAGTGGAGAATCTGAAATTCTCAAGAGTTCGTGTGAAAAGATTCTGGAGGTTGTGAGGAATCCATGACAGCTATCATTAAGTTGGAATGCGAGTTTCCCTTGGGCTGACCTGAAAATTGGAAATCCGCATTTTCGATGGAAACATCATCTACATGTTATAAATTATTAGATGTTATTACATGTTTTTATATGTTACTGTATTATTTGTTCTTATTTGTTTAGGGGTTCTGTTTGTAGCTTAAATCGTGTGGCTTGATACCCATCGGAGAGTACTTTTGTGGGTGTCACGAATGGGTACCATCACATACTACCCATCATATGTGGGATGATGATCCCCAATGACCAGCAATCATACCATCCAAACTGCCGCGCTAGGAAAACGTCATCGCAAAGTTTGCAGCTCGGCTCTCTGGCGATGACGATCGTGATGACAACGACGATGGCGACGACGACGACGACGACGATGATGATGATGATGGTTTTGGCCAACGCAATTGAATTGTGATGTTCCCAACATAGGGATTTTTCTTCAACACAAATAGCAGTGGCAACACATTCCTTTTCAAACAAATGCATGTTTAAGCCTTCACCCAATCGATTCATATTATACACGGTTTTTATTGAGTATTGGATCATAACGTTTTGGGAAATGGGAATCAATTCTCCGCTTATCCTTGAATCTCTCTCTCGCTCTCTATTGTATGTAGTACTATGGATGAATTATAAGGACCTCACTGTATGTCATTGTCAATTATTATGGAAATTATAAATAGGTCATAATAGGCCTTTATAGTACTATTAACAGCTTCATATAACCAGGACCTCATTTTTCAATAGCACTATGAATATTGACGGTGGGCTTGTCTCAAAATGGCCCAAGTGTTGAGATTATCTACTTTCAGGTTTGTGACTCCTTAGAATTCATCCATACATATACATATATGGGAGTTTCCATCAATGGGGATCCCCAATAGCTGGATGGTTTATGGAAAATCCGAAAATAACATGGATGGTTTGGGGGTACCCACACTTTAGGAAACCTCCATATACATATATATATAATATATATATATATATATATAATATATATATATAATATATATATTATACAATCATATCTACCTATCTATATACAAATATATATATACATTGCAACCCTAAGAGATAGAAAGTTATGTACACCTATTTTGATATTCGTCTGATAGGATTTCACATGTTTCAAATCGTTCCTATTGTTTTTCGGGGAACCCCGACCGTCAACGGCATCACGGCATCCGTTCCAGTGCGAGGAACCCAGAGAGTTCTCGTTGACCATCCGCGGCTTGCGCCACGACTTCCGCTTGAGAAGAAGCTTCGGTGCCGCAGCAAAGACGGTTGGATTTTTTTTTTTGGGGATGTTGATGGGATTTTAATGGGATTCAATGGCAGTTTCATGGGACTTAATGGGATTTTAATTGGATTTAAAGGGGGTTACGGAGACTTAATTGGATTTGATGGGTGATTAATGAGCCAGCATTAGGCGATATAATGGGAAATAATCACGGAAATTCATGGAATATATCACCAATATCATGGAAATGGGGTATACTGCAGGAAGATGATGAAATTGTACAGAATCTTTAGGAATAATGGGGATAGTAATGAGATTTAGTAGAATTTACATGGTTAGCTGGTTTTAATGATTTAATGGGATTTAGTAGGAGACCAATGGTATATTCGTAGGATATTAATGCAATTTAATGGGAGTTAATGGGGATATTAATAGGGATATCAATGGGATCTACTGGAACTGGGTTTCAAGGGATTTCTTACCTGGATTTAATGAGATATGTGTGAATCGACGGGATTTTTTCTAGGATAGATTGAAAGGTGAGTGGAATATGAATATGATTCAATGGGATATTAATGGACTATTCATTGGATTTAATTTAGGGCTTTTTAAATTGATTTATTGTTTGCGATTTTAATGGTACGTGAATGAGATTTAATGAGAGCCCAATGGTATTTCATACTTAAGATTTTCATGATCCATGGGATATTCATGGGATATCCTTCAGGGATATGAATGAAGCAACATTCACTACGCACAATGGGGACATCATGATGATATTTTATGGGATGGAAATCTCACAGGATACATGACTTGACCAATGGTACCAATGCTACTGAATCGCGGGGTTATGTTTAGACCAATCGTGGACATGTCTGGCTTAAAATGTGGATGTTTTATCGAAATGGTGGATCCCAAGGACCGTCATATTCAGAAACACCAAATGAGATTTTTTAAGCACACAAAGCCTGCGGTGTCAGAATTTAAATCTTTGAATAATCTTATGAAGTCAGTCACCCTCTGGCAATTCAATATAGCCGCAGAAAATGGAGGTTTCCTGAAATGAGGGTACCCCAAGTCACCATCCATGACTTGGATGATGATTTGGACCCCCCGATTTTAGGAAACCTCCAAATGACCCATTGATTTACCTACGTAGTATTTCCATGGCCATTTTGCAAGGCTGTGTTAGATCGCCAGACAGATTCTGTTGGAGCTCTCCTAATTATCGCTGTTATTGGTGGTTGTATTCCCATTACATGGCATCAAACATGGCCAACTTATGGGAATACAAGAATTATCAGTTATCAACAGTGTTGATTTTCTATGGCTATATTCACCATTTTCCATTGCCATCGCTGGCAAAACAGCTAAACAACTATCTTCCCTAGTACTAAATGTTATTCTAAAATATATTCCAGCTTGATAACCCGTTTGGTAGTTTATTTGCTCATTAACCATTTACCCTCCACTAATCAAACATGGCGTGCTTGAAAATCCTCACTTAGTTCCACCATTTTCCAATGGAATCTCGATTTAGTGCCGGGATTTCCCAAAGGCGCGCCACGTTTGATTCCCAGAAAAATATCCCCATTATTATCCGCATTATATCCCAGGTGTGGTTGATTTTCTATAGATCCCAAGTATCCTATGATTGGTGGGCATATATATATATATATGTATAAGTTGGTTTCCAATTAAGCCTAATTAAGCCACATAGACCCAAGTTATTGGAGTTATGAAGTAGCTTAGAGCCAAACTCAACAAGCCACGACTTCAGGCGCCAAGACTTCACTGCCGGTGAACTTTAAGGTCTCTCCCGAGAGATGTGGCTGGGCAGACATGGCAATGGGGGCTTGAAGCAGAGAACTGGGGGGAAAAACTCATGTGGAAAGCCCAGGAAATCGATATAATTATATATATACATATATATATATATACACATACAGTATATATATATATATGCGCTAACCCCCCTGAAACCTACCGGTTTTGATTTCTTATAGTGTTTTACAGTGGTTTTTGTTTGTTTTTGCCTTCAAAAACAACCAACATTCTTTCATTTGAGGACTTTGGATGCTTGAGTGTGATGAGTTATGATGCTTCATGTGTAGATGCAATGCCATGTTTTGATGGTATTTGCAGCGTTTTCGACCACCGTATTGGGCTGGGCTCCCAACAAGGAGTTTCAATTCAAAGATTGACAGAATGCGCGCGGCGCTGTGGCCAAATGTCAATATTAAGCTTTACATTGGTTTTTACAATGTTTTTGTTCCTTCTTGTGACACATGAATTTTGGATTTTGTAAACTTTCAGAGCTTGCAGACATATTATTTGATGATCAATATGGTAGATATGTTTTTGGCCTGTTTTTCCTTACTATGTAGCTTCTGTCTCTTGTTGTACTACTGCAGTGGCTCAATACTTTGGATGTGTGGGTCTTAGGGAGGTCCTAGGACCTCTTAGTTCTTACCCCTTCCAAACTATGTCTTAAGTATAAATTACGTACCTCCTAGTACCTACACCTCTCTGCAAAGTTTCCCTTAAGTAGTGATTCAACCCACATGAAAAAATCATTCAACTTTGGGTCTTTTCCCCAAACCTCAAAAAGGCAGTCAAAACACTGTAAATGACTACAAGAGACGATCAAACATGCACCCTTCTCTTGAAGAACCAATTCTAATTGACAAGAGCAGGCTTTACAAACAAACACTTTCATTCAAAGGGTGTAGCATTCCTTAAGCAAAAAGAGTATTCCTTTTCAACAGGTAGCATTCCTTTGCAGAAAGCCACTTCTCTTGAAAATATCTCTCTTCATTTCGATCAGGTAGTGTTTTTTTTTCAACATGTAAATATGAATTCCTTAATTCAAAACATGAGCACAGACCCATTTCATAACGTACTAGGTACAATACTTCTGGAAGGAAGAAGCACGTTGCACAAAAAGTCCCTGCAACATACAAATCATCTTTCAATCAAATGCAGTATCCCGTCAAATAAAACAAGACTATCTTCAGAAATGTAGCCATTACTTTGAAGAACATACTTGTTTTTCTCTAAGTGACGCTATATTTGTTGAAAAACAAGTTGGATGTTTAAAAGAAAATGCTGCACATGTGGCACACATACTGCTATATTGTGCTTTCTAGAGCCAGTATCAGTATGCACTCATTTTTTGACAGCAATTTGGTGTATACTTGAGATGAACAGATGTGAGCCGTCTTTGCTTAAACAAGAAACTCACAAATGCTACCTTTGTGAGATTGACAGTGCCCCTTCTGAAGAAAAGTGACTTGAAAGGGCACAGAATTACTTCAATAAGAAAACTCTCTTAGTCTATGCAGTGTTCACTGGAAACAGTAATATATTTGTAGTGTAGCAGTACTTTTTTGCAATGTTCCATTGGGAAGAGTGTTACATTCCTTAAACAGGGTGGGGCATTCCTTCAAGAAAATGCAACATTGCTTTGGCCTAGAACACCTCAATAGATGCAGTAGTACTTAGAAAAAGTCTTCTGTTTTAGTTCATGTTTTCTCTTCAAGGGAACAATGTTATTTTGATCATCCTTACAACTAATTCACAGTGTGTTCATTGTTTTTTTTCCAGGCAGACCCAAAGTTGAAACTTTTCATGGTAGTTAAATCAATCCCATCTACTTAAGGGAAACCCAAGATGGATGCATTTCCAGAGGAATGCGTTCAGAATGCATTCTTCCTCCAATCTAAGATCTAAGATCTAAGATTTGCCCAGGAGTCCTGAGGGAATCTTAGATCCAAATCTAAGATCTATATAAGATTTGCTCAGGAGTCCTGAGGGAATCTTAGATCCAAATCTAAGATCTAAGATCTAAGATTTGCTCAGGAGTCTTAGGGGAATCTTAGATCTTAGATGTTGGTCAGGAAAATCTAAGATTTGCTCAGGAGTCCTGGGGAATCTTTGGTCTTAGATCTTAGATTTTGGTTAGGAAAGTCCAAGATTTGTTCAGGAGTCCTGGGGGAATCTTAGCTCTTAGACCTAGCAGGGAATGCATTCTGAATGCATTCTTCCCAGAATGCTATCATTGAAGTTAAGTTAAATCAGCCTAAATTGCTTACTACACTACTATATAATACTATATATACATATATAGTACTCCCTCTTGAAAGCCAAATTTTCCTCAAGATAGGCGTGTATGTAAGGTAACCTCCTTGTGATGAATATGTAAAAAAGGTAGGTTTCAGGGGGGCTACCATATATATGTATATATATATATACGTGTATGTACGTATGGTGGATTCTCCATATGTTAATTTACTGAAGGGTAACTTGTTTATCCAAAGTACAAACGGGATTTAAGCACAAAACAACATGTGAAAGGGTGATTGAACATTTAAGTGAGAACAGTTGTGATGCAAGCAGCGGAAAAGAGGATCCAGCCAAGCAATATGGCAAACTTAAACAGCAAATGCAATAAGAAAGCTGTAAGAACAAACAATTATATACAGACACACATATTGATGGATTCATATATATATATATATACATATGCATATCTTTATCCAGATATATATATATATAATCATTTTTCTCCGTGAATTTTCCCATTAAAACCTATTGCAACCTCCATCTATAGATTTTGTTTGGTATTTCCATGAATTTTCCCATAAAAGTCGTCTCCACGGCTATCCGGAAAGCCTTTGGCCTTGATGCTTCAAGGCACCACAGACCGACGAAAAATATGTTTCATCAACTAGATTATCATGTTTCAATGTTTCATATAATCCTGATTTCCTGGTGGCTGGTTCCTGATGAAATATTATCATGTTTCCTGGTGGCATATCAGTTTTTCATTAACATTTCATCTAACCCAAAATATGGCTGCTTATCCTGATTTCAAAGGTTTTTTTTTATTAAATATCATAGAACTAGAAACCGGAGTGATGACTGACTTCTCCTGATTTCAAAGTTTTTTTTTTTTTAAATATCATTCTTTTAAATATCATAGAACTAGAAGCCGGAGTGATGACTGACATCTTGGTTTTGACCAGAGCCGCTGATCATGGAGCGCAGCATTGGGATTTTAGCTCAGAAAGGGTCTCTAGATTCAGCTCCGAAAAATAGGGATTTTCCACCCCATCACCGATAAATTATGGCTAATGGTATCTAATGGTGTTGAACATCCCTATCATTAGATGGTGTTTAACATCACTGAGAAGTTATTAGCCAGAACCTATCTATATGATCATAGATTCATAGATGGTGTTGAACCATTACTTACAATGGATATTACTATATATATATACATATTGTGCTTCTTTTGGTGCATTGCTTATGGTTTCGCTCGGCTTCGATGATTGAACGCCTGATATTTCTGCTCCTTATGACTTACCCACATATACCCAGACAACCTCAAAGCATTTGGGGTCCAGGTACTGTTGTTGTTTCACCTGGCAAGAAGGTGGGCCGTGGTTACGTCGGATATCCCAATGGCCATGGCAACCATGGTAACCGTGGTAACCATGGCTGGCTGAGAAATCCCCATGCCATGGAAGCCCGGAAGATCAACCAGGTGGATTTTTCCACATCTATGTTTGGTTACAGGAGGGTGTATATAATTATATACACATGTACATAGAATGGTCATCATCACTAACATGGAAATATCTTTCAAAATTCCATATTCTATCTACTTCAGGATGATTATATAGATCATATTTTCACCCCACTCAGAAAGTAGATTCCCAGCCAAATTACAAGTGCACCAAACCCACTTACCCCACTTATAAGTGTAGGTATCGAACATGACTAGGATTTGGGGGATGAAGCACCTGGTTGGTAAATCCCATGTTTTAAGGGTTCAATGCCACATGGCTTTGTCTGACAGTAGGATACCCCCCACTCGATGGTTGTGGTCATCATATTTGCCCAATTTGAAACTGGCATGAAAATGGGCATACCCCATTTTCAGACACATTCATCTATCATCTTTGCTTATTGTGTTTGTAATCTCATATGTATATAGCATAGATTATGTGATTATGTCCCATTGTATCCCAATTATATCCCATATATATATACACATATAAAAACACCAGAAAACGGATTGGTTGCTGAACTTCCGTTCCGCCCGAAGCGCAGGTGGAGCTCATTCTACGTCCTGCCTTGCCGAGTAGCTTTAGACCTGGACGCCCGGCGTGACTGTGACCTGGTGGGCTGATTCTTGGGATGTATATATATATATGTATGTTTATATTCTTGGGATGTTATACATATACTATATATATATGTTTATGTACTATATATATGTATATATATATATGTATATATATGTATATATATATATGTATATATATATATATGTATATATATATTATTAATTTATATTATATATATGATATATGCATTACATCTTATACACATGTAAATATTATATATACATATATTATATATGTATACATATATATATATGATATTTGCATTACATATTATATATATATTATATACATATTATATATGTATACATATACATATGTATTATGTATATATATATATAGATATTGATATATTATAATATAATATGATATATAATATAATATAATGCACTATTGTGTAATAATATATCGATATATGTATATAATAATATTTACTAATATTTGCAAATATATACTAATATTTACTAATATATTTTATATACTATTAATACATACTAGTATGTACTTATATATACTACTAATATATACTACTAATATATAATACTAATATAACATACTAATAAATACTACTGATATATAATACTAATATATACTAATGATATATACTAATATATACTAATAATATATACTAATATATACTAATAATATATACTAATATACACTAATATATACTAATATATACTAATAATATATATTAATAAGATATACTAATATTTACTAATATATACTAATGATATTTACTAATATATACTAATAATATATACTAATACTAATAATATATACTAATATATACTAATACTAATAATATATACTAATATATACTAATAATATATACTAATATATACTCATAATATATACTAATATATACTAATATATACCAATAATATATACTAATATATACTAATAATATATACTAATATGTACCAGTATCTACTAATATATACTAATATAAACTAATATCTACTAATATATACTTATATATATAATACTAATACTTATATATATATATACAAATCAATTTATATATACATATGTATATTTATACATATATATATATATATGTATTTTTATACATACATATATATATATATGTATCTATACATATATATATGATATTTGGGACATATTAGAACTACCAGCTTTTAGGGATAGATTTTCGGAATATATGGGAACATATGTATATATATATATATTGCACATCTGGATATGAACTCATTACTTGGATTTGTCTAAAGATAGATAACCAACTACCCAGCTATCCCAGCCGCCTATCTATGTGCCTTGCTGATTTTGTTGCCGAGGAAACAGGGTGAAACTTCAAAACCTTCAAAGTAAGGAGAGGCCTGGGCTGGAAGATGAGGTCCTTGGATTTGCCAGAAAAAATTGTCTGGAAAAATGATGAAAAAAACATGGAAAGCCAAGGCTTAAATCCACTGGTGGATCATCATTTGAGTCCAGAAATTGTATACAGATTGGAACACCCATTTAAAGTCAGAATATGGGATTTGATCTAGGGAATGGATATGTCAAGCAACAGGGATGGTGAAAGAACGATCAACAATTGGGGTTTCTATACTCGCTAGAAATGGAGATGAGATGAGGAGAGGACCCTTTGGACGTTGGGTCAGCATTGAAGACCAGAAATTCACTAGATTTACCCTTCGGTAATCATAGCTAAGAACATCATGTGTAAATGGGGGGATTTTCAATTGCCACGTTTGATGACCGATGACCGCTGTCGAATTATGAGAGACAAAAATTTACGAGGTGAGCCAACCCAGTTCAACATCAGAGTTGTCGAGAACCAGATCGAATACCACGAACACATGTTGAACGTGATCAGAGAAGCCATGGAGGCGCAAACGGATCACCTCGTGTCAAGAGCAGCTTCGAAGTCTCGTGACGGCGAGTCCGGAGAGTCTGAGTCTGGTCATCCACCTTCAGACGCCATGAGCTCAGAGCCAAGAGCGGCATATGACCAGGACCAGGAAGCCAGTTGGTGTTTGCTACGCTGCACGCCAGATGAAGCAGCATCCCTGAGAGTCCACCCATGGTGTTGAACACCAGGATACCACTGAGAGCACTGATCAGTCGGAGGTCCCAGATTCGACTACAAGATCTAGATTCACATCTGACTATGAGGCCCTGGAGTTCCCTGAGAATTGTAAATGTCCTTGTATGAAATAGCACAACATATGTATATATATATATATATTGACAAAAACACGTGTTCGATCTGAATATTAACCATTAACCATTAGAGATATCGATATAGATATTAAACATTATTAACATTATTAACCATTACATATTAACCATTTTTACACACTATTATATAAATACTATTTTTATTAAACACTATTAAACACTATTAAAACATTAATCATTACATGATGGTCATCACTATTAGATGATGGTCATCATGGTTGACCAGTTTTCCGAACTCTACCTTGCGTGGCAACCGCCCAATGCTGATGCCGGGAAGAGCGGCTAGCGCCTCCCTAGGGGACCCAAGTTCACGCATGATTCATTGGGTTGCTTTAAGAAAGGGATCTTTATTTCAATGGATAGATTTCATGGAAAATCTACAGGAAACCAAAGATTTTCCCATTAAATATGGGGCTTTCCTGTAAATTTTCTCTTAAACCAATCCATTGATTAATGCCAAACATGTTCCGTTTTTTTTTTTCTGGACATGAGGCTATTATTACCCTTTGCCACTCACACCAGGCAATGGACAACTCACACCAGGCAATGGACAATGCGAATGTAATGTGCTCGACCCAATAGTGACATCCAATTAGCCACTTGCAGAGTGGCCCCCAGTTATCTTGGTTACTGTTGGGTGATTTTCACTCATTTCACTGTAGATACATCCACCACAAATCTAGCAGCTATTGTATAGTAATATACCAACAGAAACCTGGACTTTCGTTGCTTAGAAAAAATCATATATTTGGATGAATTATAATGACCTAACCTCGTAACGTCACTGGAATGATGGTTAGGATTGGGGGAATCATCCCAAATAGCCGAAGCTTTCAGCTATTCTCGGCTTGGTGAATCATTAGACTTCAGCTAGATACACAGCAAGTTTATCTCATTTTACATGGAAAACCCAATGATATACTGCATATAGTATATAAATGTATATAATACGGATATATCATTGGCATTTAAATCATGAGATTTATCACTATGGGTATAATGAACTATATCCCATTATATCCCATTATATCCCATAGATTTACCCATCGATTTACCCATTATATCCCATAATCAACTATATGACATACCCATATGATATGGCCATTGATTTACCGTGTTTTTTTTTTTCTACACAGCCATTTTGAAAGGTTGTGTTAGATCCATGGCATACACCATTCTATATCCCGTATCCATATCCCATTATATTCCATAAAAAAACAAACTATATGAACTATCCATTAATGATATTCATATTACCATATTATAAATAAGTGACATTTATGATCCCATATTACATATATATATATATCCCCCAATTATTTTCATATCCATATCCCATTACATATCCCATTTATAATTACCATTATCATGTTACCTAAGGATAAGGTGAACATGTCATATCCAAAAATGCCATATCCAAAATGTCAAGCCTCGTTGCGAAGATATCCAGGATGCTGTGCGACTCAATGGTCATTTCGGTACCATCCAAGGCTTCGTGGCACCTTGGCGTTTCGCGTAACGCACAGCGGTTCCGTAAGCGGCGTTTCGCGCGTTTCGCGAAAGCGACCAAGAGACCAACAAAAGGGGACAAAAGGTTAGGGTCAACCATCCAAAAAATCAAAAAACTGAGGTTTTAACATGTTTTAACCATCCAAAATATAGAGAAACTATGAGAAACTGGGGTTTCACGCATCCAAAATATAGAAACTGGAATTTGAATGAGAAAACAAGTGGGATTCAAGTGGGACATACCCTTTGGCAATCAAATAGGGAGCCGGTTGCAGCTACGAATTGAGTTTCCCAAGCACATGAGAGTTTCGCACGAGTCCCGTTTTGCGTTCTTTTTTTATTGGAGGTGTCTCATGTGTAATGTCCATTTAAGAGCTACCCACACCCCAAGTGACCTCCCCCGACAATACTGCATTGTTCAGGGTTATCAACCACTATAAACCGCACTATAATCATCTACAATCCATGAATAAGCCACAGATTATCATAGATTAGGTTCTCACACATTATTAACATGCGTCAGTAAACCACCAATTCATCATCATCACCACCACCACCATCATCATCATCATCACCACCACCACCACCACCATCACCATCACCACCACCACCACCACCATCATCATCATCATCATCAGAACTATATGAACAAACCACCTGTGGCCCTTTTTCTTGACAGGTCCATTTTTCCTCCCAATTCGTCGGTGCCTCACAGTGGCACCGCTTTCGATCGAGGATGGCGACCTGAACGCGGTGCGCTATGCAGTGCAGTTGGATGATGGCAACCCGGGCCCAAGAACCCTTGATTGGTTGAAGGGAACATCTTAACCGGAAACCATGGTTTTTACCCAGGTCAACCTTGGGTGGGTAGTTGGACCACCTTTAATCTTCTGCTACATATAGGATTATTTACCAGCAAGCTTAAAAAGTATTTTCTTTGCAGGGTATCTAAGATTAGCAATGTTACCATGAAATATTGGAGGTTCTTCTAAATTGTCCCTAAGGACCAATAAACATACGTATATAAACATTGATATTGTGGTTTGGACATGGCGAGTATGACATATTATTCCTGGTTATCATGAATTGGTGATTATGAATGTTGCGGGGTTATTATGGGGGATTTTGCGAGCTGGTCTAGTGGGGATTATGAACTGAATTAAATGGAATAGTTACGAACCAAGCAATATTCATGGTTTGGAACGGTGATTGCTATGGTTATTGTTATACTATTATTGGTTAATATATATATACCTATTTTTTTATTGGCCATTATTATTGGCTATGGTGATGATAGTTACTAAACAAATATGGTCATTACTTTATTATTAAAAGACAATGCACCTAACAAAAGCTCATTTTTTGGTAATTTGGGGATCCTGCTGACTATCCAGTGGTGTTCCTGGAGGGAGCGCTTCGGAGCTGTGGTTGGAGCTATGAATCGAGGTTCCGAAACACAGAAAAAAACATTCAGATACCAATGGTTGCTGGCTTCAAAGGTTTTTGGACATGGTGATTCTTCCTAGTACTAAACTGTACTGTTTTGACGAACAGTCTTCATAACCTAACATGGCCGTCGTTAAAACACCTTTTAACAGATTGATGGTCAGCCATGTCATGGTGTAGCATGATTTTGCCAGGAAATGTTGGACATTGACGAATCAAGAGATTTCAGGAGGGGTTTCCGGGTTTCCACTTGATTTCCAGCAGAATCTTTGAGGTTTTTTGGGATCCTTCGGTGAAGGTGACGGAAATGGAAATCCTGAATCCTGACCAGCTTGGTTTGGTGGGATGTTTGAGAGCCATGGGGGAACCAACGCAAGATAGGGATAAATCTATTAAGAGAAAACTCACTGAGATGTACAAACCCAGAAGTGATATTCATCCGAGCTTTTCCTACGTAGATCAGTATTGATTTTCACACGCCATGAACTGCGAATTCTGCATCAAGTCGGCACAAGCCAAGGCGAAAAACTCCGGGTGCGTCCCAAGAACATGGTTTTGGTCAGCTGAATGCTGCTGAATCCGCCGGCCAATTTGGTTATTTGATGTTATTTGGGGTTTCGTTGTTCGTCTAAAAATTAGTGGAAATGGTGGGAGAGGTGATCAACAAGCACAATAATGTAAGCTGCAACAAAATATCGGAGACATTGTAGCCAACATTATTGATGCGATCCCAAAAGCGAAAAAATCAATGCTATCATCACTTGTCCTGGTCGTGTTTTTTTGGGCTGAGATGTGCTTTGCATGAGACCTGTCATGCATGTGGGTAGGATAGATTCCAGGTTTGCGTTGGATAGGGGGTCATTTGTTTTCCATTTCGATTGATGAATAGAAAATCCAGCTGAGAAGCCTATTGAAGACCATTTTTTGAGGCTACAACTCTTGAACACTCCTTTTTCCAGGACTTTTTCATTTTTTTTTGGATGATCGATCGGATCAGAATCAGCCCTCATCGCACTTGCTGGCGCTACAATTGCCATCGGGAGATAGTTGTGAACTTTGGATTGCCCGGAAAGAACACTTTCAATCTGTCCAAGACACCCAAATTGGCAGTCATTTCTGTTCATTTGTAGCTGCTGAAAACTTGTTTCTCTTGAGATTTGTTTGAAAACACATATAGACCTCAGATTCCCAGTTATCTACGTATCTGGATTGCAAGCAACCATTCAAATTTTGTGCAGCTGGGAGACCTTTTGCCAGGCGGTGCAAGAGCCAAACATTGGGGATATAGATGGATACAGATGGATACAGTAGATACTCCCTCGATGTCAGTACCCCACATCTGGGACCAGCAAAACAGAAGACCTATACCTCGGTTTCACTTCTGCTTGTGATTTCAAAACCCGAATCAAAATGTGAAACTTATGATATATATCTATATACATATATGGATGTTTCCTACAAGTGGGGTACCAAATCATGCAAATGAAATCATTTGGGATTGAAACATTTTAAGAAACCTCCATATACATAATATATATATATATATATATACACACACACACGTATGTATATATATATATACATACACATGTATATATATATATATACACATACATATATACGTACATATAATTACATATATATATACATATGTGCAAGCTGCATCACACCTGTACTATAGTAGACTTCATGGCGTTCCAACATGTGTGGCCGGAGAACTCGGTGGGAACGACACAACGGGAACACCCCGAATTCGTTGAAACCCAGGGTGCAAGAGTTGCATCGGGTCTTTTTTTTCTGGTGGGAAGACCCCAAGTTGCGACCAGCGACCGGCGTTGTCGAGAAATGGGGGTGTTGAAGAATGATAAATTTGATAAATAAGGTCAAAAAAAAACCATTAAATATATGATCCAAGATTTCAACAAACATGGCTTAAGCTCAGAAATGGGCTTCATTTTGTAAATTGGTCATCAGTCTTGAAACAACTCTATAGGTTGGCGAGGAAAGTGATGATAAACCACGGTTTCTGAGGTTGGCGATGCGTGGTCAAAGTACTTGCAACTTGTGGGCGAAGCTCGTGGAACCTCATGGAACGTCTAAATATATTAACTTCTCGGTTGCTTGATGGTGAAACATGGGGTTTTGCTTGCTTTTCAAGCGGAGAGTATGCACTTATTGGTTCAACACGGAAGGAATGGGTCATGGATTGCTATATGATTTTCCACCGTGGATGGCATTTTGTAGGTCAAAAGGTGATGGGTTTACCATCCCTTTTTCTCTAGTTTCTTGGGGGCGAGTTTCCATTGGGTTTGTCCGAGAATCTTGGGCACCCTAAAATACAGGCCACATGTTGGTTGTACTGTGGTAAATACATGTAAATACATCATCCCCAAAATCATACAAAATGGAGATGGTGGTATATGGTGGTATTAGCCCTAAATAGGGGGCTTATTGTTGGGCGTACCAGGTTCCATTGGCCGATTTCGAAGGATAACTTGGAGTCACCTTACCAGATGGAACTGCAACGAAGTTGTGAGATCAGACTGATCAGACTCACGACAGCTGCTTGGACCTATGGAGCGACGTGCAGGGTGGAGTGGGGTTTTTGAATGGGCAGGCGGATTGGCTTCTGCAAATGGGGTCCATACTCGTCCATACTTTCCGGATCCCTCCGCTTTTTTCAAACATGGCGGAAGGGACATCCCCCCATTTCGCTCGATGACTTTCCCATTGAAATGCCCAGAAAATGGAACATTTCCCAGCTACGTTTGATTACCGGAGTAGCAATGGAATGGTAAGTTGTTCTGGAGTTGAACATGTGTACATGGTTGGATGGGTGAAACAAAAAAACTTCTGATAAAAGGGGTCCCAATCTTGTCAGCGCAGGGTTTTGAAAAGGGGGATCCTGGAGCTACCGAAAATTGTGTTCCGAAAATGCGGACCCCGAAAATGACAGTTTTGATAGGGAATATTTGGGAAAATGACGATTAACCACTGGATTTTGGGATTATTTTCAGACAAACCCACTTCTGAAAAGGGGTCATTTTCGTCCGCCCTTCACTCGTCCCTTTTCTCCAGCCCTCGACGATTTTTTCGCTTCACGAACCGCACAGCCGCTGAACGAAAAAATGCCAGCTGCTGTGGGTTGGGTGGCAGGGGTACCTCCTGAACATTTACTGGCTATGGTCGTGGCTGCTACGGCTATGGGTGAAAATCCAGTTACCCTGGCGAACAACAGAGCTGAGATGTATGGACGTTCACCCCCCAAATAAATTACGGTATACAAATTACGTTATACTGCAATTAATACGTTTTGTTCCGTACCCAACTGACCTGAAACCACCGACCCGGGCCTGGTAGTCATATATCTCACCGTTTTCATCCCCACCTGAACAACTTCAATACTGTATAAATCAGGGTTTCTCTAGTTTTCAGAATGTATCCCCCTTATGAGGAGAAGGCGATTACCGTGTTGAGACCTCGAAAAGGGACGCGACAGAATGTCCTACTTGAGGCCCATTGGCAGGCCCATTGGCCCATTGGATTTGCTCACGGTGAATCTGATTTTGTTGCATGGTAAACTCACTAGGGATGATCGCGGGGACGGCTGGTGGTGGGATTTTCAAAGGTGTTTGTCGTATGATGAAAAAAAAGCAGAAACATGCTGATTTAATAGGATTTATCCAACAAAAATGCTGATTTAATAGGATTTATCCAACAAAAATGCTGATTTAAGGGGATTTATCCAACAAACGTACTGATTTAATGGGATTCATTCAACCAACATGGTGATTTAATGGGATTTAACCTATGACATTGGTAGATTTAAGACTCATCAATGGCTTTGAGTGCTCTAATCGCACCATGAGCAGCCGACTCGTTTTTTCATACTGGGCCTCCAAAAAATGGCCGGCAATTTCTATCCAGCTGCACTGCCGCCACCATTGGAATTGTTCAGCTGCAACCCATGGGGTGGCGGACTTAGCCCCAGACACCTCTAGCTAGCCTGGTAAGAAGAACTCCAGCCGATCAAAGGCTGTCTTTTTCACAACAGAAATTACCTCGTCCAACTCTTGATCCAGATATTTCCGGATACACGTCGTACGATATCATATTCTCTATATCATCCGAAATCTGTGATCCAGATAAGGTTTATATGGGATGATATATGAGTATAAAATAGTATAAAATAGTATAAAATAGTATAAACATTATCTGTCATTTGATCCAGATCTTTTTTGACCTTTCAGAATGTAGCAACCTTTGCATCAAACATCACCATTGGTCGAAGTCAGCCATGGCACCGCTGCCATGGGCTGTTGTAAGAGTAGAAGCTTGGACGACAGCGGGGCAGATGTGGATCCCAGGAATAACTATAGTATACTATAGTAATAGTGTGTAATAGTCATATTATGTCATATTAATATTAGTATGTGTAACAACATGTAAATAACCATATCTAAAACGGTCTATATAGGTATGTAATGGTATATATATAGACATATATCCAAAGTCAGGACGATGTCCAATCATTCACTAGCGAAGTAATTAGTGTTGTCAACAAATGCGATGCGAGAAACCTGCTGTGCCTCAGAGATTCATTGTAAACACCCAACATGGTTTGAGAAGACGGGCATCAGCAAAAACTACTGCTCAAAACCGGATCGGGAAATGTGGTTCAGTACTAAGGCTGACGAAATCTACCCACAACTAAAGATGGATATTGATACAGCAGATACATTGCTCACGGAGATGGATAGTTGTTCGATCTCAATCTCAAACAGAACCCCCTAGAGTGTTTGTCTAAATTACGATGGATCGAACATGTCAAAGTGGCAGAGAACCATGAGAAAACCTTCAGGGAAACTGGATGGATCATTATTGTATCCTAAGCACACACAACAGCAACTCGAGTTTTAGCGCAAAATTGGGGTTGGGCGGAGTGGATTTACATGGATTTACCACATAGCCTGCTAAAATTCAAACTTTTAGCAGGGGATCAACAAGCCTCACTCCAAAAATTAGAAGTCTCTTGCGTGTAATCTCTTCCTCAATTGTGACCTCCTGTTTCTGTGAATTTCTTTCAGTTCGTTCTGTTTTTGGTGCCATTAATCATTTTTTCCATTGGGTCCAAAACGTTGATCAGATGTGAAACGTGTTTCCGATGATCAGTTTCCCCATCACTTTTCCCCTTCCAGGTGAGGCGATGAGTGATGTGAACGTTGGTTAATTACAGTTCTATCCACCAGAAAGCCGATTGAATTCAATGGACAATCAACCAAATTTGGTAGCTACATTGATTTATTACTAGTAGCTACTAGTAATTCACCAAATTCTAAATCAATGTATATAGCTACCAAGATCAGATCAGCTAAAAAAAAATGACCATTTAATTGTCATGCAATTCTTGGTTAGATCAGCATTTTCCAGTGGTGTCGTTAGGTTTCAGGCCGAACAGCAACGATGGGAACGCATTCAGCTGGGTTTCTCTGAGTTTTTAATTCCCCTGAATTCCCATTGGTAATTATCAAACCATACTGGCAATAATGGGGGTATGCCCCATTTTCATTATATAACATTATATAACTACAATTGTCTTCACAAAAATTGTCATTTCGGGGTGTACATAAACCTTTCAGGCACATCTATTAATCCCTTAACTGTCCCATATCATGGCCGTGTTTGGCCAAGTGTTTTGGGGTCAGAGTTACTACGTACCACTGTGCGGTTTGGCTTTTGGGTGGTTACCAGAAAATGGGAGCCTCTAAAATCCAATAAAATGAAGGCATTCAAAAGACAAAACATATATTATATATCATTATATTATATATCATTATATTATATATCATTATATTATATATCATTATATTGTATATCATTATATTATATATCATTATATTATATATCATTATATTATATATCATTATATTATATATTCTATTATAATTATATCATATTTTCTTATCTTATATTGTATTATATATTATATCGTATTATATCATCATGTTATTTTATATACTTAATGGATGATATATTGATATTATATATATATATTATATATATATGTAGTCAATGGATGTTTTTGTTGGTGTGTACAAATCAAGAACATTACAGCTTCTCAGGACGAAGATGGCTTGAGCCTCACATCGACTATGATCCAGACTTCAGAGAGCAGCAGAATACGTCTTTTTTTTTTGAACGGTTTTGTGGAACGTAAGTAACTCAAATAACTATGGTTTATGGTATTTATAATTATATATCATAGTTAACGGAGTTTATAAACTAACTTCTAGCATTCTGTAAACATACAAAAAGATGTGGACAACCCACTGTGAATGTAGATCATGTTTGTAGAGAAATCATAGGGTTTTCCACATCTATGTCAGTTTACCCCAGGGCAAATTTGGGGTTGAACATGGATCCAGCATAGGTGTCCTTTTTTCACGTGGGGTTCCCACGGGAAATTTTCACAGAACATGGACTGTGTGGACTTAATCTGGGGAAAAGGTGCTGGATGTCAGCTCCATTTAGTTGGGTCAACATCTATTCGGGGATATCTTTCCACCTGCCCAATGGGGAAATCGGAAACAATAACTATAATAGCAAACATAATATTATATGATCATATACCCCTTTGTTCATATTTTGAATAAGCCCATAGTATGATGGTTTCATCCCCTACATCCACCGTGGTTTCCGGGGAGTGTTTGAGGATGTTTGAGGGCTTTATTCGGAGGAAGGGAACAGAAATACCCCTGCGACATCCTATCCCAAGCATTATTGGTTAAGTCCCTATAAACATGGTAATTATTATATCCCACTTATTTTCCATCATATCCCACTACATAATATTATATTAATTATATATTATATGTATATATATATATCTATCCTGCTATGTACATCCCATTCTATATATATAGATATACAGTTACATGTACATACACATTATTAATTCCATTATAGGATTTTATATATCCCATTATATGTACCATTATACCACCATTTATCATTTATTACCTGGTAAGTGTTTGTTAACTCCCTTGATGTTCCGATTTCTTTTCCTGCCTTGCAGGTGCAGGGCCAAGGCTATTGCTGTCCAGCGGGACACGTCATGGAGGAGTTTCTGGGCAACGAAACATGGCGGGAGCCTACTTGGTGGCTCATCCCGCAGGTTATAACACTAGTTTTTACGTGGATTAACCCTACTTATCCCACTTATAACCAGGGATATAATAACCTACTTAGTAAGTGGGATGAGCCACCAAGTACAGGTCTTATGGACTGGGGGTGCGACTGGGGGTGGTTGAATATGGCTATGTCCATGGGATTTTCACCCCAAGTGCCCCCCCCCCACGAGTGATGTTTGTTAGTTTACAATCCCCATGAATACTAAAGAGAAAAACATGCCATAAATCCTAGTGAAATTGAAGTTACAAACCAAATTAGCTAGGGGGTTTTGGGGCGCCACCTCGTAACCCCAGGAATCCACTGTTCTATCTGATATCAGCTTCCCCATTAAGATAGGGTTATTCCACCAGTTTCAGAGGTTTGAAAAAAGATCAGAGCGGTTAGTCCACCATTCTTCCCATGATATTTTCAATGTCAAGGGTGGATTAAGCTCTGAAAAAATGGGAACCATGGGAAGATGGGATTTGTAGACATCAGGTTCTAGGGGACTGGGTAACCTGTCAGACATCTCTGGACCAACCGGTAAGATTGAGAAATCTCCGGTCATTGAGATAATCATTGCCAACACATCTCTGTACGTATGATATCATATGATTATGTATCCACAACCCGTTCTTATTTCTTTTTCGGGCCATTGATATAATTGCCAACAAGTCCGTGTATAATGATCCACAGCCCCTTCGTGTTTTCACTCTGGCCATTCATGGCCATTGAGGTAATTCTAATGAGATATAATGAGATATAATATGCTGTAATTGCTGTAATGTGGGTAAAACAATAATAACCACCCCATTTGGGAATGGTAACCATAACACCTATAAAAATGGTGATTCTTATGGGGGATGGTGCAAATGGCATTGTTTTAACCACATTATTGCCAACATTAATTATCAGTAACCATTACTAACCATCATTTATTAACCATCATTAACCATCATTTCTTAACCATCATTAACCATAATTTATTAACCATCATTAACCATCATTTATTAACCATCATTGACCATCATTTATTAACCATCATTGACCATCATTAACCATCATTAACCATCATTATCCGTCATTAACCATCATTAACTACCCAATATTATCAGATGAGTTTCTGCAATTCTCAATAGTTCAGATCTTCGTGAGACGCAATCGAGGCTGGTGACGCATAAGGCTGGCTATCTTAGGTGCGGTGCACTATGGGAGCCGGATGAGGTTCATGGATCCTGAACAAATGCCCGCGGACTATGCAACAATAGCCACTTTTTCACGATTTTATGTGTAATTAGTTCATGCTTTTTAAAGGGGATGTGATCGGACATATGAGATGACGATATGTTTACGGATGGTGTTGTGGAAACCAATTCATAAAGATTGTGATTTACCAGCCAAAACCGGGGTGAAATTTAGGGATTGTCCAAAATAGGGATGGTCGTCCCCCAAGCTACAGAAGTGCGAATTTTGTGGACAAATGGACAATGTGATGATTAACCAACGGATTTTACCATGGACATGGGGTATAGTAATACCCATAGGATCCATGTATGCTACATATGGTAACATTTACCATCAATATACCCCCAATGTTAGCATATATACCATACATGGATCCTATGGGATATGCCAAAAAAAACAGAACATCTCCACAAAAAACGAGGGTAGAATCCTCATGATATGTGGGGGTTCTATCGAAATCGGGGACTAGGGATACGTATCCCTTGAGAGCGCGCCCACCCAGGAATATCGAAGGTTAGTGCACCAAAATCCCATGGTTCAACTCAAACAGTGGTTTTAGTGTGCCCAAGAGTAACATCTCCATTTACAGATGTTTTTTCCACTCAAACCTCCATTCTTTATAGATGATGTTCAATTTACACATCCATTTAGTTCGGGGATTTCCCGTCATAATGGGAGACCCGGATCTACATCTGGGACTGGTTGGCTTCCTAAGACCTGCATCAAAGAGCATCGAATTGTCTCGAGACCGGTTCAGTACCTAAGGCCCCGAGACTGGGTTGAAGATTGCAACCAAAACCCGTCATTCTCCTCATTGCAATTGTGTCCCTTGTGGACAGTCGTAAGCATTCAGAACTTACTACCAGGATGACACGGGATAATCCATGAGAATCTGCAGATTTTTTGACGGCGAATTCTTCACATCCCAAGATATCCCAAGATCGTCCAACTTTGAGTTACTGTTTCCAGTACACTGGAAACCAAAACCAAATATATATATATGGTTATATGTTATGATATATATATATTCCCCCAAACCACCATGTTAGATCATTTCACCACATATTTAGATGATAAACACATCTAAAAATGATAATAAATGATGATTTACCTGTTAAACACATTAAACAATGGCGATTTTCCAGACTTTTAATGGGCCCATCCCAGCTCACAGGTGTGATGTCTGTGGCGCAGCACAAAATGTTGGGAGAAGGAGCCGAACGTCCGATCACGGCGACATGAAAACTGGTCAAACGCCCATCAATGGATTGGTTTAAGGGAAACAATTATATACAGGAAAGCCTCATGATCTTCATGGAAAAATCGGATTGGTTTCCGGTCAAGATTTTCCCAACAAAACCAATCCATTGAGTCCAAGGAACGAAGAAACATGAAGAAACATGACGAAAAAAAACAACTGGGTGGAACCTGTTGTTGAAACAGAACAAAAAACGCATTTTTGATGAATTGTAACAAAACATGGGGACTGAAAACAGTGACTTCACACTCAAACGATAAGCTTGTTGAAGGGTGTTTCTTCTCGGCCAAAATGGCTGAAAGACGGTGTAACCTACAAAACAACAAGAATTTTATTCCGAAATGGTGGAACGACCTGGGTCAATGCTGCAGGGTGTTTTTCCAGATCGACAATGACGCGGGTATGGCGGAAGATTGATCTTAGTTTACTATAGGTGATATGTTCATAGATTAATCCCAAATCATGATATATATATATATATCATAATCTAATCGATTATAATTATCCAGTTGCAAATCCCAGATTTTCCCATGATTATCCCATGATTATCCCATGATTATCCATGATTATCCATGATTACCCTCTGGTAAACTAACATAGCTATAGAAACGGCTTATTTATAGCTGATTTACCTATGAATATAGTGACTTTCCAGTTCGCAAACTGTCAGTTTACCAGAGGGTATCCATATAATCCATTATAATCCATTGTAATCCCAGATTATCCATGATAATCCCATGATTATCCATGTTTATCCCCACTTTAATTCATCAAAAATCCCAGGATGCAAGGCTGCTGGGACTGCGACTACCACGTGTGCTGCCTTTGCGAGAAGAAGTTCCAGGAGCGAGACGAAAAAAAACCCTGCAGCTATTTCGGCCCGAAATACCAGTTATAAATGGTTATAACTGGTTATAACATGTTATGACTGGTTATTTCTATGGGATAATACATTCCATAAATCTGGGTAAATTATAACGACCTCACTGCGACCTCACTGGAATCATGGTAAATAATGGAAATCATCCCCAAATGGCCTTATTTCATTCAGGTTAGTGAAATATTATAATTTACCCAGATAAATGCGATTATAACTGACTTACAACTGGTATTTGGGGCCATAACTGTGGGGTTAAACGTATAGAAAACAACATGGAAAAGTAGTGTGAGACACTGTGGAAACTGATTACAGTAGACATCAGTAAAGAAAAATACATGGAAAACCACAGGGAAACCCTATGGAAACTGATTAAATATAGAAAAGGATATGATATGAGCAGTTTTCAAAAAGGAGTGGTTAATTGAGACCACTGGGGTTCTACTAATCTGAAAAGGGATCATCACAATCCCAACTTGTTGGGATAAGTTTAAATCAGAACGAGCAGCCAAGCTTCTGATGCTACAGATCGTGGATGTTTCATATTTTGATGTGTTGATTTACCGGAGGGTTAGAGATGCCCTCCAGGTTAATCAACTGGATGGGTAGAAACTAATCCTTTAGTCTTTTGGTATCAACGGGATTATCTACTAAGCAGCTAAGAATTTATATATTTTTTTGCAGGGTATCTAAGATTGGCCATGCCTTTTTCTCTATGGTTTTTGGATGGTAGAACTCTGTAAAAGCTGATTATTGTTTTGTTGAAATACATCGTTGATGGTTCCATTGGCGAGTCACACTATATTTCCCGCCGAAGGATGCAGAGTGGTATGCCTCCTGGCTCCAATTCTGGCGCGGCAACAAGCCGAAGGACGTCACGGATGTTGAGCCGGCGGAAACTGTCGAGACAGCCGCATACTCAAGACAGGGCGGGGCAGAATTCAGAAGGTGCACTGGAGGTTGTCGCGTCCCCTATTCCCGGACAATATAACCGTTTGGTGGAGATATGGATTGTAATTGACTACCCTTTGGTAATCAAACATGGCAATGGGAAAGCCCCTATAAATGGACTATAAAAGGACGTTTTCATGAAAACATCATCTGTAAATGTGGAATTGTTCATTGAAATCTTTGATTGCCACCTGGTAATTGTTAGGGTGTCTCGGGTTTTGGCATGTTTCCCTTGTTTAACGAGCCCTGAAAAAAACACCCTCTGATCGATTGTCAATGGTGAATTCCTCATGGATGTCTGAGGGATTCCAAAATGGCTCAACATTGGTTAGTGAAGTATTGTATAATTTATATTCGTTTACCCAGCAAGATGGGTGGGAGATAACCCATTGAAATTGGAATAGAACATGATTCAAGTGGTATTCCAAAGATAATTGTTAGTTCGCAGTATATTCCAATGTTTATTCAATAGCAATATATTCCGATTTTTGGTAACCACTGGTTATTTAACATAGCTATGGAAAAATGGACAATCGTAAATGATTGATTTACCCGATTTACCCTTCCAAAAAATGGTGATGTTCATTGGTTCCTGGCTGGCACGTCTCGGATGTAGCCTGGAACGAGGGATGATCAGCGTTGAACCGTTGGAGAGTTCTTAGGTCGATGCTGTCATACGGGAAACATTAACTGTGGATGGAAGAAACACTGCAGCAGTTGGACTATAACGGTATTATAATGGGATGAACCATATACCAACTGGTGCAGGATTTCTTCCATTAACAGTATGATTATAAGATAGATATGAGTTCTTTTTTGGAATATCAACATTAAATATCACAGTATATCAACATTTTTCATCATCATTATCAACATTGTTGGCATTCTGTTTTAGTGAAGCCTACCTTTCTTTACCAAACAACAACAATCAAGAACCAATTCTGCCTCGGTTGTACACGCAAAAAGTGACTCAGTGATACACACGCTCACAACTCGATTATACATTTGAAGAGGGCATTTTGGATGATGACCATTTTTCTCATTATTAATATATGTTGCTATTATCATTATCATCATTAATCATAACGATGGTGATGATGATGATGGTGATGATGGAGATGATGATCATGATGTTGATGATGATCATGATCATTAGTGGTGATTATGTTTCGTGATGATACTGGTTCAAAACCTTCAATATCAAATAGATCATGGTGACTGCAATGGTTCTCGTGATAATGATGACAATGATGACGAGGATGATGATGGTGTTGCTTGAGCGCTTGATGCTGTTGATGGTGAGGATAGTGAAGTCTGGTCCCAAGCCTCCCCAAGGTTGCTGGGGAAATCCCACGCCGAATTCCAGCTGGATGATATGCTTTTAATACATAGGTGGATGGGAATGATTAACATGTAGCTACAAATCATGCCTATGTAGCATTAAACCATCCACATAGGTGCTACAAATCATAACCAGTCACCATTTGGGGAGTGATCCTCTAAACTCTACAGCCTCCCAGAGGTCGACGACGTTGCCGCCAACGAGCCAGCTGGCCAGCGGCAGGTGCGGCAGATACGGCAAATGCCGTGCAAGGTTGAACAATCCATGATACCATGGGAAAACCATGAAATATCACTGGTTATAATGGGAATATCATGAAATATGGTGATCATATGGCATTTAAACCAGTTTCTAGGTCAATCAACTGGGTGGGTAGAAACTCATCTTTTAGTCTTGGATGGTATCAATGGGGTTATCTACTCACCAGCTAAGAATTTGTCACTTTTTTGCAGGCTATCTGGCTGGTGATGATGGATCCATTGAATCTGGATGATGACCTCACTGTGACATAGGAATCATCCTCCAATGGCTGTATTTCAGCTGTTGAATCAACTGTTGTAATTTATTCATCTGTTGTTGACTATTCTAAACCATGTTTTTTTTTGGTGAGCGCACGATAAAATTCAGCCAGAAGAATGAATCCAATGAATGCCTATCGACAATGATATGGGGATACAACCGAATACAAGGGCATATGGCATATATGAGCAATGCCCATTTTTGGTTCGTCGCACCGCCATTCCATTCTTTGATGGTTGTATACCCATTTTGTCTTAAGCTGGGTGAATCCAATTGTTTTGTCACTTAGATATATTAATATATATATGTATATGTATATATATATATATATGTGTATATATATATGTATATATATATGTATATATATATATATGTATATATATATATTCATTGAAATTCCATGAACATGCCCATTTTTCTCAGCTTCTAGGCTTCAAAGTTTTCCCAGTGTCACCAGGTGTCACCAAAAAGTCGCCAGGTGCCCCGGTGTCCCGGGAAGCATACCTTGTGTCAATATTTTTCCGCGCAGGACGGTGCGTTGCAATGGGGCAGATGGGCAGTCAAGGGATCAAGGGATCAAAGGCAGAGATCTGCGATCCAGAAAAGTCACACCCAAATAGATAGAATTGATAGGACATTGCTTAAATCTGTTTTTTTTCCTTCTCCTTTCGGATTTCTAGGGGGTTTCTATATCACGCCTAGGACTCCTTGGATAAACCTTGGTTGGCGATTCATGAATTACCAGAATTTCACCATCAAAGATATGGCAATTTGATATATATATATATATATTTATACTGACAATGACACAACCATATAGAAAATATGATAAAGTATGTAATTATGTATGTAATGCTGTCCCCAGCTTGAATAAATGGCACCTGGAGGAAGCTCCAATCCAGTGAGCTTCTCAGGGGATGCGTGAACGCGGTGAACGGTAGGGAAGACTGGTCCATAGCTATGGGTTGGCCATGGTTGCACTATCCATGATACCATGGGAAAACCATGAAATATCAATGGTTATAATGGGAATATCATGGAACATCGTGATTATATGGCATTCAAACCAGTTTCTAGGTCAATCAACTGGATGGGTAGAAACCAATCCTTTAATCTTTTGGTATCAACGGGATTATTTGCGAACCAACTTAGAATTTAATTTTTTGCAGGGTATCTAAGATTGGCCCAGTTTATAGATGATTTACCACAACTGGTGATTCCATTGGTCCATGGTTATGTTAGTCTACGGGTAATAGTCCTGGCTACAACCCAGAAGTTACAAAATGTTACACATCGATACCAATGAGATAATACTAAACACTAACTAAGATGTACACCAAGTAGAAATTTGTGGGATTATTATGAAATTTAGTAATTTTCATGCAGATTTTTTTTGATATGACAAAAGTCACACCACATGCTCTGATTGTCAGGATACTTAGAGGATCATGTGAGCTCGCAACTCGTTTGCCATTTACTATCCTAGTTAGTGTTTGCCCCTCAGCTTCCCTATGCAAAACTGGGCTACAAACATATTTTCTTATGACCATTTTGGGTGCTTCAACCACAGAGGACCCAAAGACCGCCTGAGATGGTACTTGGAAGGGAGCAGCCGCAGCAGTTTTCACGTTCTTCTCAAGGGCGCACAGGCTGCGTGTGCTGGCGGTGAGGTTTTCTCGACTTGAGCGAAGGAAGGCTCAGTGGCTGATGCGAAGATGGAGTGCAAACCAGAGATGTTCAAGCGAGGGGGCGCTGATTTGAGGCCACCTTCTGGTAAAACACTTCCATTTCATATCCCCCTTTGACAATTTCCCAAGGGACACCCCTCGAATCCAGGGTTCTGGGTTAGACACTGCAGTCATCTGAATTCAAATAAGGGGTATCATTTTAACACATTTTACCCATTGTCACTGGATTAAAACCACCATTGCTGGTGAACCATACCCCAAGTGGATATCAACATTTGTGGTTGATTAAACACATTGATTCTCACCCTTTTGCGTGTTTTTCCTTGGTCAACCTTGCATTGCTAGTTCAACACTTCAATCTTTTGTCATATCACGAATAATCATAAATCATCATGCATCATCATACAGCATCATAAGTCATCATATATCACCATAAATCATCATAGTCTATAATAGTCAATAGTAGAACATCATAATCATAGCAAACACACGTTCTTCAGTATTTCACCATACATGATCATACATCATCATAAATCAATTCCCATAAATCATCATAGACCATCATGAATCTATTGTTATAAATCGTCACAAATCTACTTCTATCATCTTTAATCTATAGCCAGCTATGATTTATTGTTGCAGAGTGGCCATGTGACCTTTTCCCAAGTGTTGCGCAATGGAAGAGACGAAACGCAGAGGTGTGACGTGTGTGGGAAGCAGTTGGCTCCCTATGTCAGGCACGTTTTCGGGGTGGACAGCATGTAACGACCTCACTGCCTATCACAAAATAAATGATGGTTAGGATATGTTAGGATATGTAATATATTAGGATGTGGTATCATTCCCCAAAAAACGGACTTTTCATGCCTTTCAGGTTGCTGATTGGGTAGAATTTGACCACATGGACGCTTGGTGCCAAGATGTTTATTCTTCCTTCGGGATTGAACCAGCAAGCCCGTTGCACAACGGGCCACAAGAATGGTTTATTTTCAGCAGCAAGAATGGGATTGTAGCATATTGTAGCTAATGTGTTTCTTTCCTCACAAAAATGTAACATGTTTTTAAGATGTTTTAAGTATCAACCATGAAGCTTTTAGAAGAGACTGGTGAGACTGGTGAGACTGGAGAGTGGCAGGGTGGGGGTGACAGTAGTCAGAATGGACAACTTTGGCAGCATTGTATGTAAATGATAACTGACTAAAATTATATTTTAGATGGGTGTATGGTGTACCAGTATTTATTTATCTCACATCTCTCTGTTTCTATTATATACATATACGTATACATATTAATACATACATATGATTAGCCATGCTTTCGCACAAGAGAAATCAGCAAGCATCAGCAATGGATCTGCACAGAGTGAAACCGATGGCCATTACCGCCGTCTGAGCCACTTATTTGGAGCAGATGATTGGTTGATGGTTGATCCAAATATGGGTCAAAACATCATACCCAGCTATTGATTTTGTTGAGTAAGCATCGCACGGCATCGCATTTTTGCGAGATGAAGCATTTTGACATATTTTGACCCATACGATTATTGCCATGATAGATCCAGGGGGTACAGATTCGGATCATTCGCCAAGATATTTCGAGCCCGCCAGGATCTGGGGCTGCTCTTTGTGTGACTACGACATTGGGCCGTGTTGTGAGAGAAAGTTCGAGGACTGCTGGGACGGTCGGATGATTCGGATGACGTTTCTGGTTTCGATGTTCGAGATTCGGTGGGCGGGTGACTATTCACGAGTTCATTTCCATCAAAGGCTCCACGATATTGGTTGATAACTTTGATAACCATGATATTATCAGGGGTTAAAATGGTTATTGTAAATGATCACAGATGAAGATACTGCCATGGTTTTTATAAAATAAGGGCTTAGAGAGACCATCTCTGAATGGCCAATCGAATGGGGAAATCCGCTAACCAAATGGAGGTTTAGTTGGGTGGGAAAAAAACACCTTTTATATGGGATGTTCCAGCATCCCATGTTTCATTATCTGCTGTGGGGTACTGAATATGAGAAGCTTGATGAGTCCCTCAAGTGGGGTTCTCCCATTGGTTCAGCACTTATTCACAGTGCAGTCCAGTTAGCCACTGGTTAACGACCTACACATTTGCATTTCTATTGCACACTAAGGTACCCCTAAGTCATCCATTTTAATAGTTTTTTCCATAAAAAAAAAAAAAACATCCAGCTATGGGGGTACCCCCATTGATGGAAACCCCCTATATATGAGTGTGGATAACTACTGATAACTCAGTGGCAGACCAGTGGATGATGATGTCCTCTTCCCATTGGTTGCTTCATTCCATGTGGCCCTGGGCCATGCACTTTATTTTGAATCCACCCAACGAGTAGATGTTTCCTAATTATGGTAGTTCAGCCATGTCTAGATGGGTTTGTTTGAAAATGATGAGAGAACCTTCAAACCAGTCGTTCTTCATCGTTTTCCCCATAATTGCTAGTTTGGCAAGTGCCGCACTTTCAGACACACCAAGATGGGGTAACTAAAATTAATACCTTATATACCTTTTTTTATTATTTATTTCTGGCTTACCCGTCATTATATATATATATATATATGTGTGTGTGGGTTATAATCCAGTTTCCAACTGGGTCTCCCACATCCAGTTGTGCTGTTTCCATCCTGGCTAGGACCCGCAGTTTCTGGAGAGTTGGCAAAGCTTTTGGTGCGTTTCCAAGGAGGAGCCTAAACAGGACAGCCGGGGCGGGACGAGGGAGTTGGATGGTTCCGAAATCCGATCAGCCGCCAAAAGGATGGTTGAAAGCCTATGATAAATATTTATAAATCATGGGATATATGTTTACCACCTATCAACTGGTGGATTTCGCATGATTTCGCAACCATCCACTGTAGGATTTGGATGACTTTTTGGTCGCTAGCATCGAAATGACCCTGACCCACCACCGAAGTCTGTGTGGCTTCTACAGATGACTAGCGAAGTGGAACTGGCAGATTTGCTGGTGTTTTTTCGTTGGCGACAGAGAGACCAGTCTCTAAACCACTGACATTCTACTTGAATCACATCATCATGGTTAATCGTTGGTAAATGATGATTAATGGTTATTAATGATGCAAGTATCTGATTCAGTCTTGCGAAAGCATTGTATATGCTCATCCATATACTGGAAAATCTGGAAAACATTTAAGGTGAAATATAAACACAGGGTTGAACTAGACTCTGTTAATCAAACATGGCAGTGGGTCATTCGAAATTCGATGTGAATATTATCTGGAAGTGGATGTAAATGGGGGATTGCCAATTGCCAGAGCGTGATCGGTTAAGTCTAACGAATTGATAAATGGTTGGGAAGTGGGCATTACCAAACCAGGGTTGCAAAAGGAGGTCATTTGATATGACTGCAACCCAGAAAACTGTTTTTTAGCTTTCGATTCACCCAACCAAGATGCCGAGATTTACATAAGTACCATCAATTCAGCTTATACTACTATAATAATGCGGCCAGGACGGGGGTGCTGCCGGGGAAGTGTGTTTTGACTGCGCAGGGCCAGTGTTTTGTGCATTTTGGGATGTTGGCGGATTGCCAATGGCTGATGAGATTTAATCTTATTTGTTTCTAAAACATAAAACCCTAAACCCTAAACTTCATAAATCCTAAAACCTAAATCTGATATTACACCCTAAGTAAGCCTTGAAACTAAAATCTTATTAACACCGTGTTAAAAAAAAACAACAACAAACAAACAAACAAAAAACCCTAAATAATTCCTAAACGAACCCGAAACAAACCCTAAAGAGTTGGTCACATGATAATCCTCGGCCTGTGGACAATAATATATACTGTAGGTATAATATGGTATAATAACATAATTATAATTTATATATACACACTTTCCATTACTCCAGCAATTCTCATGGTAAATAAGCTCACTTAGGTTCCCATTCTTCAGCTTGAGAGGAAGAGCCACCAATGCCGGCACCCTGCGATCCACCCACTGTCTCCAGTGGGGCGCTCAATTGACGGCAGTTGCAGCTAGGGCAACGAGACTTTTTTCAAGTCGACCCCATTGTGCAACCAGTGCCAGCCAGTTCTGATTCTTGGAGTGTTTTTTTGACGTGCTTAAAACTTGGCTTATCAACAGCCACTTGAGCAGCTGCGAAAAACATTGTTGATTGGTGGTTACAGGGGATTCTACACTGGTTATACTATCATACAGTTATACTATCCAATCTATCCAATAGGTTATACTATCGGATCTATCGGTTATACACTGGTTATACTATCCAATATCTTGGCTTATCAAATGCCACTTCCAAAGCCACTGGCTCTCGGATTCTGCGCCAAGGCTCTTCCAATGTGCCGGAGGTGGCAGCGACCGTGGTGACGGTGGCCGAAGGGCCGAAGGTCTGGGGGAGGTGGAGGTGGAGGTGGAAGTTCCCAGAGTCGGGGAAACCAACTGGATGGGTAATGCCAACTAATCTTTTGCAGTGGGGATATACTTGACCAGCTATAGAAGCTATAGTCTCCTCCATTTTTTTGAGCACGGTATGCAAGATTGAGAATGATTGGTTGAAGGAAAAATCCACAGGAAAAGCATAGAATCCCTATATTTCCAGGTTAGGGAAGCCAACCCGGGAAAAAGAAGCATTCCAACCGTTTTCTCTTGACTTTCAGGGGATTTGATAGCTTTGCATGGTTTTGTCAACTCTTCTTGGCTACATCCTCCACTATTGCGCTCATCCCTCCTTTTTTATCTTTTTTTGTCGGTGCCATCCCCACTTTCGATCTCTTCCCCATTTTGCCGTACCTTTGTAGAATGTTGAATCCCTTCCCCTGTTCATATCAATAAAAACCCTAGTCACCAAGGTAAAAAGCATGTGATTTACACATATTTGGGACCATACAATTGGGGAGTTTAACATTAGGGGGATGGGAAAGTGTCCGTTGATGGTTAACTCCCATAGTACATTCCATTATCTATATATATATATATATAATTACATATATAAGGCATGTTAAGCCATTGTGAATTTACGGGATATCCCCATCATTCTAAAGGCAACATTCCCATATTCAGAAAATCTTCGCATACCATGTTTTCATCGTACTCCAGACCTGGGTTTTGGTATGTTACTTTGATAGGCATTTCAGCTCAATCTGGAGGGAACAGTTGGCCCACGGCGAATCCATTGAATGCCCCTCCACAGCTTTCTATCGCCTATGTCGTTCCAAAGGAGCTGTGGACGTTGAATGAATTGAAGGCTGCTTTGATAAGGAAGTTTCCTCATTTGTCTACAGAAGAAGGACAGGGTTGTCAAAGGTAACGTTTTTAAAGGTTGGCTAAGTAAAAATTAGCAAGTTTCTTCCCCGGGACCTCACCCAAGGTGAACTTGGAAAAATAGAACCCACTGGTGTGCCCCTGGAAGTTTGGGCCGGCTTTGGGATTGGAATTTTGGTTCTGGCCGCGAAATTTCCCTATGTGGTCTCTATACCAGCCACGCATACTCGGAATTCTTCGCATTCCACAAATTCTTCGCACTCCACATGGGACATCGCACTCCACAGCTAGGGACGCGCACATACTATAAAATCCACGCACTCTGCAAGATCTTCGCACTCCATAAAATCTTCGTACTCGGTAATTTTTCGTTTTTTTCGTTTTTCTTTTTTTTTTTCGTTTTTTTTTTGGCTAAAATCGCCTGGAATCACGTTTTCTGGAATATGGGAAAGGTAGCGGTTTTTCGTGAGACGTCTGTAGTTGCACATACTATCGCATTCCAGGCAATTTTGGCCAAAAAAAAAAAAAGAAAAAAGAAAAAAAAGCTCAGCAGGGTGAAATGTGATAATTTTCTGGTATATGATGGAAAAAACTGATGTTGGATTCATGGGGAAGGTCGAAGGGGGCCACGCATACTGTTTTATTTTCGCATTCCAGAAAATTAGCGCACTCCAGGGGTGGCATCGTACTCTATCGGTGGAATTATTTCGCACGGAAGAAAACAGGATCGTCGATGATTTGTGTTCCCAGATCCTGTTGTGCAGAGCTCTTTGCGGGGCCACAAAGATGTCAAGAAAGATGGGGATGGCGCTGCTGATGAAAGGCCAGCCAAGCGTGCCAGAACATAAGCTTAAAGCTTATGAATTGGGTTTTGGGATCGTGAAAAGTGTAGATGACAAATTTCCATAAGAACAGTATTAATCCATTTTTGGAAAGCTCAACATTTTTAATTATGACATTTCCAGAAATTGTTGAAAGTAAGGATCTTCTTTGGGGAAGAACATGTGCAGTCGACAACGTACGTGCCAGAAGAAAAGGAATACTTGGCAAACTGTATGAAATACAAATTTCACCTGAAAGGGGTCTTCGCAATTCCCTGAAATTTCCCAGCTATTTTGGCATGGAATATGTTCGGCCCTGGAATATGGGCAAGAAATTGCTAGAATCATGGGTTCCCAGTTACTGGGAAGCACAGGTGACGCGTCCCAAGCCCGTGCAGATCATAGGCCTCGAGGAGGTGACAAGCCAGGGATCCATCTGGTAATGACGTTCACAGTTTGCTATTGAAAATGGCAATTTTGGTAAACATGGTGATTTTCCATAGTTATGTTAGTTTACCAGAGGGTATTGAAAATGGCCATTTTTGTAGTTGATATACTATGATATACCCATAGAAAAAACGGTATTTTTCCATAATTATGTAAACGTTTACCAGAGGGTATAATGCTGGTTTTTCATCTCTCCATAAATCATGATTCAATGGTTCCGTTCGGAACCAGCAAAGAATACATGGAATCATTGAATCATCGAATCATGGAGATTTCATCACCATTTCTTGGGGATCACGCTTGCCAGGATGGAAATGGCTAGGAATATAACGGCCAGTTGGGGGGAATTTCACCAGCAACAATCAGCAGCAGTCCAGGACTATTATTTGTCCATGGATATACACATGTATATATATACATATGAATGTATATGTATATTGAATGACTATTGCTGAAAAGAGTTGAGCCCCACAATTTTTGCTGTAGCGCTAACCCAATTTATGGATGTTTGTGATTTATTGGTACGCCGTTTTCGATGCTTGTCTTCCACCCTCTGGTGTTTCACCCTCGGGGAAGTCCCGAGATTGGACGAAAATAGACACAGCTTGTATCTATTCTTATCCGATTTTCAGAAGGTAAATCTCAATTTTGAGTTTTCAGAGTCATATTGATAACCTTGGTTGAATAGATTAGAGATGATTGGAGGCTGAGCTTCTTGCGAGGAGTATACCAAGCAACTCAAAATAACTTTCTTGCGGTCAGTATCTGAGATGGGTCATGAAGTAATCGACAATGTCATGTCTAAGAATTGGTTCAGGCGAAAATTGTCAGGAAATCCCCACAACTTCGGGATTAAAAACCTTGGTTTCCAGTCCTGTTTTTTTTCCCCTACTTGTTGGTCAAATCATCATTTGTGTGGCTTAAATTCACATTTTTTTGGCTATTGCCACCACTTACGTTCCCTGTTATTTTCCATGTAATTTCCCATAGGTTGTAACATATGTTGTCATCTTTCTCTATTTGTTTGTAGGGTAATCCCCCCATTTGAACTGGCCGGGAGGAGCTGGTCCGAACTGCGGCGGAGTCGTCCAGAGCCATGGTCTTAGGAGGCGAGGCCATGGTTTTCCAGGTTGAAGGATGGTGCAGGGAAATTTTTATGGTTGAACCCCCTTGTATTTGATGGAAGAATCATGAACAAACCGTAGGAAATTCTGTACCATATGGTATTTTAACATATCTATGGAAGCCATGGCCCATTTACTTCAATGATTTACCTATTAAAAATTAGAAAAAATACTCATTACCAGAGGTAGATATTCCCTTGTGACTCATGGTTTCCTTGGTGAAGCTGCCTGGTGAACTCCACTCCCCAGTTCTGTTTGTTGGTTCATACCGTAAACCCATCCAAGAGGAGTGATATATTCATGAACCCCCAATGAACCCCTCAATAAGGCCTTACTTACTTATTGTTACGGTTGTCACCCTGGTCAGTAAACATGTTCATTTTGTGGCAGACAATTAAAAAAACATATACCAGACCAAGGTTCACTCAGAAAATGAAAATTAATCGCGCCAAACATGGAATATAACATGGATGGACCGAAGAGTGGGTTATTCAACTAGACTTGGAGATAACACTAGCCATGTTGTGGCTGTCCTGAAGGTCTTCCATGGCTTACAGATTCATCTCGTTATATCTAATGGATTCATAGATCATCCTTCATGTACCTAAGAATGGTTAACCCCTTCCCCTTATATAATATCAGCCATGGTAAAACAAACGTACGTGTTTACGTTTATTGGGACCCGCACAATATGGTTAGGTGCCCCTCTTCATCAACCCACATGGATTAATGGACTGCACCCATGTTCAGCGGCAGATTTAGGACTTAGATCTTTGGTTCCTATGCATTTCAAGTATTTCAAGTAATGCCTAAAGATTTCTTCTTCTCTCCGCACAGGCCCCAAACATAATTGATCCAGCCAGCAGCGTCTGCCACAAAGGAGAAAAGAACAAGTCCCCAACTATAGAGGATACATTATGACATATTTATTTCCTTTGATAAACCATATTTGAATATTTAATGTGTATCAAGAACTCCGTTTGGGATCCCTTCTGGGTATATACAAATTAGGCTCCCAAGTAGGATCCCACAATTATAAGAATGAATCATATCATATTGTATACCCTTGATACTACGTAATCAAATTATATCCATGTCCTTCTGCTTTTAACCACAATGGGTTGAGCAACTAAAGCATCATACATTTCCCATAGATGGGACATGGTGGTACCTCTATAGGTAAGTCGGACTTACCTCATCTAACTAGTTCAATTCATCGATAAATACAAGAATTAGCCTACAAAGTATGGTCCCCAAACGATAGCTAAGTCGGTTTATAACTCCAAGAACATCAAATAACTATCAATAACCACGGTTTATGATACTTAAAACTATAGTACATTGTAGTTCCAAAATTTCCAAGCCAACTTACCCATCCTGGATGGCCAATGGCTGTTGAATCCACACCTTTGCGGTAGAAGAAATGTCTGGTTCTTCCTGTAAGCATCCGTATGCACGGCGCACGTGTGCCAAACAATGTTTTTCAGGTCAAAATGAAGTGGTGGCGCCGGCCCTCATGAATCTTGGGGCACCACCCTCCAACGAAAGGAACTCTTTCATGAAACCCATGTCAAATAATGAACCTAATGCCAGGTCATATTCCGGGGATGTTAGGGTGGTTTTTATAACCTCACAACTGGGACTTGATGACTTGGATGTGGGTCCGACACAAATTGGTTTGCAACTGAAAAAAACTGGCTTCTCTCATCTAAATGGGTGATACTGGGTGAACTCTCCATCTACTGCCAGTTTCTTCTCTGATGCTCATCCAAGTATTTCCCCAATGAGAAACCCATCACTACACGAAGGCGTCTGACGGGGTGATTATATAATCCATTTGAATACCTGATCTCCGGGATGTAGCACCCATGAAGGGTTGTGTTCAGTGGTGATTTTTGTTTACGCACGTTTGATCATGTTCTTTCCAGACATATGTGATTGGCGATTCCGAAGGAATTCTCAGTGATTTCAATGATTTCTTTTCATTTTAATTCATCAACAGTAGATAAATCATAAGCTATTCATAAATCATAATTGAACAGTAGATAAATCAGTCTGTTCTTTATGTCAAACCATTTTATGTTTGAGTTTTTTTTGACAAAGAGGTAAATACAGGTCAATATTTTAAAACACTTTAAAACCATGGCCATTTTAGAGTGCCTTGTGCCGATGTCTTTTGATAGCTCCTTGATCTGGTTCACCGTTTTGTGCGTGAATCCCTCCCCTTTGTTGATTCTAACCCCATTCAAGTGCTGCTGAAATTGCAATTCTTACCTCGTTTGCGTTGTTGACATTGATACTCGATTGAGTAGTAGATCATCCACCGCCTAGAGTTGTTTGCCAATTTTCCTGGTTCCAGTTTTTGTTGCTTTCAGTCATCCACCATATTTTTGCAGTTTCGTCTTGAACTCCACGATTTTTGCAGCATTGAAATCCCCTAAAGATCTCCCCTCACGCCGATCCCCGAGGAAAGCGGTCCTTAAGAAGGATGACGCAAAGACTCCGAGAGCCACCAGTGACTGGGTGATTTTTTCCAGGGGTGAACTCTGCCAACATCTGGGGATCTGTGAGAAATGGGAAGCTGTCGACTTACACTGGCTTAATACTTATTCTGGTTGGTGGTTTCAAACATTTTTTATTTTCCATAATATATGGGATAATCCTTCCCATTGACTAATATGTTTCAAGATGGTTAAAACCACCAACCAGTATTATACATTAACAAATTGGATTTACGCACTGTGAATGTGAACCCCGTTTTGATGATCCTGAAAGTCCGTCGGCACTCCAGGAACGGGTGTGTCAACTTGCGGGGGCTGCTTTGATTTGATCTGATTGCCAGCAAGAACACATCCAAAAATATAAAAACCTCCCAAGATGCACATGAAAATGATTGAACATATATACACTATACCCTAATTATCCCTAATTATCCCTAATTTATGTTCATGTTTGATCATTACCATGATCATTATTTCAATATCATGAAAACTCGCAACATCATCATGGATCAACGATGATCAACGCCCCGCGAGATCCGTCGAACCTCGACCCAGCGGTCTTGAGGTTTGCAAGGCGGGCTGCTTTTTTTTCAAGGAATGTGCCCCCCCAGTGATGTTTGGTTTATAGGTGCATTGAATACAACAGGACTGTAATATGTTAAGTATCATAAATCATAAAGTGAAATTGGATGAAATTGGAGTTATGTTCACCAACTAATCGTGATTTCGCGGCCACGGGCGCACCACTTTCGTGGATATACCTGAGATTTTTACTGAGTAACGCAGAAATGACCAAGAAATCTGTGAATTTCCATGGGACGAAGCTTGGGACGATGATGTGATACCCTCACAATCCGCCAGTGTTTCTCTAGTAGTTTCTTGTAAGCCACACATCAATATGGGGGGTGTCTAAGTTTGAAAAGTACCGTAAAGTACCCATGTTTAATGATTCCAGTTATATAAGTTATATATTATAATCATTCTGTATATGTAATATGTAAGTATATATATAGTTTTGTTCCTTTGACTCAAAGGATGATGTTGCAGTTTCCCAGTCAATGCACAACATCGTTTACCTGGCATTTTCCTTGGCGAAACTAGACAGTGAAGTTGACGATTAATTTCAGAAAGGAGGTTGGTCACCTCCGCAACAGTGGCAGAGGCCAAATCCAATTTGAATTAAGGTGAATTCAACCTCTTTCCCATTTTTTTTTTACAACTTAAAAAGTTCTAAGCCTTTTTTTTTATATCCTTCTATCATTATATAGTTATCAAATGTTATCAATAGTTATCAATATATTTCTTGTGCAATCTCCAATTTCACGTCTTCACCATCTCCTCCATCACCATTTCGGGGCCAGGAAAGTGAAAGGCACCACGAAAAATGTCCCCAGCGTTTCGGAGGTGCGACTGGTGGCACGGTCCTCCCAAAATTGTTGGGAGATTAATAGGGATTTAGTTAGAAATTATGCGGGATATGGGATAATTCTATGGGATTTATGTAAACTTTAGGACTTATCCTATTTTGTTCTTGGTAATCAAAGCTGGCACGGTAGGGTCTTGGGGTACCTTGGGCTGCCACCCAAGATGTGGCATCGAAGACGTAGTGTCACTGTCACGAGATCCCCCCGGTGACCGAGTGGCAACGTGGCTTTGGGGATAATCGAAGCAATCCCCAACTGGTTGATTGATAATGATATACATACATATATATATATATAGATATACATAGTTATATATATATATACATACATACATACATAGATACATATATAGTTATATACAAATATATATATATATATGTATATACATTTACATATGTATATATAAGTATATATATATATGTATACAATTATATATATATATATATATATGTATATATAATCCTATATGTATACTGAATAGTTATTGCTGATCTTGACCCGCAAGAGTTGGGATGCAATGCAGCTCTTGGTTGGGGGGTAGACCACCTGGAAAAAAGTGACTGTCGTATAACTTCCGGCAATTTGATGTATGGAAAATGGTCCATGTATAGATGATTTATCCCCAACATGGCGATGTTCCATAGCTGTTTAAAGCAAATTACCAGAGGGTAATTGGCATTATTGAAGCGGCATCAAGCTGAAAAACTGGAGAGATCAACCAGTAAAAGAGGGAAACACAACAAAAAGATGAAGACTGAAGCTGCAAGAAATGGAATCTCACCTGGACATCAATGGACATCATATATTCTGATCATTTTTGATCATGATCACTAGTATATACATATACTATTATCAGTGACATGGAAATCAACATACAAGAACTATATATATATATACATATATATATATATAGTGTTAATGTTCTCAGGTTTCAACTTTTGAACCGATTTTTATTTCTGTTGCTTAATATTTTCATGTTGTCGGTTGCATCTCCACTTTCTTTGGTTTCTGTCCTCATTTCATGATTTTGTTGGCTATATAAATCATGTCTATTTATGGACCCCCATTATCATATATAATATACCAAGCTCATGGCATAGCGACCCCAAAATAGATAAAACAGTGAGACACGCATGAACCACAAGGTGAACACCATCCACAACCATGGTTGATTGATTCAGGAGCAGCCAACGCCAAAACAGTGAGTGCGTCTGCTACGAAAATACCTTTCGGTACTGGACTGGCCCATTTATGGACGATTTCCCATAATTTATCAGAGTGAAAATGGATGAAACAAGAATTGAGCGTTTTATAGCTGTATTCAATATTTTTCTATATATGCCATAGACAATTTAGATGAAAAATCATATAGCCTTTATAGCTACATGGCTATATTCAATTCCAAGGATCCACAGCCCGGTGCCTCGCAGGAGACGTCCGGATCGAAGGTGGCAGATGGGAATGGATCCATTGAATCCATATGGATTGTGTTGGGAAAATCGACGGCAAACCCATGGGATTTTCCCAACATGGGGACGAAAACATATGAAAACATCATCATCTTCGGTGGATTTTTTTGGATATGTTCTTAAAGAAAGCTATAGAATGGGAGGTAGAAATGGTAGAATCTATGAAAACGCGGGGAGATTGTTCTTTGGCCAAGGAAATGTGGATTCACTCTGAAGTGATGATGAGGGTTCCAAACATCATGAACAGTACTGTAATTTCAGAAGAACTAGTCCAAATCCTTGATAGAAATATCAACCGTTTAAGAATTTGGACCTTGGATACTATTCTAATTGGGATTTCAACCAATCTGAATTGGTGAGTTTCTGTCTAGTAGCTCCCTCCCCTTACGGACATGTTTGTTGAAGGATAGGAGTCCAGTCAGAAATGGGTTGAAATCACCAGGCATTCTTTTCGAACAAAGAACGTAGATAGCTACTGGAATAGTTACTACTTCATCAGAGTCGCCTTTCCACTTTGTATGTACAACATATATCAACATATATAACAATTGTAACATCATCATCAACCCCATACAGATCCAGATAGAATAGTGTGCCACCAGGATGGCTAAACGTTTGACGTTTTCCCGTCCAGGTCTCGGAATTTTCAGCGCTGAAGAATTCGATTAGTGTCGCTCATGGCAAGTCATGGCAAGTCATGGCAAGTCATGGCAAGTCATGTTCATAGTAACTTCAGTAGATCAAAATTCTATAGATTTATATGGTATTTTCTTTTGTTGTGGATCTTTGCTGATTTTACCCGCAAAAAATCAAAAATGCGTAGAGAAACTGCTATAATTTTTATTGGTGAATTTTTGGTCAAATCCCATCATTGCTAGTTCGCTACTGGGTGGTTCACCCCACTTGGCAATTAGGTAGCCTCCTCCCACTAAGTTCACTAGCAGAAGCATGTATTTAAAAAAACATATACCAAGTAGGATACAAGTAGGATACACGTATCCTAGCACTTGCGTACTACATCCCAGACAAGTAGGATGGGCCACCAGTCGAAAGAAAATCGGCATGCGCCCAGTCGTGCCTCTCTTTAGGACGTTTCCATAGTCCCCGACACGGAGGAGGAGCCGTCGCAGCGTTGATGGAGGGAACGACAAGGTCAACCAACCTCAACCGCCCATGCGGCCATGGTGGGCCCCGCCAACCTCCAACCCTTCGCACGATCCGCACTCCAGGAGGAAAAGAAAAGCAAGAAAAAGAAAGAGGACAAAGAGATGCTCGTCAACATTGGGGATACTATTGAGAAGATGCGGTTGGTTACCAGAATTTTTGGGGAGAGGAAGGGGTTACCAGAATTGGGATTTAATTGGATATGAATGGGATAAATACCGGCATCAACCAACCAGGCTATCAGGATATCAAGGGATATAACCAACCAGAATCGGGATACACTGGGATATAATGTGAGGAACCCTCAACCGTCCACCATCCCCAATATCACCAGAAATATGTAGGTTGTACGCATCCTCCAAAATTGGGACACCGCCGGCATGTCGCCACTGGCAACACATTCGGAGCACCCGCATCCTCAGAATCATTGTGTTTTCATGCAAAACTCCATGCCAAGCTAGCTTTCGTCTATCCCTGGGCCTCAAGTTTCTTGTTGGGTTTTGCCAATCTCGGATGGATTAAAGGCATTAAATGGTCATAATCAGGGGTGTCCCTCCCCAAAACGTGATAAGTTGCTGCTGGTCGAATCATGGCGGTTTGACCATGGTCTCCATGGTCATCCCTCCATTTTCCCATGGAGGTTACCTCGTCGTTGCCCATGAGAATCCCGAAAAATTGTGGGATGACCATACTCCAGCGATATGATTCTGACATATTCTGACTATATATTTCAGTTTTCAAACATATAGTGTTCACCTGAGTTGTAAAGCTGGGGCGGAAATCAACCAAAATAACCAAGGGACATTCTACCAACAGTATGTGATTTGAACTATTCATTGCCGTTGTGGTCATGTTCACAGATTTACTTTTCACCAGCCAATAGCATCCCGGACTTAGTTGAAGGGACAATTGGCAGGAATCCCCTAATGGTCCGTCCTGATCTGTGTGTGCCCCAAAGAAATGCTATACGTAGCTCATCTCCCATGTCAAATTTTGGGCCAAGATCGGCCAAGGAAGTCCGAAAAATCGGAGAAGAAGGACTGGGCAAAGCGGTGGGTTTTATGGGGATATAGGATGGAAGATAAACAGTGACTAAGATGATTTGAGTTTGTGAGATGGTGATTTAACCAACTCAAAAAAGGGTATTTGAACCAAGGATTATCAAAGATATGGATTTAGCCAATGATTTAGCCCATGAACAATGGCCATGGGTTTGCCGGTTTGCCTAAAATGGGCTGTCAAAGCAAAATTATCAATATCCATCCACTAACTATGGGGATAGAATACAATGATACAAAAGGGATCCTCCTCTAGTGACGAAAAGAAAAGGAAAGCCATGGAAAACCCAGAAATGGGCATTTTAACGGGGAAACATGATGATACACCAATAATATATATATATATAATATAATCCAATACAGAAAATATCACCATGTTGCGGTCCCCTATGACAAATCCGAATCCGCAATGCCGCAATGCCAGGGTTTTGCACTGATGTTGTCGAGGAAAAGAAATCGAAGAAGGAAGGAAAGGAGAGTGCCAGACTCAGAACTTCGCCCTCAGAATTTTCTGCGACTTTCTATCCTGGCAGCCGTTCTGACCATTATTTTTTGGACGGTACCCCTCGTTAGTACGTCGTAAAACGTCGCAACGGGAAATCCCCTATAATAGTGGAGGTCTTAATGGGAGAATCAGCTATAAATGTAAATCGGAGATTTAAGATTGCCACATTTGATTGCAGGAGGGTAAGTTCTTTTGGTGTCCGACATCGTTTTTCCATGTTTCAATGCTTGAATTCCACTGGAGTGTCAACAAGGCTTTGCAAGACCTGTGTGACTATTGTCACGTGGGAAAGGTACTCAGTGTCAGGGCTCCAATAGAATTTATGAGGAACCATTTCAACATGATTAAACTACTTTGTAGCAAACATGATACACACACAATAGCCTTGTTGTTTTCACAGCAATTATTCCTTTGCTTCTAAGAACTGCTTCAGTATGAAACTTCCATGCTTTGTCTCCAAAAGAACATGTACATTGGATCCACCCTGTGCAGACATCAATGTCCTTTTGTTTTCAATACAAATTCCTTGGAAGGAAACTCTTGAGTTTCAACCAGGGTCTATACATCCTATCCATTCCTATTCTCTTTACATTGGACGACGCACTGATTTTTCCCGTGGACTATTGTGATCGTTCATCCCCACCCCACACTCCATGGCTTTGCGCATCATTCGTGTAGCTCCAACGGTGCCTAACTGGCACCGTTTTCTGGATCCATTTTGGGGACATCTTATATCTTCAGGGAACATTTTTCAGATGAATACAGGATGGTGCCCCCTACTATAAAAAGTTGGTTTATACCTTTTATACCCCTATCAACTATAGCTACATCTACCATAAACCATAGAATTCAGCCAGTTAACTTAGCTATTTTTTTGGGCCCCATCCTGGAACTACAGATTGAAATCCTGGGTTTAAGCTGGGGATCTCCCGGATAGATAGACGCACTTGATAAGCATGGTGAGTGGCTGGATGTGTATTGATAATGATTAATATATATATATATATATTATATATATATTATATATTATATATATAATATATATATATAATATATATATATATGTATACATCCAGAATCCAGATATGTCCGGAGGATCTGAAGAGACTTGGGGAGTGGTCAATACCTACGGGACAATCGAACTTGGGGATGAACACTAGCCACCAGCTGTTGGAAGACTTGGAAGTGTGAACAGTGTGAACTGCCACCTTTTTTTTCAGATTTGTTGAAGGGACATCTTTGAACATCTACTGACACTATTTGGTTTCCTCTAAAATTTTCTCTTCATGGACTCCAACGTTTAGGCCCAGAACCTCACCTAAAATTCTGACTTTTGCGGAGTACGTTCTGGTGGCTAGCCATCGTTGGTTTCAATTTCGCTCAAAAGAAATCAAATAAAGCACATCACCAAACAGTTCATAATGTTTATATAGCGTTGAGTTCATTACTGCAGATTTTTATCATTCCATGGTGGTGAGATGTTTCTGATATCCCACCAACTCGATGGTACCAGCATGTGGCTTGGGTATATCAGCGTTTTTTCTACCAGCTGTTTTGGGTGAATCATGTCCCCTGAATATGAACCTTGTCCTTGGAAACCTTGTCTTTTTTTGTTTCAGAATTACTGTACATCTATGATCATATGCATTTTTGTTTGGCCCGCATTGGCGTATCTAGCGTTATGTTTGTTATGGCTGATTCTTCTTGTTCTCGCGCATGTTTTTGTTATCCTTGTCACTGTTCGGGGAGGAGATTTCCCAAGTCAGTTCTTCTGGTTGGTCATCATCCCCCATTATCATCCCTGACGACCTCAAAAAAAAAGGTCGCAAAGACGGAGATGAGGCTCAGGGCGGAGGGGGTGGATGTGGATATGGCTTTTGGGCCTCCGTACCCAAAGAGGTAAGGAGATAAGGAGATAGAAATGAAATGGAAAGAAAAGCTGGAATGATTTGATGATGATTGACTTTTCTATCATTTGGTTGGACCTGCATGAATTTGGGTATTTACGACATGGTAGATCTCACTGTGTCAATCGACTGATTAATGGTATTATACAGTACTTTTTTTTTCTGTAGCAAATCAAACAAATAGCAGGGTATCTGTCATACTGGCCACTTCTTCTGACTGCAAGCTAAGTTTTGTTGCAGGGTGAAGGGCGGCACAGATGGTGCAAAGCAACATTTGCTTGCAGATTGTGGGATTGTCAGAGGAAACTGCCATACATTTGCTGGGAACACAGCGATATACAGCGATGTTCCTTTTTTTATTTGTATGCAAAAGTTGCGGGAAGGAATCAAGGGACCAAGATGCATCCATTTTATATGCATGTTTGGACCACATGGTTTCGTTTATGTGAGGGTGAAAGTGCAATCATCACTGGGGCTAAGGTAAAGTTTGCTGGAAACCGCGCTTACCATGACAATGACAAGACTCTTTCCGTACGGAATCCTTTTGATTAACTTCAAATCACTCCACAGGAAGGGGCCTTCTAGATAGATAAGTTGGTTGTAACTCACCCTCTTTAGCTTGATATATAATATATATAGTTATATATTTATATACATATATATATATATAGTTATAATTATATATATATATATATAGTTATATATATATATAAATAGATATACTTGCAGTTAGATTAGATGGGGTTGTAAACCAAGTTATAATTTTGGGGGGTCTTCCTGTACCTTGTGGGGTTATGTGTGGCACCCGATCTGTATTCGGGCCACCGATTGTCCAGTAATTATTAACCAAGACACTCCTGGGCGGCAGGTTGCTTTCCCCTAGGATGTTAAAATTGTGGTTTCGTCTCTTGACAAAAATGACTCTAGTTCACTTCACCCATTGCTTGGTTTCCAACTATACAAACAATATCAAGATCACTTCAGAAACCAACAAACATGCATGAATTGATTGCAGTTGATTAAAGCATTCCATCTGAAACATTGAAAAACTATATATAATTATATATATATATATTATATTGTATTATATTATATTATATTATATTATATTAATTACATCTATCTACATCTAACTACATATTTATAAGTACATATTTATAACTACATATTTATAACTACATATAAGTATATAAAACTACATATGGCTGCCATAAAACCTCAGTTCACCCACGTTTGTCTTCACCTTCGCCAGGCCGAAACACCCGAAGCTTCCCGCTCGCCTTCGCGGCGCGTGAAGAAGTCCCGCCACGAGGCCGATGGCTGAGAGCCGAGGCCGTGGCGATGGCTGGGCTAAAGCTACAGGGAATGGATGGGAGGATGAGTGGAATTTCATGGATTGGATATGATTGGATTTAACATATTTAAATTCCCCTAAATTCCCCCTAATTTTTTCGACGCCTAGCGAGATCTAAGCCATGATCAAGTTATATGGTTTCTTTTCCTGGGGATGGTCATCGGATCATTAGGGGCTACTATACTTATTGTAAGGAATCTCTAATAGAATGATAGTGGGGTGACCATAACCCGTATACCATGTTTTGACCGTGGCCCATCGTATAGTGAAAATTGGAGATTTAAATAGATTGAACAAGTAAACATTGGGATTTGAAGAGGAAACAATGGGGGTTTTAACAGTACAAAGGGGTGAACATTGGGATTTGATTGGTAAACAACATCGTTTTTAAAAGACAGCTGGAAAATATATTGGGCATGGCAAACTAAACTTGGAATAGTAATCGACTCCACAAGGTTCATTTTTTTTGTTCATCATTCCAAAATTGGTCCATCACTTATGCAAATAAACTGCAAATCCTAGCCTCAAATGTGATATACTCAGCAACAACCGGTCGGTTGATTATTTTTATGGCGTGTTTTTTTTTTTGGCGATATCCCTTAAGGGTATAACTTTTGAAATGGAAGTCGCAGGGCCATTATGTTGTGATCACTCCAGATGGCACCTGCCCCAAGACGTCTTAGGTCTAGGAACTGGGCTAAACTGCTAATCATTGTAATCAGTGATATCCCAATGTTTGCTTGGTTGTATACCACCCATTTCATGATTACCATGTTTCGGTTTGGTTGCTATGTCAGGTTTAGCCTGATGATTTTCAAGACCTTTGCTACAGACCCAATCGTTCATTGCCAGATCTTTTTGACCCGAATCCCGAGACGCCACATTGTTCATTGGGACTGCATCCCAGCACAGTTAATGAATGTTAATTTATAATATCATATATCCGGTTGTCGTCACTGGGATGCACAGTGGAGTACGGGGTGCCCATAAGCGTGCAAAGGAGGTACCATTTTATTCTGGTGTTCGGAACTAACCCCTACTTGGTCGGGACCACATGTAATCGCTTAAGTTACTTAATAAGTTAAGCGATATCCAACCCATCAAACATTGAAGACGATGGATTGATTTGGAGAGATATTTGATCATTTATCTCCGAATCATCAGGCGTACAAGTACCGTCGTTGGTGCCACACGTGCCATAACTAGGGTTAAGTGGAGTTTCCAACCCGATTGGCATCATTGGTAGTGATAATGAGGGACCAATGACGGGTGACACAGCATCCTCTCAATCATCCTACACCCACGACGATGCGACGAGATTTTCCAGAGCGCATGGGCCATGTGCAGAGTTCCTACGGTGAAACATGATGTAGACATATTAACCAAGGGTTTTACCTATGAAATCTGGGTGAATTGTACTGCCAATTGTAATGACCTCGCCTGCCGACCTCACCAAAAGTGATGATTTATAGGGGAATCATCCCCAAATCACATCAAATCACCTGATTTGGGTGAACATCACTAAACATCTAGGACCAACAATCGTAGCTGATTGGGTCAGCAAAGACAAGTCGCGCGCTCGAAAACCAAAGTAGGACCGTCCGCTGGACTAATGAATCGTTCGTAGGCAAATTCTCTGAGAATTTAGAGGGTGATATGAGATTTAGTGCCACACATAGAATGCTTCCGGCCAAAAAGTACAGCTCGCAGCATCTCAAAAATGTGAACCCCATATTATCAAAATACTCGGTATATGCGGGGTTTTATGTACTTTGGGCAGCCCACATAGAATGCCGCCAAAAACAATTCTGTTGCAAAATCTCTGTTTTTTGCAGTTAGAATGCCGCCAAAAACATATACAAATGTCATCATTCTGTTACAAACTCTCTGTTTTTTTTCTTAACATGGTTTGAAGGATTGTATAACATGATTATTTCATGTGAATAGTCTATATAAATCCAATCTCATGAGAGGGCACTGTGCCCAGTCTGCCTTGGGTATGCATGCAGTTGATAGGGTGATGTTTGAAGGGTCCCCCACCATTAAGAAAATGCAAAAAACATTGCAAAACACATGTTTCAAAAGGAAATTCCTTAAGTGTCCACAGCCTTTGCGGGAGTGCTGCGCCATCAAAACTGTTTGTACATTTTGTGCAAAAGCTGTCGGAAACGCTGATTTTCAGCTAAATTTTGGATTTGGACTTTGGTGGCTGCACTTTTTTCCGTTTGAGATGTTTACTGGTGCAGTCACATTCAAGCATGAATCTTTCGAGCTGGATCTCGAACCCCTAGTCTTGACAGCACAATGTGCCAATTTCCATGAATTTTCCCAAGCTAACTTTGAAAAGTGAGAAGTTTCAGATCAATCCTTGGATTCAGGGTTTGCTGGCCAGCCCTTTTTGTGTAAGATTCCTGTTAACAACCGTCCAAACATGAAGCTTTTGAGCTGGATGCTGGATGCCGGCTTTGGTGGCAATGTCTTTCAAAAACAAGCTTGGCATCATTTGTTCAGGCCAAAATTTGACTCTTTAAGCCAGAATCTGCCATTGGAATGTGCTTGAACAAGGAAATTTGAATGAATGAGCACAAAAAGAACACGTTGGACACATTCTAAGTGTGGCCCTGAAATGGTGCCAAATGCCGGGAAACGGACAAAACCACAATTTCTGAAAATGACTTGCATTACATACTTGATTAATTCTTTGGGACATTCTTTCATTATCCTTTGCCCCTTCTGAAGTAATTTCTTCATTCCTTTTCCTGCGAAATACATTCCAATTGTTAGGGAGGCATTCTAAGTGTGATGCTTGAAGGGCCCGCCACCATTGAGAAAATGCAAAACACATGTTTCAAAAGGAAATTCCTTAAGTGCCCACAGTCTTTGCGGGAGTGCTGCGCGATCAAAACTGTTTGTACATTTTTTTACAACAACTGTCAGAAACGATGATTTTCAACTAAATATTGGATTTGGGCTTTGGTGGCTGCATTTTTTCCGTTTGAGATGTTCACTGGTGCTTACAAAATGGGATTTAGGGGACAAACAATAGCATATTATATTCACACCAAAAAAAAGATTTTTTATAGACATAGACCATCAAGAGTTTGGATTCAAACACTGGGGGATTTAAGGAGCAAAACATCAAGGAAATATAGGATACCACATGATACCATTCAACAATCCCACGTAGGGCATCAGCTCCAACTATGAAGATATTGGGTTAAAGTGTCTATCTGTATGTATATATACATACGTATTTATGGTTATATCTACAGCGACGGACTGAAAACCAGAATGCCAAGGATTCATGAAATATTGAAAGGGTTTCCAAGATATGGGGATGATCATTCACACCTAGAATGCACCAAAATGTCCCAAACAAAATCCAGATCGGAGGTTTGATTATGGATTAACCCTTTATGTCATAGCGACATATAGCAACAGGGTTTCCAAATATGGCGACAATCATGCGCACTTAGAATGCCCCATAGTGCCCAAAAAAAAGTCCAGCTCGCAGGTTTGAATTTTCGGTGATGGAGGCATTCCAAGTGACCCCCAAAAATGTGCTTTTTCGGAGGCATTCTAAGTGCGCAGGGAAAGAAAACAAACACGGAGGCATTCTAAGTTTCAGTCCGGCACTATATTCGCGGTTTATCCAGTTCATCTCATTTGCTACAGAAAGTAAGTTGCAACCACAGACACTTAGATGGGGCAAGTCGGGTTGCTCCATTGTTAGAATCTACTTACATCTACTTACTATGTAGGATGAACAATCAAGTGAATCTGCCACATCATCTAGATTTGGAATTGTCCAGCATGTGAGGGACAGTGAGTACCAGACACTGCTAGTTGAATCAGACGTTCAATGGTGAAATCGATTTCTTGTGGTTGGTTGAATCGAATTTTTCAATAATCTAAGCAAAGTTAACTCCCTATTTCAAGGGTACGAAGTTCAGTTTCCCCGAAAACACATGGCCCCTGACCGCCTGCTCCAACGTTTCATGTACCCGATGCAACACATGGCCCACACCGGTGCACTGCGGATGGCTTGAAACAAAAACAGCGCTCTCCAGCTGAAACAGATATGGGGGGGTTCCTAAGTCATGGGGCTACCCCAAATTATCCAGTCGTCATGGATGTCCATGGCTAACAAGCATGGTGACAACTGGGGTACCCCCTGACTTAGGAAACATCCATATTCTTTGTGGTATGTACTGCAAGATGGGTTGTTGTATGGTAATTAACTATTTGTCAATCCAGTACTAAGCCGGGATTTCTCGGCTTTTAAATGATAGAGAAGGCAGCTGGATACAATTGGATTTTAACGTCTCTGGGTGCAGGTGTCAATTTCAGAAGGGGCAATTAAATCCGCAATTCAATTTATATACCTGACCATTGGACGTCCTGATTTCTTTGGTTTTGTCGCTACTTTTTCATCCATGTACCACCTATTTGCTGTGAAAACTGGGGACTGATTGGGTGTTCATCGCGAAGTGGGCTTGAAATAAACATTCTTGGGTGAAAGCTCGTTGTTGGCGCTGAATTCTCGTTTTTGTTGGTGAGATCTACGGCAGTCTATCCGAGTCTGCGGAATTCTCCAGCATCCGGGCCATCCAAGTGCAGTTGTGTACAGAGCCGAAGGGGGTGTGTTGGGTTGATGGGTGAATCACGGTGAATCCCATGAATGGAAATGAATCACAAAAGAAAAAGCCCAAGCGACCACGGATTCTAGTTTTGATTTATCATGATTTCCTCTCTATCTTTATAGTATTAGTATGATTTAGTATGTATATTATGTATATTGCGTATGTATTAGTCGTCTCATGGGGTACCAGAGGCGGAAAACATGTGGTGGGATCCTGCAGCAGTTCTCAACCACTCATTGGATGATTTTCGATATTTTCGGGTCCCCCATTTTAGGAAGAACCCATAGATATACATAATTATTATATATATATATATATATGGATAATATATATGTATACAGTATGTATGCTTATGGGGATGAGTCAAAACTGTCAAAACCGATTTTGTCACCTTT